CTGTTCTTTACCAGCTAGAATATAAATCATGGCTGTTAATCGTTTGTATGTATAACGATATTCACGAATACTATATAGACCACAAATAAATGCGATAATAACGAGAAGAATATGAATTGCACTGAAGGAAAGCATTGTACGGACCATTCCTGCAATAAAAACGAAGAAAATCAAATGAAAAATTTCTCCATTAACATCTCAATCTAGTGATTCATACCAACAAGTGTTCTTTCGGCTGGTGACGATGCATTGTTTACTTTATTTTCATGATAATCGCATCTTGTTTCTAAAAAAGAATTGTATCATAAACATTATATACATATTTCCCTCTCTCCCTTTTATAACAATATCTTTTGCATTTGGATACTCAGGACAAAACATGTCAACAGCATCTTATATCCTTGATATGCTCTCTGGAAACAGCTGAATAATAAAATACTCTTTACCCACACTTACCATACATAGAGTCTCTTGTTGGTTGGCCGAGTACGCATTCCCAAATTACGCCATACGTCGTGCGAACAACGAATAAGTTGTGTCGAACTGAGAAGAAGCCAGCTGGATAGGCTACATCAACCCAATAGCTTGATGTTAATGTGATTGAAAAAGTAAAGAATGAAAGTATAGTTAAAGCGAGAGTGATGCGCATAATCTGCAGATTTCGTTGTACAACTGCCGCTGCTGCCGAGACAGTTGTCGTTACACTACTCTTGCCGTGACGATTATTCATAATGACACAGATTAATATGTTCACAAATATTTATTTTCTGTTAAATTTTGCGAGATATTTTGTATTCAATAAGAATAATAATTATCCAGATAGAATCGGTAATGTTAGCACATTGGCGTGGAATCTTGATGTTATTTACATCAAGAAGAGAGAAAAAAAAACGAGCAGAAAAGATCTTAAACAAACAAGCAAAAGAAATATATTTCTATTGGATGCTCTCTGCTCATGAATTGAAAACCAACTCTACATTTACACTTTTCTGTTACCTTTCGTTTACCATCGAGCAAGTAGGTTCCTTCCTTCCTCATTGACCGATGCACAAATGATGTCTGAAATGGCAATATGTTAGGACGTAACTATATAAAATATAGATGGCAAAATGCGTTTTTGTTGTGTTGTCTACGATCGACAGAATGCAAAAGAAAAGAAAGAAGTAATCATCAGTTGTAAAGAAAACGTCTCTCTTTCTCTCTCTCTCGCTAGATAGAGATAGACTAACAAGACATACTATGCGCTGTAAAACAGAAAAAGAGAAAAAGAACACGATTGACGATGACAGTGCCCAGTATACTTGAGGATCGTACAGCTAAGATTAATATTTCTCGAAATACTTTTATGATATTTGATAAATTATCCTGCCCTATGCGTAATATCTTCACTCTTGTCGAATTACCTGAATTGCTTTCAAAAAAAACTCTAATTTAATGTTTTCGCATAAAGTTCATTAACCGGTTGTTTGCGATTTACTTGTGCAGATTACATAGGTTTTATTCTCTCGTTAAATTGACACAATGATTATTATTGTTATTTGCTGGGGGCGGTGTATTATTTTCTTGCATTAGATCGCGAATTTTTCTGCTGCTTCATATACTACGCAAAGACTATTCCGTCATCGAATATGAATAGTTCTCTTTGACCTTTGTCTTCTCTATTTAATTGTGTTACAGATATTCTTAATTGAATCTAACGTTCGTTATCGATTGTTTTCTAATAAGTAATAAGAATGACTAATCAGATTGATAGATTTTCTATCGGTTCTATTCGGATGTTGAAAAATGTGTATGTATAACACTGATATAACTATGATTGAAATAGGAACAAGAGAATTCTCCCGTTATGAAGAAATTTGTTCCTAAACATTCGAAAAGATCGCACTGTTCCATGAAAACGACTGTTTAACTTTCATTTGCTNTCGTTATCGATTGTTTTCTAATAAGTAATAAGAATGACTAATCAGATTGATAGATTTTCTATCGGTTCTATTCGGATGTTGAAAAATGTGTATGTATAACACTGATATAACTATGATTGAAATAGGAACAAGAGAATTCTCCCGTTATGAAGAAATTTGTTCCTAAACATTCGAAAAGATCGCACTGTTCCATGAAAACGACTGTTTAACTTTCATTTGTTTGTGTTATCGAGATTGTACAAGATAATTGTGTATTGTTAAATAACAATTGATATATTGATGACAAATCTCTTCCTGACAGATATGAAAGATAAGAGTTGGATTGATATCTGTAACAACTGAAGGTTGGACGGCAAGACAGAATCAATAATCCCAATTTCTATCGATTTGTGAACAATACGGAGACTTAGTTATTTGATTTATTGAATGTGTATGTATGTTAATACAGAATGAAATGAAATTTTAAATATTTCTGACAACAAATACATTTAATGAGAAGAAAAAAGAAGCATAAAAGCGAAATAAAATCGACTACAAGTTTATTTACACTAGGGAATAGAGACTTATACTCCTGCGTAAAACATTGTGTTCGAAAATGACTTGCGATCCAATAGGAAATATGTTCGCATGAGACCTTTGCCTTTGATATCAATTTCACCTCGTTCTTCAAAGATATACTGTTCCGGATTTTTCAATCGCCTATAAGTTTCGATACTTAAATGAATTCGTTCGGGTAAACCGGTTGATTCCATTCGATTAGCAACATTAACTGTGTCACCGAACATACAATATCGAGGCATTTTCGAACCGATCACAGCAGCACACACAGGTCCTCAAAAAAAGAAACAGACTATAAAGACTTTCTGAAATGAACAAAACGAAACGTACCTGTGTGAATTCCAACTCGTAGTTTTAGTTCAGCAAATGTGCGTGGTACTCGAACTTGTTGTTTACCACGAATTAAACTCAACGACATGTTGACAATTTCATTGGGATGCTTGAGGAATCGATGAAAAACAAGTCAGAATTGTAAACATATCGACTTACTCGATCACCGTTTCTTTCCGGTGCTCCTGAAACAACCATATAAGCATCACCAATCGTTTCAACTTTATAAACATCAAAGTTCTCCAAAAGAGAATCGAATATCGAGTACAATTGATTTAACATATCGCAAGTTTCAGTCGCCGAACACATACTAAACACAAGTCTGTATCAATTGTACTTCTGCTTCATTAATTATTACCTTGCTATTTGAGTAAATCCAACGATATCAGAAAAATAGACTGTAACTGAATCATAGTGTACTGCTGGTGCTTGTCGACCATTGATTAAATCCTTTGCCACACATGGTGGTAAAATTTCATGAAGTAACTTCTGTGTTAAACACTTCTCTTTTTCTAATTCATCTGTTTTCCGTTCTAACAAATGTGTATGACGTCGAGCACGTGTGTATAACGTTAGTATCATGTAACATAGTAAGACAGCTATACTAATAAATACAATCATAACAATAATTTTGATAATACAAACTTTTGGATAATGAGCACATAAGGAGATATGTTTAGTGATGACTCGATTTTGTGATACGTTTGATAGGGCATCGTTAAGATAGACTAAGTCCAAATAAACCATAAGAATGAGAAGAAAAGCACTAATAATTGTAATCGAAAGCGTAAAAATCACATGACGAGGCTCGACACGACCGGATAGAAATGAATCAGATGTGATCGTATTACTACGAACAAGATGTTGTGATCGTCGATATCGAAAAGAATTTCGCATCAAATAGAAATGACGAAATAGTGGATAGGATGTAGGAGAAACAGTCGTCATTGTGTTTCGACGAAATGGTGATTGAAATCGACGAAGACTAGCATTGAACAGACTTGTTCGTCCCTTCCATCTGATATGATCACGTGTTTTCGTTTTCTTTAATGAGGATCGTGTACTTGGATCAATAAGAAGTGTTGAATTAACACTTTGACAATCATCATAATTCATCTGTAAAATATTTATAATAGTCTAGAAGGACAATAAAAACAATGCAAATAGACATTCCATGAGATTTACACATGGACTAATGACTTTTATTTTCTTCGATCGAGATATATGCACACATTTATCATTCTTCATTTGTGTCGAACATCTCTTTTACCTCTATGAATATATGTCTAACATATATTAACAGTTCTATCGTACGAATAACATCTGTCTGTATATATATCTAAAAAGACGAGACGGATTTCGGCTCATTCATAGACCAAGCATAGGTCATGCACATTAAAATAGCATTAGATATATCTGTCTGAGATGTCGCAGTGCAAAAGAAATATCACATATACAAATAGTTTGAGGATTTCTCTTGACTAATTTGTCCTTGGAGACGGATATCCATACGAGACAAACAATTTGAGAGAATCAATGTCTTGCCATCATCAAGAAATAGACCATGATGTACACCATTGATTGATATCAGATATGATTGACACCTTTTTGAAGGTCATTTGTTTCTGATCGAGTCATTTGGGTGGTTTTATATGCGTTTTATCGAAGCTTATATCTTTATTGAGTTCATTCAACGATACACATCAGTGCTACTGCAACTGTCTGGTCGATGATAACTTTTATTGGAAATGCGTTTATACTTCAGCTTGTCGACAGTTCCATGATTTTCCTCCTGACGTCAATCTATCGTGACAAAAATATCGAAAATATTTTGGTATCATCAGAACATCCTTTGAAACATTCGCCGTATGACACATCGTTCGAATATATTGAATATATTTCTTTTCTTTCATTCTGTTTATCTTTTTAGAGACCGTTTTGTCATTTGAAATAAACTTCTCACACCAACAAATACGAACCTATCCAAATGAACGCCAGAAGGTGCTTCGAAGATTGCCTAAATTTGTTTATGCTGATTTGGATATTCACTCAGGCTCATTTATAGCACTTCTAGATAGATCTGACACTCACTTATCAATATCGAAGCATGTCAATTTGTACAGATCGATATGTTGTATCGATGCATTACAAGCATTCTTCCAATCCATACCACAACTCGAAAGTCTCGCTTCGTATACTGATCAATCGCTATGAACGAGGACGATTAATTGAGACTTATTTATCAAAACTGTAAACATTTCACATGTCAAAATGAACACTTCGGAGATTGAAAACAACGTCGATTCCATGTTCGTTTTTACTGTGATCAACAAAATCACAGTTGTGTTAATCCTTACACACTGACCTAGACCTTTTCGGATTATGACGTTGTGCAATGATGTTGTAGAGGATCAACATGTCCAAACCAAAATGGCTATCGGTCATGCGATTCTGTCGAAATATTATTCAACGATGATATATTCCTACAACGAACAAATCAGAATCCTTTGCGAAGTCGATTTCCGTAGTCTCCATGTTATATATTCAACTGTTTCACAATTGGAAAGGCTACAGTCTTTGCTTTTATTTGGTGTGGAGTCAGAAAAATTGGTAGAGACATTGCTTGCTCAAATAAGTCAACTATATTCATTAACTTTAGATATAAACGCTCCTCTTTTTGCATTAGCGTGCAAGTCAACTCGCCGACTTTAACTGGGAAACTTGTTCCTCTACAATTCTAAAAAGAAGATTCGTTATCAGCCAGTCACCACATCTAAGTAGCTGTGCAATACTTCTCATCGACATAGGACAACTTGAAGATATTCGATTACTTCTGCTAAATCTTCGTGCACTGCCAATTGGTCGCACTAGAGGTTCGATTGCAACCGGCGACGCTAATGAAGGTCCCGAGTTGATTTGTTGCGTTCGTACTTATCAAGTATAGCGATTGTCGAAAGAAATACAAAATATAGGAGTTATGTTCGAGCATGGACTCGTCAACGTAATGTGATGAGAAGAGGAAACATGATCAAATTAGAATTTATTGACAGTTGTCTTTTTTCTATCGTACTAACTTCACAAATAACAGTTTCCTTTTATCCAGTGATAATATTTATTTAATAAAAAATTATAAAGAGCGGATTATATTCTCAAAAAAACTACATTTTAGTCGTCGGAAAACTTCTAGGGTGAACCGGATGTGTTAGAAAATCAAAATGATTATTAGTACCATATAAAACATGCCGTCGATCTGTTTTATCAGACTATACTTTTGTGAAGTCGAAAAAAAAGGGAAATAAAATGATATGAATTGTTAAGTTCATGTAAACTATTATGTAGATGAAAAACAAACTTGGATCGTTTAAAGTCTAATGATGAGATAACGATTATCAATGATAAGAATGAAATAGAAGGAGAGAGAAGAAGAGAAATGGAGAACTCCGAGGTCAATATTAAAAAATGTGCGTCTGCTATGATACATAGAACAATAGATACACATTGTCGGTGTAAAATTCTTATTTTTGCAGATAACGCACATATATACTTTGTCGTCATATGTTCTCAGTTGAAGTGAGCAAAAGACCGTCATTAGTTAAGTAAAAATGAATAAAAAGATGAATGGTAATTCAAAGGTAATTGCTAAGCTGTTGTCTTTTAATTTAACGTTGCATTTATTCTTTTAGCCATTGACTCTTTCGATTAGTAATTATCATTACAATAAAACGAATCAATCATTGAATTCAGACGATGACTTCGAATGTGTTAAAGTCGAGGTGAGAAGCAAATTCAATTCGAATTGGCATGAATTACGTCAGGTTCGAGTAGTGCGAGCTTGAAATAGTTGATCATATTTCCTCTCTATATTATTTACTCATTAATCATCATTTATTTAGATATCTGATCTGGATAATAGTTGTCCTAATCAAACAACTGTCAGTTTAATGAGATGCAAAAAACAAATTATCCATCCTTTTCGTAATTTATTATGTTTGGTAAATATTTCAAAGAGAATTGTTGTAAATGACGTGTGTTGCTTTAGATTGGATGGAGACCCATTGGTGTTGATAGTTTTAAACGTTCATCAATTCTATTGAAGATACTCAATATTATTTATCCAATATTTATTTTAATTTTGTTACTATTTAATTATGTATATGAAATCATTGTTTGTCAAGGAAAACTCAATATTGTCACAGATACAAAAGTAAATATTTCGTTTATTCTCATGTGTTCATTTGTTAGCGAATTGAATCTGTAGACCACGACGACTACGACAAGTACATCTACATTGTCTCCTAGAGAAAATTTTACGATGGTGAATTGGAGTTCATTGGTACCTCCGAAACCGATTCATATTGTGAATACGAGTACTTTAAATACACCCGTCTGCGGACACATCTTCACTACGTATATTCTACCTGATGTACTGCACGTTGTTGCGTTTGTTATCGGCTTTGTGTATTTTCGTATCACGGAGGGCGAACCGATGTATTCGCTAATGGAAAAAGTATGAAAGTATAACGAAAAGCAAGAGTAAATTATGTTTTTATAGGTGTTCATCTGCACTGATCAAAATATGCGTAAATTCAGTCCAAATCGAGTCATTCGCAGACTAAAGTACATCATTTACACAGATTTTCCATGTTTTTATTTCGAACTATTTCTAACTTAGAATCTTTCTGTTGATTGGAAGTATATGGGTAGTTGCATCGGTTGCTACACATGCACTTTCAAATGCAATGAATGATTTTGCTCATCCATTGATATTCAATCGGCAATTTCAAAAGCAGAGGTTCTCTTATTTTTACCTTAACATATGATTGAAATATTCATTAGTTTGTTTGTAGAACTTCAGTTAAATATAGTTTATTCGTTCTTGATATTTTATGCTTACTGGTGTCTAATTGTATTCATTTGGCTATCTCAATGAACTTTGCATCACACTGTGAACTGGTTGTCTTCTATTGTAAAGCGATTCGAACGCGACTAGAAGAAAAATCAATACATCTTCACGAAGCAATGAAACAAATCTTAGATCTCGGCTCGTCAATTAGTCAATTGAATAGTGCCGCTTCACGAATGATGTCGATATTGATCGTTTATTTTCTTGAACGTACAATATTAGGTTCGTATTTGAGATCGTTTTCATGGGAACATCTCATTCAATGTGTTCCTTCTAGGTATCATTCTTTTGATGCTCAATCAAATCAATGAGCCATTGGTGTATGTTTATCGAGCTCTTTATCCAATAGTGTGGTTTTCTATTCTCGTGTTTTGTCTTGGACAAGTAAAGCCTACTTCAATCGGTTATAATTACTTATTGAAATTTCACTTTTAGGCAGCAAGAGTGACATCGAAATGTGATAAATTTCATCGTATTAGTCTATCTATGCGTGTATACGGTTATCGAACGGCAACTTCGACTGATCTGGATGGTTTTTTATTATTTCTTGCAAAAGCTGAATTGCGTGCTAAGTTATTCGGTTTGACTGTTCGTCCCGGTAAAATCATCTCCATCATTGTAACAACGCTTGTTATTTGCGTTATTCTTTTACAAACTAATATCATTCATACGACGAATTTTTTCTTTCAATAGATAACGTTTTTCTCTTCTGAGGAAAATCAGACATTATTTGTTCGCAAATCAACGAATAATTCTAATTATTTGCACAACACACGAAAGAAATATAGTGAATACTCCATGTAAACGAACAGTGAAACACTAATTGACTAAGTCTCATTTGTAGGCTCAGGAAATATCAACATACATAGTCGTTTGATTTTCTTTTGCTACAAACATCATTTCATTAACGACTACATTTTGATTAAATTCATGAAGTCTAGAATGCACAAATTCACTTTAAAAAAGTAAAACATACCCACTTACTTCGACCATCTTTGTCATGAGATATTGCTCCTTTTTCAAGTATATGATCTTCATTTGTTGTTACCATTTGTTCCAAACAATTCTAGATAGAAACTATTATATAGAAATGAAAATAAAACAAACTATCTAATGTTGCGATATCTGATAATATACCAATGTTCAAGAAAAGTCTGAGTCAAGTTTAATACTCTACGATCTCTAAGAGAGTGTGCTATCGAAACTTAGCATATATTTCTATTAATAGTGCTACCTACTTCCTTGCTCTAGCCAATATCTTTAGCTACCATCTGCTCAAAGCGAACATAGATACCTTACCACATCTAGTTTCGGATGTTTTCTAGAATCAGGGATGCTATTTGGGGTCCATTTCTATTCGACAAGCAGCTGTAAAGTGCGAATTCGATGTCATGTGTCACTATCATACCAAGAACGGATAACAAACGAGCTGATTTTGATCGATCTAGGTCATTGTAGCTATGCGATCTCGACATCTAATCTTAGTCATCTCGGTTGATTTCATTTCTCTTCACTGTACTTGTGTACAACAGTGCTCCCTTATCACAACAAATCGCTCAGGTTTGCTATTGCGGTGAGATTAAGACGCGACAGCGCTGCAATAAAACTATCTATAGATTCAGCACTATTCACACACCGACCCTTCAAACAGAGCCAACGAAATATAAGAATCAGAAACAACACTTCTTGCACAGTGTGCTTCAGCGATTTCATTCCGCTCGTGAGGATATAAAGAGTAATGAAAGTTTCCTTAGGCCTCTTCTTCGATCGATTTTAATTCCCGTCTATCAGAAAGAAGATAGCAAATAGGAAAAAGATGGATCCTTTAAATCGCGAGTGTTTATCCTATGAAAACAAGTCAGATGTTCCACATTCTATTCGAATCAGCAAACATAATGTCATGCCATTGCTGACTCATGTGACCCGCTTCTCCTACAACCAAACATGATTAATACTGGATATCTTGCCGAGAACTTCATACACAATACTTCCTTCCATCTCTTCTATCTCCCTTTCCATTCAACAACATCAAACGTCTGATGACACCCAAAATATAATACATATCTTTTCATTCACCTCCTCTCTGCTGCTCCACTTCTGTCTAAACTGTCGTCGATCCTCTCCTGCTATCTCTTCTCTCTAACTATTTCTCCCGTGATGTTTCCCACATTATGTTACCATAACTATAAAACTCCTTCAAATACATCACACAACAATTACATCTCTGCTTTTCTCTATCATCTATAACTTCTCTCACAAAACTATGCATTCGTTCGTGTTACTTCTCTTCTCTACCTTCCTCTACACCACTGTCACATCAACTCCAATCAATAGGCTCATTCATGGCCAATATCACACAAATAATCTATGGTAACAATTCTGTTCTACTCCCTATCCATCCTATTCCCTTTTCTCTCATCGGAAAAGTTGATATCGAATTTTGTATCTTCTTCTCATATGCAAGAAACAGTTCATTTCAACGAAGACAGCTTCTCATTGACAAGAGGTATCAATGAATCACAAATACGACGTTTCCACATTTCTTCTTCTTTTCCTTTCCTTTCCTTTCCTTTCCTGTTGCATATTCGACACAAATCCATGTCTGATGACATGTCTATAAATACACCTATACAATCCTATTGTCATACTCTACATTCATATTCATACAAATCAAAAGCTCTAGCGACGTTGATCATAGTGCCCCTTTGCGCAATCAGTAGACAAAGCCAACGCTTGTCTTACAGCTTCTGTTTCCTTTTATTCGAAACATCTTTTCTGTTCTTTTTTCCAGGCCAACAAATCGCACACTCACTTGGAAGTTGACTCTTGATCGGCCCTCAACTGGTATAATCAACATTCGACAAAGTATTCTGCAAGCATTGCATGACTGCGCTCATTCGACTCACCTCTCGTTTCGCGAAGTTGATCAGCATGAAAAAGCTGATTTTCATTTCGCATTTGTTTCTGCCAACCACTCAGCTGGACTTGCGTTCGATGACTTCCGTGGAGAAATGGTACACAGTTTCCCGCTTGAGAGTGTTCATGCTGGACATATCTATTTTGATTCGACTGGTAACTGGTCTCACACGTGAGTGAACTCTGTTCGCATGCTAGTTGTGGATTTGTTGTTAAACATAGAAGGTCCGATGCCGTTGATAATGACTTGCGCTCAGTGGCTACACCTGAAATAATATCTAGTTTTGGTCGTCAACATTCAGAACATTTCGTACGGGTGAGTATCACAGTCGGATAATGACAGGATACTTGTCATCTACTTAAAATATTGCTTTACAGGATGAAGATGATGACGAAGCAATGCATGAGGAAATGGAAAGTACAATAACAAATGGAAGTAGAAGTCGATTTGCAAGATCATCAAAATGCAGAAAATGCAGTCATCATCACCACCGTCACGGAAGACCCCATAAGCACCATCACAGAAGACCGCATATACCACCGCCAGCACTTCCGCCATCGCCACCGCAGCCACAACCACCGCCATCGACAACAACTCAGATAGGTGAGAGGCTAGAGGTGATCGAAAATATCTTTGCAATGAATGCACAATACCGCTAGAAAATTCAAAGAAGACGAACGTTTTTGGTTTGTATATAGCTGACTTATTTGCGTGTAGGAACGAGTAATCAATTTAATGACGAAGAGAGGAAAGTGTCGATTTGTGTTGACTGAAGTAGGGAACTATCTGCACTTGTCCGTATGAACTGCATCGGAGAGCACTTGTTTGTGTACTTATACACCTGAAAGTAGAACGAGGAGAAATCCCTAGGAGTAAAGTTTGCTACATCAAGAGACAGAAAATGATTACTTAGCTGATGGAAATCATCGATACTAGAACAAACAAGCGAGAGTTTATAGGTATTACTAATTGGGTACTGAATAATGGTGCTAATAAGACTATATCACGTTTACTTTTTACTAAGACTGACCAGGTTGCTGTCCGTTAACGTAAAAGCGTTAATGTTGTGTTCACATCTACATCTAGGGATCGGATCATAATTCATTCGTGAACATGAACATCAGTACTTAAGTAAGATTAGCATCCTACTCAGACGTTGGTACGGTGGACATGATGCTGTTTCCGATGACTATTCTCATGGTGCCTTGTGAAATATATAGACCACATTAATCTGTGCTGCTATTAATAATCTAAAAAGAGGGTCAGAAGAAAAGAATAGATAATTGAGAGGGACACGTAGCAACAAGACAACTAAAAGAGTAAGGGAACATTATCAAAAATATAAAATGAAAATATTCATTTTCCGAATGTGGGAATAAATATAAGGCAGATTTTGCGTTATAGTCAATAGATCTCCAGAAATGATTGTTGTTTGTCACGGGATCATCATGCTGTACACTTTTATTATTGCTGAAAAATTTTTTTTCTTTAAATATTATCTATGATGTAATTAGATATGTGACAACAATGTTTGACTCCTAAAGAAGTTACATACAAGCCTCCTCTACTTTTCACTATACGCACGAAGATCTGTTTTAGAAAATTGCTTATACAATTCACTTCTAAAGTGTTTACATTGACATTATTTTGTTTTCAAATAGTTACGACAACAACCGATAAACAAACGCCGAAAAGATTCAATGAAAGCTGGCTATATTCAGTGACAAGAACAATAAAAGAATTAAAATATGATAACACTTCAAAAAGTTTCAGTGATATATCGAAGATGATCGAAAAACTTACCGGTATACTTCCAGCAGAGGTTATTCCTATTTTACAGACATTAAGTCATTCTTATGCTAAAACCACAGCAAAGACAAAACTGAAATTTGCATACATATCTGGTATATTATCAAAATTTGTGATTAAAGCGTACCGCGTTGTACAACATGGTATGGAAAGTGATGATGAACAGATTTTAAAGAGTTTCAAAGAACAATTAAAAACGAATATCATCGACGACTTACATGAATTTAGTGACACAGCACAGAATGAATTGCTGGATATTCATAAAAGATTGTTACCAAAAGCACAAGCTAATAAAACTGCCCATTTGATGAAGAAAATCGATAATTTGAAAGCTGATTTATTATTGTTTAAATCAAAATTCAAAAAAATAACTTCTGAACGCAATGAAAACCAAGGCCAGATCGATTCACTTCGTTTTGAGAAGAAAGTGTTCGAAGAAGCTTATAAAGATTTGCAGAAAGCTCAAGAAGAAACGAAGAAGGAATTAAACAAATTGAAAGCAGAAATACCCAATTATGAAGACGAGATATATCAACATCGTGATACTCGCTCAGAAAAACGTGGGTCTTTCTGGATATTTTCGTGGAAAACACAGGCCGTTCATAAGAATAATGGTGAACAAATCGCACGGGAAAATTTAGGCCGATTACTACAACGAATCCGCGCTCTTGAAGGAACATTAACGAATTGGCCAAACCAGAATTTGACTAAACGTGTAGCGGACATAACAGATAAGTTGACGACTTCTGAATCAAAGCAAAACTGGTTAGATGATGAATACACACAAGCCAAGAAAGACCATGATAAGAAAGAAAAAGAATTTAATGCAGCTGTTGCAGAAATGAACAAACTCTATAAATCACTTGGAATTTCCAACACTGCCAGTTTGAATGCAGTTGATGATTTATGCCGTGCTGTTTACAAAGGACAAGAGTCTATGATAGCATTGTATGCTAAAGTGCTAGAGTACTTTAACGCTCTCGAAGTTGATACCGATATGCTCGTTGGATCTATAACTGCATCACTACGCTTCTTGAACATGGCCGATGCATACATGGGCACAACAAGAATTGAGAATATCAAGCAAGTACTAGGATTTGAATAGTACTCGTTTGAATCAAGTATATGACCGCGTTTTGAGAACACGATGATCAAGCTTATTTTACTCATTTTTAATAAGGTTATTTCTCTTTTATTGCATGTTTTAGAACCTACAACAGTTTATTTATCTAATCCGTGAATATGATTTTGATCTTTTGCTATTGTAACCATTTTGCTTCGGATTTAAAACGTGAAATATAACAATAAGAATAAATATCTTGGAATTCATATTTTGATCACAGGTCAATTTCATGATGAGCAAAGTATTTTCTAGCTATCGTATCGTGAAATGTATATTTCAATATTGCTATCATTAATAGACCTGCTATTAATAATGTTGAAATGCAACAGATGATAAGATTCTATCATCATCACAATACTCAATTCAATCTATAGAATTGACCAAGGATGATCCGATTCGATACCGCCTTTTTTCAGGCCCCTGTGGAACTTCTTTTGCTTCAAGACAGTACTTTTATGTGACATTGCGGTCCAGGGCTTCGTTTGGAATGGTATATTCCGATCCCACCGTATTCTACGGCTTTACATACAAGTCTCTCCCCTTTGATTCTACGCGTCCCTATGCATGTGTAGATGATATATGAAATACACGATAAAACACTTTGAATGATGTTAGACATTTTCACTATTCACGGACTCGAACCGATATAGTCTACGTAATTCTCATTCCAACGAAATTCGCTTCATTTTGCTAGAATCAATCTTTATTTCTCCTGTGAATCATACCAAATGAGTGACATTAACCATTGCTATCAAGTCATTTACCAAAAACAATACTGTGCTTAGTGAAACTAGCAACATAATCCGATGTCAACTATTAACAAAATAATAAAGAAAGAAAACTGATGATAGAGATATACTTTTAGATGAATGCATCATTTTTAATCTTGCCTTCGATAGCACTGAAAATAAACGCTTATATTTCATCGATTGTTGGATCTCATTTGAATAATTATAAAGAAGAAAACATTAAAACCAATCGAAAAGTTGTTCTATTGATGACTGTATCCATCAACGTTGCCTTCACTAAGACAATGGTATGACTTAGCTGGTAAATTGCACCCGTACGCCTTCATACCTTTATGTCACAGCTCAGAAAAACATCCGAGGTGTCGAAAAGATGAGATTCCGACGTAAATTTAAGACTTGAGTTTTTGCACAAGTTCTTGAAGATTTGGGTTCTATTATAAAATCGGATTGATCATGTGTTTAAAAGTTGCGGCGTACTTTCATATAATCACTTCACAGTTTTAATACATTTTAAAATCCGGTATACATCAATACGCCATACAAGGGAAGAACATTAAATACAAAAGATTCAAAAAATGAATGATTGCTGAAACAATAATGTAATGGCTATCTAGGTAGTTTCAAAAGAACAATTTGTCGCAGGAATACTATCCTATTTCTAATACTCGTTTAATGTCTTTAATCATCGTCGAATCGTTGTATTCATCAGTTATATTTATCAATTTTAAAGCATCAACCACAGCATCGACCAAGAACTTGGAATCAACATCAAATATATTCAAATGATTTTGTATGCTATTACAAGCTGAGATAAGTGTGTTTGATCCAGTTTGAAGAGCGTACCATAGGTCATGCACTAATTTCGTATTATCAGTATCGGCAGGTCTGATAGATAGATGAAGTCGATCAATTTGTTGAATAATCGTATCGAATTCTTGTTTAGTTTTATTATACTGTTTTTGGAATTCATTTTGTTCATGTTCTAACTGAACTTTTCTCTCTTCGTACTTTTTCAATTCACTTGCTGTTTTTCGTCTTTGTTTGATTAAACGAGTACTTGACCAATTTTTATATTTTTCCTCAAGAAAACGAATTCGATTAAGTAATCTGTTGAGATTTTCCCGTGCGATTGTTTCGCCAGTATCTATGTAAAATGTTTGCACATTCCACGAAAGTAATCCAATTCCTTGTGGTTCCTCTGTGTAATTACCAGAATGTGGTTTCACCTTCGCTTGATAATCAGGTATTTGTGCTTTCAATCTGCTTAATTCTGTACGCATTGCTAATCGTGCTTTCTTGGAATTTAGAATGGCTAGATCATTAAATCGTTTGAGATCTTTAATGTATTCTATTTGTCCTTCGTTTGCACTCCATTCAAAGTATTTATTTGTTAGCTTTGCTTTCTGTTCTGATAAATCAGCATCCAACGAACGTCTCTTCTCTAGCAACTTTTGAGTTTCGTCATTGTTTATTCTTTCAAGAAATAGTTGAGAATAAATATTAAATATATCCTTGCTTGACAGTTCAGTAAATTTGGCGAGTTCATCTTTAAAGGTGATGTTTAGTTGATTTGTCAGCGTTTTCAGAGCATCTTCATCTTCTCTGTTCATACCACGTTGAATGATCCACCAGCTTTTAATCACAAATTTTGATAATACAGCACTTAAAACAGCTAAGCCATCTTTTACCCTCTTTGTCGTTTTGGAATGAGAATTCGACAATCTTTGTAAACTAGGCATAAGCTTTTTCGGAAGTGTGCCGGTAGCCATTGAAATTACTTGTGATAGACGTTTGAATATCAATAAACCATTATCAGGTTGTAATTCTCTGATTACTGTTTTTATTCTATCTTGATGACTTCTCGTAAATTTTAACAAATGTGCGTCGGTATTCAATATAACATCTAAATCGGAACGAGAAACGCATATGTAAATATTATCTGTGCGGATTCCGTCAGAAACTTTCACAGAAGCATAGCCCCATATATGTTTAATGTAAGTATATGAACCTCAATCATATTTATAATTATTCTCCATAGGTGAACTATACAGTTGTTTCAAACCTCATACATCTGTAATTACATCGCTCTCCGCCTCTACTATTACAGATACGGAGCTAAATCGTGTGATTTCATACACTTCCGATGCTCAAACGACACAAAAACTTCTCTACACCAAAATCTAAGGCTGTTGGAGTTACTTGAAAAGCTGGTTTTCCATCTCGTATGATTTCTATCCAAGGATGCTTTGTAAAGTCAAATATTCGATAGCAAACTTTGACTAAAAGTTTTCTCTTCGTTTTAGTGTCTCACCTTCTTCACTTGTTCCTGTTGGTCTTTTCGACTTTCTTTTATTCTTTTTCCATTTTGTTGATCTCGCAAATCGACTCCTACTTCCATCTGCCATTGCACTTTCCACTTCCCCATGCAATGCTTGCAGAATACTTTGTCGAGCGTTGGTTGCATCAGTTAAGAGGTGATCACGAGTCAACTTCCAAGTGAGTGTGCGATTCGTTGACCTTGAAAACAAGAAGAGAAGAGACTTTTCAACAGGAAAGGAAAGGAACAGAAGGAGAAATCCGCAAACGCAGAATCTGTTATTCATGGATGTCTCTCGATCTCGATGAACAGCTGTCTTGGTTGAAATGGGCTATTTCTTATACATGAGAAGAGAATGGTAACATCTAGAGAACTTTTCGGGTGAGAGAAAAAGGAACAAGAGTAATACACAGAACATGGTGCAGAGAGAGAACACAAATATTACCCTAGTTTGCTCTTGTGATGTTGCAGATGGATGTGTTCATTGATTGAAGTTGATGTGACAGTGGTACAGAGAAAGGCAGAAAAGAGAAGAGAAGCCAACGAACGCATGTTTTCGAGTGAGAAGTTGTGGATGATATAGAAAAGTGGGTATATAGTTGTACAAGATATTTGACAGAGTTTTTATAGTTATGTGGGTATATGATGGGAAAAGTAGATAGAGATAAGAAATAGCAGAGAAGTGGCGATGACAGTTTGGATAGAAGTGGAGCAGAGCAGAGGTGAATGAAAAGATATGTATTGTGTTGTGTATGTCATTAGACGTTTGGTGTTGTCGGATGGAAGGAAATGTTGTGTATAAAACCGGATGTGTCAATTGTGCGCCATTTCGATATTTTGCCCGTAACAAAAAATTGTACCTGTATGGTACACTTTCTTGCACCTCATTTGAGCATACCAACTTTCCATGTAGTAAACAGAGTTTTCATAGGTCTGAATTAGATCTTACAATAATTATGACAACACTACAATAGTGTAACTTGTATGTGATGTATAAATTCTTGTAAAAATAACACTTAACGGTCGAGAATTTGCGATCAAAATAATACTTTTTCTGTAGCAAAGAAAAATTATGCAGACTTTCATGAGAGAATCGCTTTTTAAGAACGTTTTTCTTTAGAGAAAACTCAGAAAGAAATGGATACTACTACGTTTTCCAAATAATTCAACCAAGAACATGAACGTTCAATCAATGTGTAGCTGAGAATTCTGATATTCTTGGTTTTTGTGTTCGTTAGGAAAACAATTCACAGACATCTAAGCTAGTTAATTGCAATCTTTCAGGTTAATATCATGTCCTTTTTAAATAAAATAATCAAGTTTTTTCTAACTTGTTTCGGAAATAACCATATAGTAGATCTTAAAATATACACTGAAATGCTATGTATAGATGACTGTAGAATTGAAAATTGAAATAAGATTCTAAAAATGAAGCTTACAATGAGAGCAGGAATGCTACATAGTCAACATCTGGTATCCATCATCAGATACGTACGATGACAAAGGCAAAAAATTTTTTCTGCTGATTTCATTTTCTAATATACAAAACTTTGCAACTAGCACCAGACGCGTTCGTTACTTTCTCGTCTAGATCTTTTAAAGTGTAGAAAAGTTTTCTTCTACTGCGCGCTGATACACAGTGGTAATACCTGTCAATAATTATTCAATAAATTGGGAATGTAGAGTGAAATAAAGAGATACTTGTTTGTTTCCTCGGAGAAAAATATTTTCGAGTATATTTTCTCTCAAACAATCCTCTTCTTATGGAAAAGTGTAGTATACTCCATCTAAAATCTAGCGTAACATATTTGAAGCCTAGTACTTGGCAGTCCTGGTTTATGAAGTTCTGGGGGGCGATATTCAGTGGTGCAAAATCTTCCTCTTGGGTCCTCGCACGGGATGCGGATGAGAAATTTTCGAAGAAATCGTTATAGAAAAAGAACATAACCTCGTCATAATTGGCTATTGCCAAGTATCATTCATTCCTTTAAAGCTTTTACATAACGTGCATGCTCTGCTCTTACTTTTAGCAAAAACTTTTAGACAATTGTTGTCGAAATGCAGCTTAGTAATTTTTTCAGAGATTTCTTTGTATTCTTTCATCATTTCTGGAACTATATCGTGACCAAAAAAGAAACATAAAGCATTTGTCACCCTTTATCTTGTGCTTAATGACCAATATTATGAGTGGAAGAAACGGCGTTTGGAAGAATTGCAAGAAAAGGAAAGCTGGAACGCACTGGACAAACGGTAATTAACTCTCGGCAATAAAAGTGATAAAAACTTTCTTAACGAATAAAGATTTGGCAAGTGGTATTGAAGAATTCCTTCATTTCTATTCTCTCATGGTTGTTGAAATAAGAAATGAACCTGTGTGTAAGAATGCTGCTTTGTGCCAAATAAAGTTACTCTATGAGTGACAGAGAAAACAGGTTTGGGGAAATCTTTTACTTTTTGGAAGATTCTGCATCTCTGATTAATCCGAATCGAAAATATCTAGATTAAGATATTTTTTTATTAGAAAAATATCAAAAGCTTTTCTTCTGGTATGGTAATTAGTTTGATCTGATCGATCTGTTTCATCCGTCGAAATGTTCTTCGGTAGCTCCTAGCAATCAATCATCAGATGATATTGACTTCTAACAAACCAATATTGATAAGGTGACCAATCTGAAAGCCACACAGCACGTGTTTATTCATTGAAACGAAAATTTGTGTGAAGTTTCTGTACCGATGAGGAGAAAATATCAACACGTCATGTTCCATTCCACTCAACAATGAGTAAGCCGAGAAGAAATGATTGCGGATTGTCAGTTGTATGCGACGAACGAATTAACGAGATATCTTCGGAGATCGAATCACATAAATGTCGGCGTTTCCAAATACGCTTTCCCCGTGGGTATTGATCTAAACATTGACCAAACCAATATAAAATAGATAAACAATGATCATTTGTTGAACATAAAGATGAGAAAAAACGGTTTTCTTTTAGTAATTCATAATCATCAACATGTTCAAATTGACCAATCGATGGATTTTATTTATAAAGACACTGACTTTCCAAAAGAAGAAACACATTCCAATAGTTTGAATAGCACATATTAACTAACGATGTTGGAAGATAAATACACATGATCTGTTGACAATTACTATTGAACAAACGAATGAAAGAATAAGGATGTTCATCATAGTTGAGAAAAAAACGATTCAGACGAAGTTAATAATGGAACAAAACAATGTTCGGTTGAATACCGTTTTGCGAAACGTAATGATGACGTCATTTGAAGCTTTATCGAACATAGTTTCGTTTCGTTTGAAAAAGCCATTTGACTATGTATTTCAGAAACAAGAGAGAATTACTAGTGAGAAACGTGTTTATACGAAAGAAAGAACAGACTTACTAGAGAAAAATAGAAATCGTGTAATAGGGAGCGAAATTAATATTCTACGTTATGAAGCAATATTCTTTTTGTGAAACTTGTCAACATTTGTGACGAGTCACTCAATATGAAGCTAGCGGTTAAATTATTTCTTCTGGCCTGAACAATATTTACACAGGTATCAGAACGTGTGCAATTCGAGTCCCACGAATATCACTCATCCCTTCCTTTTTCTGTCGTTTTCTTTCAAGCAAAATTCATTTAATCATAAAGAATTTATTTTCAATAAGCACACGTGAGTTAACGATCTCTACTTTTGACAAATTGAATGTGAATGATTGTAATCGAGTACCAGTAAGCGTGAGCTTCAATTCTTTTCTTCTTCTTTCACATATACTTCTCACGATTGATGTATAGTGACGTCTTTATGAGCAACTTTTTGATATCTCGATAATTCTTATCGTTACGTGTTGCTTGTGTTATTCGATTATCTGATATGTTTAATGTTTTTTGTATGTTTATTTTCAGATGTTTTATTTTGAATCAAGTGAAAACATATCAAACTAGCTTGCTTTTTTTATCATTACATTCGATTGGTTTTAAACTTGGTACCAATTCAGTCACAGCTAGCGCAACAAAATCCAGATCAACATCGAATCGCTTCGCAGAAAGAATAAATATCATTTTACTGCTTCCCTCATTAGTAAGATGAATTTTAACATTGTATTCGTCTTCAAAGCGTTTGATGTTAGCATCACAACCGATAACTTTCTAAATTTCATTGAAGTTGATGTAAAACCGTTTGTAAGGAAAAGAAAGAATACTACATCGTAGCGTGTTGTTGTTCCAATCGAAATCAGGTTTAAACTGAAGCAATCATCGGCGGGCCGGCAAAAAAATTTCAGGGGGGCAATTGCCCCCTCCCTCTGGCCCGCCGATGGAAGCACTGGTCCATATCTTTTTATACGATCATTGTTATCTGTACTAGATGACACTGACACGGTATCGAAATATTCCAAATCAAGTCGCTCAACTAATGATGTTGTGAGAGCTAACTCACAACACCCTGTATGAACTGTGATCATCGTGTAAATGTTGTGTACATCTGTGGCGCCTGTTAATTCACGGTTTCTTTTTTCGATATCTGATTCTTTGAACAAAGTAACATTCATTCCTAACCAGTGTTCGATTTTGGTTTGATTACTTGCCATAATCCATGAATGAAAATCAAAGTACGTATTGGAATTGTATATGAGAATAATCCGTTAGTTTTCCGTCAACCTAGAACTGGAAATCTCATTGATAACAAATAGCTAATCTTTCTATGTATCAAGTAATACTCATTGCTTTATTTATTCACTTCGGTCGTCTTGGTATATTCCTCTGTTAAGAGCGCTCACTAACTTAGGTCATATCGTACGTCTATCGATGAAGATAATTCTCCGATTGTTTGTCTTCCTCTTTCGATGAGTGAGCTTTTACTTTCTACAAGAACTCTTGTTGAATAATTTAAATGATATTTGATATGAAAAAAAAGAATTTTATTCTGTTTAAGATAAATCGTTCGATTCATAGTCCTTCAATGATAGACGTTAGAACAAATATATCGTTATCCTCATAATCGTCTTCTATGTTCAGGTTTTGTCAAATCTCGTTCAAGTTGATACTGAGCTGTTTTCTATTCAATAAAGTCTGCTTTCTGTACAAAGAATAAGAAGAACCGTGCGTACTTTGTATTTCGTTTGGAAGGAGATTATCTATGTACCGTATGTGTGTGTTTCGATGACTAAACATAAATACATATATAAACGTCTTTCTTTTCTTTCAGATTTATTGGTCACGTCGACGGAAAGAAGTGACTAAATGCAATCGATCGATTTCACTTTAGTTATGAGTAATGGATGTGAGCATGTTCTCTCCACTATGCGTGCAATGGACGAAACCGAAGTTCATCGTGTTATATTAACAAATATGTCTTAATCAATGATGCAATGCGACAACGACTTGCTCTAGGCTTGAGGGAAACATTACCACCACACAGTTTTAATACGTCTATGAACGATATTGTTCCTCCTGATCGTTTTTATTCAACATGTCAAGATTTTTTTATCTCGTAATATTTATGATCATAGTAATTTATCGGTTGCAACTCCTGTATTGATTCCTGATTTGCCTGTTGATTTTGTATTAGGTACAGACTTGTTCAGGAAGCTCGGTCTTGTGTGGAATTCACGTTTAAACCGTTGGTTAACTCCTAGAGAACAGCAGGAAGAAAGATTAAGAGAAGCTAATCGAAATCTTCTGTAAGAAGGCTAGAACAAAATATTCAGCAAAAAACTCATTCGTTCATTTTTCATCAGAAAGATGTCTATCTGAAAAAGTATCCGATATTCCAACATGTGTTTAGTTGATTTGCTCTTCTTTTGTCATCATTGCTTGTCCGAAAAACTAATTTCGATCGTTGTGTTTCTAAATAAAAATGTTTCGTGTTCTTGCAACTAATCGACTGTTATCTTTTTCAATGTAAAAATTTTTTGTACCTTTTTGTTTTGTCTGTCTCGTGCTTGTTGAATGTGGAGTTTAATTTCAAATATTAATCAAATCATAAAAAATACCCGAAAGTCATTCGATATAGTCGATGGGTTTTCAAGTCTTTAACAATTTTTAGCTAAAGCCGATCTGCCCACTACAATTTCTTCTATAAGGAGATTAAAGAAACAAGACAATTTATTAACAAATCCACGAACAAAGGTTTGATCGTTTAGTATTAGCGTCCTTTCTCGTATCTATATCATCATATATACTAATTGTTCTTGCTGTTTCATTAATATATCTAGGAAGAAATCGTTCGATATAGAGTCGTTGAATGACTTCTGTTGCCACGTAATCTGAACTGTTTTCTTTGATTAATGATAGAATGAAGTATCCGTCCGATTCGAGATAATCGTTGACGAATGCTCGAATCTTCGCTTGATTTTTCATATCACGTACAAGTGATTGTTTTTTTGTTTGAAGTCGTTTTCGAATAAAATCAAGACGATGTCGTACGGTAACCGCCTTTAACCAAACGAAAAAGTCACAGATATTCAATGCGATGACCACCACATACCAAAAGTACAACAGAGTAAACATCTGTTGATTGAATAAGTTCAACGGAAGAACACAAGGTACGGTGTAGTCATGAGATAATTTAGGATGACCGTATTCCCGTATGGTAAAATCACATAAAGTTGTTTTTGGAAATAAACGCGACTCAGTATCCCAATGGATACCTCGAAAAAAACGATCTATAACTTGTATCCCATAGAATGCAAAATTTGAGCCCAGCATTAATCCTAATAGATAGATTTGAAACAATGATACGCCTATGTACATCAGTTTGGTTGTCAAATATAGAACAACAAGATAATTTCCCAGATATTTGCCTGTTAAACACCAGCCACTTGAAAAGCATCGTTGCAAGACATTCAGGTGCGCACGTGAGTCATGCTGCCGTCGATGATCATTGCAATATTGATCAATCGTATCAATAATATGATTCATGCATGTTTGACGATGCGCTGAATCCGTGCTTGGTTGTTTATAGTCATAGGACAATTCGACTAAATCGCCAACTTGTATGCCACTTTTTAATCCCAATGTGTTCCATGATATTCGTGGGATGTAGAAAAGAAAAGCTTTCACTAATAGAAAGAACGGGATCCATTGGTAATACAATATTTCATTTTCTTTCTTAAGATTAGATGATTTCGGTATTTTATCCGTATGTTCAACAAAGTACGTATTTTGAACGAAACATATTGATCGAACGTATTCGTCGTAATTGGGTGTAAAGAATGCAGGTATCTTCAAAAACGAACAGAGAATCGTACTGAATAAGGAGATAAAACAACTTACCCAACATTTAATTTGATCAGTATGAAGACGATTCATATTAAGAATGGCAAATCCAACTAAAATCGTTACTGTATATCGATAATTCAGTCGATCGGATATAACATCATCGTTTCGTTTGCCTGTCATCATGGTCGACGCTCGACCCATAAGAGAATGGAAATCCATTTTTCAAATTTCAAATCAAAACACCGAATAGCACAACAGACGTTATACCATGTATATGTATCCGACGATGTGTATTAGAATGCAGTCAACTAGTAGTAACTTGCCTTCTGTACTGATCAATCATGGTATGTAAGTAATCAACGATTGTCTATAGCGAAGAAATCATGCTTGTTTATATGTTTCATCTCAGAGGAGAAGACATGAATTACTTTTTTTTCTTCTCTGCGTATACTTGTGGGATGATATAATGAAGAAAAGAGAGTGGCAAATATAACAAATCTTCTCGATGTATATGGAAGGAGAATGAAGCTTAATGCTCCTATCTGTCATGTAACTAATCTAGAATGATATATAGCAATAGATTATCTCTCGCTTCTTCGTTTCTCGCTGTCTTTCGTTCCAATCTAACAGACGGAAATAAATATCACAACTTATTTGCTCGTTACTGTTACATTCTCATAGACGGACACGACAATTATGCAAAGGCAAGTGTATAGATATGTATACCATCTGTTAGTTATCAATGATATTTAAGAAACATATTATTGGATGAGAAGGCATATCTTCGCGTCGATCCATTAGAAACAATAGTTCATATGATCAGATCTATTTATTACATTAAAATTAGAGTTATTCATTCTCGTATGCTGAACACAAAGAGAAACACACTTTTAGTTTTGAAATTAATACAAGAATAAGGTCACAACATAGAACCAAAACGCACAGTGAGTAGAGAAAGAGAGAGAGAGCTCAAGTACGCCGTTTCAATGAACTAGAATCAAATGTTATAAGAACAGGACTAGGTTGAACTGTACGTGAATAATGAGAAACAGATAAGGTTGGCTCAAAGCTGTATCGATTTGCTACATCGAGTTCATTCATTTCTGGAACAGCTTCAAGGGGTACACGCGAAGCATTTTTGCGAGTATCGGAATCGGCATATGGTATAGGCGAAATGTTTCCAGATGAAGTTGACTCAGCAAACGATGTCGTTTTGTTTTCATCAATCGCTGTAAATGTCAAAGTCGATGAAACAATTGCGTGCGGATTGTCCATCGGCTGAGAACAACGTGTTAATTGTGGTGTAGCAATTGGATTAGAAATGACGGAATCACGACAGCGTGGAACAGTTGTTACTTTGGCTAGAGATATTGTTGAATCAGTGTAAGTATCTTGTGGAGATGGCGGTCGAAGACATGCTGCATTAGCTTGAGGTAAAATTCGATTTTGAGGATTGTATAAGGGTGTCGTTGCTAGATCATTTGTTTTCAAAAGATTTGCATGGTATCGATCGACTTTCATATGGGAACAATCACCCAATCTAAATAATACATATTAAAATACAAATAATATCTCTTCTTCTTATTCAACAAACTTATATCGAGTTGAAGGAAAACACCACCACTTCCATTTATTATCTGGAAAGACAAAGAAAATTGAAGACAATTTTGTTATTCTAACCGATCATCTTACCACATTCAATGTCTGTACAGTATGTTCGTCGATAATGATAGTATTTAAATATACAGAATACGCATATACACATTGATCCGATGGTTAGTAGAATCAGAATACAAAGAGATACAATCAAGACTCTGCTTGATCCACTATAAGCAAGAATCGAATTGAATTCTAAAGTCAAACAATCCTTTCATATCAGTCAAATGAAAAGAAAAGCCAAACACGTACGTATGTCAATCTGTGATCGAACAGGAAGACTATATGTTCCCGTATCTGAATAGGAGAAAACTTCGACAAGATATTTCGTTTGTTTAATATCTTTGATCATGTATGAATTTGTAGGGTAATCAACGACGATAAACCGTTGAGATTGTTGGTTGTTGAAGAGAATAGTAGAACGCCATTGTATGACATAAGAAACAATGTTGGTTGATGAGGGGTGATTCCATGTAATGTAAAGATTTGATCTTGATTGAGATAAATGAAGATTTGTTGGTGATGCTGGTCGAGAGAGATTTGGCATTTGTGACTTATGTAAATAATCGACGGAAATATTTTCAGTATTGTTCAATTCAATTGTTCGAATAGGAGTGAATGTGCCTAGACCTAACTGATTCTCTGCAACGATTGTGATTTCATACGTTTGTTGCAATTTCAAATCGAATAATATAAATTCCGTTGCATTCGTAGGTAACACGCGCACTTGATGCCAATCTCGTTTTTTCGCATGTAATAATCGATACCAAATGATAAAATGTTGAGCTTGTCCACCATCGTAACCTGCCTCCCAAGATAAAATAAGATTAGGTCCAAATTGTTTATATTCAACATGATGAGGTGCTTGGGGCGTTGTATCTAAACGATTATATTACAGAACTAAAGCAATCTTCTCTATAAATCGATACTTACTTTCGACTATGATCAATGTAGTAATATTCGTAGTTGTATGTTCATTGCTTGCTTGACACACATATATTCCATGATCAGTTTTGTCGATCGAATCCAATGTTAAATTGCCATTAGTATCTCTCAGATCAAGTGTGTCCTAATAATATCGATCATGATTTCTTGTACGGTAAAAATGAAAGTTCAAACTGACTTTAAACCATTTGATCATTGGTTGCGGATTTCCGAAAGCGACACATGGTATTATCAGTTGGTCACGTTCATGAACACGATAGATCGATTTCGGTTTTAGAAGAAATTTAATTGGTTCTAAAAAGTATCTCATCCAGTTACATAGTCGTCGTGATATAAATCTCAAATCAAACCTCTAGTTTCGACATAGAATGGTAGACTGTCCCGTCCAAATCCTTCTGAATTTTGCGCTCGACAAAAGTATTTCCCATCGTTCGTACTTTCAACTGATTTAATCACCAAACTGTAGTCGGAATTGATCGAATAGGTGCCAATTGATCGTGATTCGATACGTATCGATTTATCATTTCGATACCAAGCTACCGACTGAATCGGTGGATATGCATCCAGTAAACACGGACATATTCCAACAGAACCACGAATCAACGTTAAATTTCCCACTTGACGACTACGCGATGGCATCGGTGGATCTATCAATTAAGTTCACACTAAACAGTCAATCATCTCTATAAATAACTTACATGTAACTGTAATAATCGCAGGTTTGCTGCGCACATTGACTAGCTTCGATGCACTGATAATACATACATACGATCCATGATCGGAAGGTTCAATTCTTTGAATATTAAGCACACCATCACTATATGTTCGTATCCGATCCTGTGATGCAATTACATCCGATATAGGAAGATCATCTTTCAACCTAAGAAACCAAATTATATATCGATCACTTGACAGGTGTTATTATCTAATATTGCAATCTTACCAATGATATTGTAATGGTTCACTACTTTCGCCCTCACATTTCAAAATCAAACTCTCGTTGATTTTAACTGTTTGGCTTTGAGGAAAACGTCGCCAATAAATTGAACCTATTCGATTTGTAATTAAATATCAAGAACGTTCCCCATTCATTTCTCTTACCACGTATAAGAAGTTGAAAATCGTGCTGTACTACTCCCAAACGATTTTCTCCTCGACATCGATAATATCCAGCCATGCGATCATCAACATTATGCATAGTCAACCTTAATTCGAAAAGAATGTCGATCAAAATTCATATGAAATCACAAAGCATACTGTTGAGCATTGCCTGACATTAATTCTTGATCTTCGTTACCATTTTTCTCAAAAATTCGGTACCATGTCACTACTGGAACTGGTACGCCATAGATTTGGCAAATAAAATCCACCGTTGTATAATGTGGAGCGATTTGTAACGAATTCGATAGATTAACAAAACGTGGTTTTTCTAAAATCGAATCCTCAAAATCAGAACTATTGAAAAACACACTTACCATTAACACGAAATGTAATCAGATATTTGTCTTTGATATCAAGTAGACCACGATCAATTAAAATCAAACGACATTCAAACGTGTCATTATCGTTTAATTGTACATTAGCAATATTTAATGAACCATTCGATAAAAGACTGTATTTATATCGATAGAAATCATCGATATGCACAGGATAGTCATCAAATTGACTAGCTATTGGTTGTGTGTAATTATTATCAGAACGATACCATTGAAGGATGGTTGGAAACGTCCATTTAGTTCGATCTATCGGACAAGGAATAATCACATTCACATCTCCTATTTCACTATCAATGATAATTGATGATGATGTAATTGAAGAAAGTACACACGCTACAAAATTCAATGTGTAAAACCAAACAACAAACTTTAAATAGTCTTACCAAAGTATAAAATTACAAAAACGTTCTTGATTATTTTTAGAATCGACATAGAGTAATGACATAATTTAATCAAATGAAAACTTCAATCACATTATAATATCTATAAATTTAAAAAAAAGAGAAACGTTTGAATTTCACCTAGTTGATTGATATATCATGATGAAAATGACAAGCGAGTATGTAATGTATATGTGACGAGAGTACGAGCGGTTTTTTTTGCTAAAATAAAGTTCATCAAGCGAAAGAGGAGAAGAGCATCGAATACATCATATGGGCAGACAAGAAAAGAAAGTGTTCTCATATAAATTGAAACAAATTCTTTGATAAAAATAGCAGACAACTACTTATACATTCCTTCGATGACATTCAAAAGTGTGTGCTCGACTTCTGTTCATTCTTTCTTCAACTAACTAACAACAACAATAACATTATTATTCTTTGTCCGAGATACGTATATATATATATATATATACATGAAGAGTTCTCATCTTATTATTTCGCTCGTCTCCACTCAGACTTAGAATTGAACATCGTGAAATAAGATGTATTATCGATAGAGAGGAGAAAAAAGAATGACTTTACAACAGATTATATCAAAAGGTTCCGATAGCCTTGGTAGAAGAATAAGATAACGATCTTATTTTCTTGCTGATTAACAATAGCTCGAGCAGAGGTCAACAAAAAAGGAATCATCATACGGCGAACATGAACGAGTGTTCTACATCAATCATATATGTTTAGAGTTACACCATCAGGATGATGATGTTCATTGATTCAATAATGTAACTACTTACGTCTTCTTTGACAAAGAGAAGAGTAAATTGCGAACTAATTCAGTTTAGAAACGCTACGAGCATCGGCAACATCTACAGATGAAATTGAAAGTAGGTTAGATGAAGCATACAATTTCTATATATAAATGTGTTTTATNTATGTTTCATCTCAGAGGAGAAGACATGAATTACTTTTTTTTCTCTGCGTATACTTGTGGGATGATATAATGAAGAAAAGAGAGTGGCAAATATAACAAATCTCCTCGATGTATATGGAAGGAGAATGATGCTTAATGCTCCTATCTGCCATGTAACTAATCTAGAATGATATATAGCGATAGATTATCTCTCGCTCTTTCTTTCGTTCCAATCTAACAGACGGAAATAAATATCACTACTTATTTGCTCGTTACTGCTACATTCTCATAGACGGACACGACAATTATGCAAAGGCAAGTGTATAGATATGTATACCATCTGTTAGTTATCAATGATATTTAAGAAACATATTATTGGATGAGAAAGTATATCTTCGTGTCGATCCATTAGAAACAATAGTTCATATGATCAGATCTATTTATTACATTAAAATTAGAGTTATTCATTCTCGTATGCTCAACATAAAGAGAAGCATGCTTTTAGTTTTGAAATTAATACAAGAATAGGGTCACAATATAGAACCAAAACGCACAGTAAGAAGAGAGAAGGCTCAAGTACGCCGTTTCAATGAACTAGAATCAAATGTTATAAGAACAGGACTAGGTTGGACTGTACGTGAATAATGAGAAACAGATAAGGTTGGCTCAAAGCTATATCGATTTGCTACATCGAGTTCATTCATTTCTGGAACAGCTTCAAGGGGTACACGCGAAGCGTTTTTGCGAGTATCGGAATCGGCATATGGTATAGGTGAAATATTTCCAGATGAAGTTGACTCGGCAAACGATGTCGTTTTGTTTTCATCGATCGCTGCAAATGTCAAAGTCGATGAAACAATTGTGTGCGGCTTATCCATCGGCTGAGAACTGCGTGTTAATTGTGGTGTAGCAATTGGATTAGAAATGATGGAATCACGACAGCGTGGAACAGTTGTTACTTTGGCTAGAGATATTGTTGAATCAGTGTAAGTATCTTGTGGAGATGGCGGTCGAAGACATGCTGCATTAGCTTGAGGTAAAATTCGATTTTGAGGATTGTATAAGGGTGTCGTTGCTAGATCATTTGTTTTCAAAAGATTTGCATGGTATCGATCGACTTTCATATGGGAACAATCACCCAATCTAAATAACACATATTGAAATACAAATAATATCTCTTCTTATTCAACAAACTTATATCGAGTTGAAGGAAAACACCACCACTTCCATTTATTATCTGGAAAGACAAAGAAAATTGAAGATAATTTTGTTATTCTAACCAATCATCTTACCACATTCAATGTCTGTACAGTACGTTCGTCGATAATGATAGTATTTAAATATACAGAATACGCATACACACATTGATCCGATGGTTAGTAGAATCAGAATACAAAGGGATACAATCAAAATTCTGCTTGATCCACTATAAGCAAGAATCGAATTGAATTCTAAAGTGAAACAATCCCTTCATATCAGTCAGATGAAAAGAAAAGCTAAACACGTACGTATGTCGATCTGTGATCGAACAGGAAGACTGTATGTTCCCGTATCTGAATAGGAGAAAATTTCGACAAGATATTTCGTTTGCTTAATATCTTTGATCGTGTATGAATTTGTAGGGTAATCAACAACGATAAACTGTTGCGATTGTTGGTTGTTGAAGAGAATAGTAGAACGCCATTGTATGACATATGAAACAATATTGGTTGATGAGGGATGATTCCATGTGATGTAAAGATTTGATCTTGATTGAGATAAACGAAGATTTGTTGGAGATGCTGGTCGAGAGAGATTTGGTTTTTGTGAGTCATGTAAATAATCGGCGGAAATATTTTCAGTATTGTTCAATTCAATTGTTCGAATAGGAGTGAATGTACCTAGACCGAACTGATTCTCTGCAACAATCGTGATTTCATACGTTTGTTGCAATTTCAAATCGAATAATATAAATTCCGTTGCATTCGTAGGTAACACACGAACTTGATGCCAATCTCGTTTTTTCGCGTGTAATAATCGATACCAAATGATAAAATGTTGAGCTTGTCCACCATCATAACCTGCGTCCCAAGATAAAACAAGATTAGGTCCGAATTGTTTATATTCAACATGATGAGGTGCTTGCGGCGTTGTATCTAAACGATTATATATTGCATAACTAAAGCAATCCTCTCTATAAATTCAAACTTACTTTCGACTATGATCAATGTAGTAATATTCGTAGTTGTATGTTCATTACTTGCTTGACACACATATATTCCATGATCGGTTTTGTCGATCGAATCCAATGTTAAATTACTATTGGTATCTTTCAGGTCAAGTGTGTCCTAATAATATCGATCATGATTTCTTGAACGGTAGAAATGAAAGTTCAAACTGACTTTAAACCATTTGATCATTGGTTGCGGATTTCCGAAAGCAACACACGGTATTATCAGTTGGTCACGTTCATGAACACGATAGATTGATTTAGGTTTTAGAAGAAATTTAATTGGTTCTAAAAAGTATCTCATCCAGTTACATAGTCATCCTGATATAAATTCAAAATCAAACCTCTAGTTTCGACATAGAATGGTAGACTGTCCTGTCCAAACCCTTCTAAATTTTGTGCTCGACAAAAGTATTTTCCATCGTTCGTACTTTCAACTGATTTAATCACCAAACTGTAGTCAGAATTGATCGAATAGGCACCACTTGATCTCGACTCGATACGTATCGATTTATCATTTCGATACCAAGCTACCGACTGAATTGGTGGATATGCATCCAGTAAACACGGACATATTCCAACAGAACCACGAATCAACGTTAAATTTCCCACTTGACGACTACGTGATGGCATCGGTGGATCTATCAATTGAATTCACACTAAACAGTCAACCATCTCTATGGATAACTTACATGTAACTGTAATAATCGCAGGTTTGCTGCGCACATTGACTAGCTTCGATGCACTGATAATACATACATACAATCCATGATCAGAAGGTTCAATTCTTTGAATATTAAGCACACCATCGCTATATGTTCGTATCCGATCCTGTGATGCAATTACATCCGATATAGGAAGATCATCTTTCAACCTAAGAAACAAAATTATATATCGATTGCTTGACAGGTGTTCTTATCTAATATTGCAATCTTACCAATGATATTGTAATGGTTCACTACTTTCACCCTCACATTTCAAAATCAAACTCTCGTTGATTTTGACTGTTTGACTTTGAGGAAAACGTCGCCAATAAATTGAACCTATTCGATTTGTAATTAAATATCATGAATGTTCCCTATTTATTTCTCTTACCACGTATAAGAAGTTGAAAATCGTGCTGTACTACTCCCAAACGATTTTCTCCTCGACATCGATAATGTCCAGCCATGCGATCATCAATATTATGCATAGTCAATCTTAATTCGAAAAGAATGTCGATAAAAATTCATATAAAATCATAAAACATACTGTTGAGCATTGCCTGACACTAATTCTTGATCTTCGTTACCATTTTTCTCAAAAATTCGGTACCATGTCACTACTGGAACTGGTACGCCATAAATTTGACAAATGAAATCCACCGTTGTATAATGTGGAGCGATTTGTAACGAATTCGATAGATTAATAAAACGTGGTTTTTCTAAAATCGAACTCTCAAAATCAGAACCATCGAAAAATACACTTACCATTAACACGAAATGTAATCAGATATTTATCTTTGATATCAAGTAGACCACGATCAATTAAAATCAAACGACATTCAAACGTGTCATTATCATTTAATTGTACATTAGCAATATTTAATGAACCATTCGATAAAAGACTGTATTTATATCGATAGAAATCATCGATATGCACAGGATAATCATCGAATTGACTAGCTATTGGTTTTGTGTAATTATTGTCAGAACGATACCATTGAAGGATGGTTGGAAACGTCCATTTAGTTCGATCTATCGGACAAGGAATAATCACATTCACATCTCCTATTTCACTATCAATGAGAATTGATGATGATGATGTAATTGAAGAAAGTACACACACTACAAAATTCAATGTGTAAAAACCGAATAACGAACTTCAAATAGTCTTACCGAAATATAAAATTACAAAAACGTTCTTGATTATTTTTAGAATCGACATAGAGTAATGACATAATTTAATCAAATGAAAACTTCAATCACATTATAATATCTATAAATTAAAACAAAAAGAAACGTTTGAATTGTACCTAGTTGATTGATATATCATGATGAAAATGACAAGCGAGTATGTAATGTATATGTGACGAGGGCTTTTTTTTGTTAAAGTTCATCAAGCGAAAGAGAAGAAGAGCATCGAATACATCATACGGACAGACAAGAAAAGAAAGTGTTCTCATATAAATTGAAACAAATTCTTTGATAAAAATAGCAGACAACTACTTATACATTCCTTCGATGACATTCAAAAGTGTGTGCTCGACTTCTGTTCATTCTTTCTTCAACTAACTAACAACAACAATAACATTATTATTCTTTGTCCGAGATACGTATATATATATATATATATACATGAAGAGTTCTCATCTTATTATTTCGCTCGTCTCCACTCAGACTTAGAATTGAACATCGTGAAATAAGATGTATTATCGATAGAGAGGAGAAAAAAGAATGACTTTACAACAGATTATATCAAAAGGTTCCGATAGCCTTGGTAGAAGAATAAGATAACGATCTTATTTTCTTGCTGATTAACAATAGCTCGAGCAGAGGTCAACAAAAAAGGAATCATCATACGGCGAACATGAACGAGTGTTCTACATCAATCATATATGTTTAGAGTTACACCATCAGGATGATGATGTTCATTGATTCAATAATGTAACTACTTACGTCTTCTTTGACAAAGAGAAGAGTAAATTGCGAACTAATTCAGTTTAGAAACGCTACGAGCATCGGCAACATCTACAGATGAAATTGAAAGTAGGTTAGATGAAGCATACAATTTCTATATATAAATGTGTTTTATATGTCGAAACAAGAATAATTGTCCTGTCAACTTACAATCCGAGTGGAAGAAAAAAAAGAAAAAGACAGGCAGATGGACAGACGCACTAATTATGTGTTATTAACGGAAGATATATGTAACTAAACACTAGAAAGAGAAGATCACGTCACGCTATATGAACATTTATACAGAGAAATGGTTATTCAATTAGTCAACAGTTTTCTTTTTTGTTCAACACACGAACATCAAGATGAGAATAATGAACAACAGGTCAAAAAACATTTGCTCATAATGATGATTCAAGTAACACGCCTTTAGTTTCTTTCTTTCTCTCTCTGCTCTCGTACATATGCACACAAAACTGAACATGTTGATATGATTACATAGTCTCACGAATAATATCAGCCGGAAGGAAAAGGCTTGTAACAGCTCTGTTCAAACATCATCGTGAATGAACATCATCAACTAAAGACAATAAATATAATACATAGCATCAACAATTCTCCAGGTTTATACATGTATATGCCATTAGAGAAGAAGAAAATGACCATTGAAAGCACACAAGGGAGAATCTCTGTATGTACACGGCGAGGTCAGCGAAAAGAGATAACAGCGTAGATGCTTTTCTATATGCCAATCAATCGAGCTCCTACGGTGGTATGTCCTTCTCGTTTTTTTGTCTTTTCTGTTTGATCTTTTTTTTTGACATTATCTGTCCATTGGATACCTTTTCAACGGGTAATATAATCATGATTCTTCACACAAAAATACTAATCAGATATCACTCGGTGAAAGAATCCACTCAATGTCGAATAGTCATTCGAAGAAAGAGAAAAGCGCTTATCAATTTCTTTCATTCATGTTCAAACACTTTTTGTGAAAGATAAAATGCAATAAAAATAACAACGACTCACTTGAATTGAACATAAACACTTTCTCTCGTTTGTTTCGATTTGCTTTATTCATATCAAACAGGAAATTCTTCTAACAATGCCTCTTCTTGTTCTATTCTGTTGGGTGACGAGAGGAGCCAATGTTCGCACTTGACCATAGGCTAGTGTGCAGAACGCGAAAAGCGAAACGCCATCTTCAAAAGAAACGAACCAAATGTCCATCAATGNATAACAACGACTCACTTGAATTGAACATAAACACTTTCTCTCGTTTGTTTCGATTTGCTTTATTCATATCAAACAGGAAATTCTTCTAACAATGCCTCTTCTTGTTCTATTCTGTTGGGTGACGAGAGGAGCCAATGTTCGCACTTGACCATAGGCTAGTGTGCAGAACGCGAAAAGCGAAACGCCATCTTCAAAAGAAACGAACCAAATGTCCATCAATGAAAGCACAAGCAGAAGGAAAGGAAGAGAAGAAAAAAACGCATATCTTATTCCATAACGATTCAATTCGCCTCGTTCATCTATATCTCACTTGACACATGTGTGAATAAATTATGTCTAACGTGAAATGTTTAATTATGCCTTGCTGAATGAATTCTATGTAGATTCAGAATTATTGTAACGACGAAAATATCTAACAGTAGTGTTGGATGTGTATGCACACGGGAAAGTCCTTGTGTTTGTATGCTGAGTTATCTCGAAATTCCCTTTCTATACTTTCATAAGAGTATCATGTGAAATAGTGTGCATAGTATTGGAATCAAGTGCATATGATTTCAAGGATCAATATTAATCATGTATTTGTATCTAGTTATGTAATGTTCTTTTTATTTTATTTGTGTTTCAGAGTAACACAATCTGATGTAGAAAATACGTACATATAACAGACACAAAAAAGATTCTCATATATTCCCTCCTTTCGTTCAATAATTCTGTCGATAAGAATTATACGAATTGTTTTGGCGTGGTTGAAAATTACCGCGTGGATGACGCGGACGATAATCGTCGTTGAAATTGCGTGGTCGATATCCGTCATTGAGATTGCGTGGACGAAAGCCATCGTTTTGAAAACGTGGTCGATAACCATCATTTGAATAGCGCGGACGGTAATCGCCGTTTGACTCTCGTTGGCGATTGTTATCGTACGGTTGCCTGTAATTGTTGAATCCACCAGATTGACGAGTGAAACCACCCGGTTGTTGTTGTTGCTGCTGCGAACCTATCGAATGCCGGATTGTGCGATGAGCAGTTGCGAAATCTCGTTGATATTGTGGCCGTTGAGCAAATCCTAGATTTGGTCGAAACGGTTGTGATTGATCATAATCATATGGTTTTAGTGTCGGCGTTGGCATTTGAACATTATCTAACAATTTCGCTTGAAAAATATAATCATCATCGTATGGCAAGTCTCGATACTTCACACACATGATTTGATTGTTAAGAACATCTTCACAATTAGGTAATGGAGGTTTTATTTTATCTCCAATAGGCTTAATTTTATCATCATCATCTGGCCAAAGAAGTCCAGCTATGCCTCCGCTTAATCGCGTTGGTAATTCTAATGAATTTTTTTTTGTAATTTCATTTTCGCCTGGAACGTATAACTTTTTCAAATAATCATAGCATAAATCACTCGAATGAATGAAAAGACGATCAGAATCACGTTTATTGCGTCTCTCTTCTTCATTTGTTAATGTTGAATAGACATGTTCCAGTGTGCGATGTAAACGTTTTTCATCGACAAACGGTAGCAGAGCAACACCTTGCCACAGTTGTTGTTTACCATTGAGATCTATACAGAAATTTAATGGATAAAAGTCAATTATCGGAGATTCTTTTTGTGTCATTAGAGGTTGCCATTCCACAGGTAGAAATTGACGAGACTGGGATGGAAAGACGGCCATCAATTGTTCTAATGGCTTAAATGGCTTAGTTTTCTTATCGAAAGTGACTGGTAGATCTTTCAGATGAAGAAAATCTGATGCAAATGGTGCGTAATGATAGGGAAAATACCTAGGAGAAAAGAATAATTTGCTGAAAGGTAAAGTTTACAAGAAAATATCTACCAGTCCCATGCAGGTACACCTTGATAATAATATTGAAGAACCCAACATAGACCTCGAGCATAATGCTGTGCAACTTCAACACGAAATTGATCTATTTCATCTTTATCAACATTGAATTTATTCTTATAGTATCTTCCGCGCCAGCCCTCTTCCCAAAGACGAACTGTGTCATTTGGATCGTTGTCACCTTCTTCGTCTACCACGGAGTTCTGTTTACTCAAGACGACTGAATCAGTATCGCGGTCCATTTCTTCATGGGTACGTTTTCTAGATCGATGATTCGACGTATCATCCGATGAAAAGTCTACACGTTGCATCTGACGTAGTTGTGCATTAGCCTGACTTGGATTCGCAATACTTGCAGTAGGACGTTGGCCAATTGGTTGTGGTTCTAACTGTGGTGCTGACATCCAGACAGGGAGTTGTGTAAGTCTAGAAAGATGCATTTAGATCAAAACGTTCCGTATGAATAGCAATTAACCCTACCCTGCCGGTTCTGTTGTTGATCGGAGACGTTTATTTGGCGGTTGGTTATTATTGTTATATGATCGATTGCGTTCACGTTGTCGTTGATCATTTTCGTGTCGCCTGGCAAATATGTCATCTTCCATTCTTCCAATATTTGTTAGAATGACTTCCACACGTTCCATGACCGGTATACCATTTTCAGTTAAATAACCTTGAAATTTCGATACATTACTCTTGTAAATATCGATCAAACGGTCGATCGCATTTTCACGTATCTCAAGTGATGGTAAATGCGGTAAGAAATCATTGCCAACGAAAAAGCACATGAATACCCAATCATCAATAGCGCGTTCAATATCCCATTCGAACGATAAATGCCGACGTAAATCTAAGTCCCGATAAAGATATTCTCGTAAGATGGATAATCGAACGAAGATGTATTGAGTTTCTTGTGAATTCCCCAGTGCTAATTCATCATTTTTACCAAATTTTTCTTTCGGAATACCTTTACAATCTTTTAAAGTGTGTCCAAATTGTCCACATAATTCACACGGACGTGGTTTGAATGGTTTAAATTCCTCACGAATAATTGTAAAATACGGTTCATGTGTGGCCAAACCGAGCATGATTAAATCAGCATCAGCACCACATAGAACATGATGTGTATTAGGATCGTGGTCAGGCTGGGCACGTTGTCGACGAATGTAATCCATGATTTTGTGTTCACCTTCACCGGGAACATTGGCATCCGACAGAATGATTTTAATAGATCGCCACGCAGGATTCGTATTCATACGAAGTCGGATATAATAACGAAGACATTCAGCTAGTTTCGACATAAATGGCGTACCAGGTGTAATACAATTCGAATCGAAGTGTTCGGTTCGGCCTTCGGGTTTTTTGTCTTCAGGTAAAAGACCACCATTGGATCGGATGTCATTGGAAATCTGTTCGATCATTTGCTGTTTATCAACGGCATCTTTCGAAGCTCGAAACCGTCTCGAACGTTGTTGATTCATTTTCGCACGTGGTGCAACACCATCAATTGCCATGTAGAGCAATTTTCGTGGACGAACAATTGAAAATAATCGATCGATACATTCAAAAATCAAGATCATCATTTCGTCTTCGTTTTTCGGTGGTGGACGATCTTCTGGATGTGTACACGGATGAATAATTCCATTCATGTCTAAATACAAATTGTCAAACTAAAAGAAAAACATTCATTGAAGACATTATCTCCAAATTAAATTCCGAAATTTACTTCATAACCATTCGGATTCGGTCTAGTTTCATCTAATGGATGATAAACGCCTTGAGCATCTTGAAATACACATAGACAAATGTATTACATTAGATATGAATAAAGTTGTTTACCTGTGGAAGGTTTATCTTCGATGCAATTACACACAACGGATGGATATTTTTTTGTTAACCAACGGAAAAATGCTGGAACTCCCATTTCAAATAACAAAGAATAATAATCTATGAGTAAAAATCGATCGAATAGAAATCGAAACGAAAATTTCTTCCAACCGACCTGTGAATTAAAAAACCTTAAGAAACAAAAGAAAAACTTCAACTAATAATTGTAACGAAAGATTTTGTATGAGTGATCAAGAGAAAAACGGTTAGACCTTTGAAAGTTGTCAACGAATAGTGATCAAACATTGCATAGATGTCAGTATCTTACACAAATAATACACTTTCTTTTGCAAAGTAAAATCGAATTTTTATATGATTATTCTTAAGAACAAAAGTCATCGTCTTTATTCAACAACAAAATATATATACTTTTTTTTATGAATTAAGATATATAAACAAGAAGAAGAAGAACTCATTCTATACAGAACAAACACTTAGAATTAATCTGAATAAAAAATTCTCATAAATTGTTCGATTGAAAAGATATTCTTAGCGAAATTTTCGTTTTGAGCTTCTGATAATGATCGCATTGATTTCGGAGTAGGATGAAGAGTTGTTGTCTGATTTAAAACAGTCGTTCGACGGTGTGTCAATTTCGTCGGTTGCTTGGGAGTCGAGCGCGCCTGTTGTCTATGTTTTTCATCTTCAACTATCAGTTTATTGAAGATTCGTTTGTAAATATATTCAATCGCTTCTGTAAACGATCGATTTGCTCGTAATTTTCTTCGCGCTTGATCATCTTTGACGATGAGTTGAAGTAAAAAGCAAAGTTGCTCGAAGATTTCATGACCATTGTTTTGATAAAACTTTAATAAAAGCATCGTAAAGTCTTTGACATATTCAGATTTTTCAATTAATTTCACAGTCAAATCATGTTTGACAGTAAAGAGCCGTAGAATAGTCAAGACTTTGCTAAGCAAGATCGTTGATGGTCCACTTCGATTGCAACATTTCATCAGAATAAAAAACAAACGCAATAAACCTTGTTGAGCTATTAAATAGCGTATTTCCAAACAACAACCAATAATTGGTTCAATATCGCGTAGAAAATGTAGATAAGCAGTCAGTGACAATGCCGACGATTCAGAAAATTCTTTGACTATTTGCATCATACGTTCACGAATGGTTAGGGATGAGGACGATTGAAATTGTTGTGAACGAAGTTTGTCAAGAATATGAACTACTGGATGATGATTTCGCACGTTCTCCGCACGAGTTTGATATCCGCGCCAATGGGCCTAGAATGAATGAAAATTAAACATTTTCTCACGTATTTATTCGATGATTTACTTGAACGATTTCAGCTGCGTGCATCTGCCGTTCTGACTCGGATCGTTGCTCATTTGAACGATTGTTTTGATCATCGTTTCTAAGTGTATCCTGCTGTTGTTGAGATAAAAATAAAGTAAATGTTTCTTTGATCATTCTTGTATTGATTGGATCGACGAATGATCCCTTTAGGAAAAGAACAACAAAGAAAAATAAAAATTTGAAATAGTTTCCAACTTGCTTCGTCTAATTTGTTTGAATCGACACTATCCACTTCGGATGAAATGGTTTCATCGATAAGGCATAGAGATGTGTTGTTTCTACTTTCTTCTTTTTCGATGGTTTTCTCTAATTCAACAAAATCATCCATTGAAAGTGAAGCCATTGTAGCAGCAATGGATGTTCGTCGATGATCGATTCTTGTTGAACTTGAACGAGCCGAACTGAATGATTCTTCTTCTTCTTCTTCTTCGTGATTATCGACATCATCTGTACGAAATTCTGATAATAAATCCAGACGATCCAGAATGTCATGATTCATTGTATCCAAAACTGATTGTGAAATCACGTCATTCGTATTTGTCATCGTCTTGTTGTCCTCTTCTTTAACTGGTACTGATATCGATTCCAAGTGAATGATTGGAATCAGGTGAATATTTTCCGTTGGATAAGTAAGTGAAAGTTTAGCAGAAAGAACTTCTTCATTGGGTGTTTCATTGATAAGAGAAATTTCCGGAGAATTCTCTTGAGTGATTTCAATCTCCTCTTTCTTCGAGTGTTGACTTCTAAATTCATCGAAAATCATCTGATGACGAAAATCACTTTCGTCATCTAAGTGTTGATGATGGTCGAATAGTAAATCATGCGCAAGCATAGCCAAGATTAGAATTGTACATCGTTGATCAGGTAAATCTTTCGCATAAGATTCGTATTTGATTAGATCGTATGAAAATGTTCCGAATTGTTTGATACACTCTTCCAATAAACGAAAATTTGCTTTGACATTACGTTCGTATGTGTTGATCAAGTGTTGTTGAGGTTGTTGACCAAGTTCAAGATTGAATTGAATATGTTCTTCACGTGTCTGACATGTTGCTAGTGTTGTTAAATGTTTAATGTCTCGTTTGTAATCACATAACGATGGGAAATAGTACGAGATTATATAAAGAAATGCTCGACCATCGGCAAACGATTCCTGAAGATCGTAGAGCCAAAATTTGTAATGTGCACAAATCAATTGAATCCATTTAGTTAGAGAACGAATGATCGGTGATGTTTCTTTTCGTAAACATGCCAGATCGATTGTGAGTAGACGTTGTTCGATCGGTGAACACAATTTAGCTAGACTGTCTGATAAAATCGATATTTCGCGATTTAATTTGTCAATTGGGGATAAATATTTAGGTAAATAACACACAGTAAACACTCGCCAAAGTAACTCAAGTGTACGCTGCTTATTTCCATTCATAATATCCTTATTTGTTATGCCAGTTAAATCGACATGACCATATGTTTGAAACAAATCAAAAGCTTGATCAATATTCAATAATTTATGAACGAGATTCACTACCGGACATTTCAATTTTGTCGAGAGATCAAATTTTGCTACTTGTTCATTGTTGGACGATAACAATATTTGTGCACAACGAGTTAAACGAATTCCATCCTTTAAATCATCGAATAATTTGTTCTCTTCGTTTGTAATCAAATAATTGTATTCATCTAATGATGTTTGTTTGTATGTTGGTTCGTATCCAGCTAATTTCAAACGACGTAGAAGATTCGTGTCTGAACTGATGAAATCGCGTGAAAGAACATCGAGCGATTCCTTGGTCGATTTAAATTTCGAATCACGATGGTATAAACATGGATCATTGTCGATTAGACGTAAGATTTTTACTCGTTCGAGAAAGACGATGATGATTAATATGTTTTTGATAGTCAAACGAATCTGTGCTGAAGCGATTTTGTTACTACTGTTCATAGACATCTTCTTCGAGGAGATTTCATTCGATAAACTCTGATTCGATTGAAGGAGATATTGATCAATAGCGATTTTCATCTGATGATAATTTTCAATATTGATTGGAAAAAGAATCTCCATCGCTAAGCGAAACCATGTGCGATTGTATGAAGATATGAATTTCATGAATGCTTGTCGATTGACTGATCGTGCCGAAAACGTCAAATCAGATTTGGGATTAATTCGACAGTGATCAACATCGATATCAGCACTGATCTTTGCAGCAATAGGTAGAATGTCGCGTGCAAAGATTTCTCGAGCACGATCACGGACAGTATACCAACGATTAGATTCAATCGCCGATTTGAATGTTTTCTTTGCCGTCAAATCTTCATGTGATGTTGATTGATTTGTTGCCGCGTTCGGTAAGAAGTCTACTGGAGTAAACAATGAATTTAACCAGATGGTGAAGGCATGGGATTGTTTATCGACGGTATTTGTTGATGAGAGATTGAATGGAATACGTGCTCGAATAGCTGGTTGAAAAGAAACTATTGGTGAAGCTAATAGAAAAAAATAGTTTGTGAACTGAGAAAATAAGAACAGGAGAGCTTACTTGGTGGAAGAAGTTCGGGAGATGGTTGTAGTGATTCAGTGCTTGCTTTGATCATCGTCGATGATTTTGGGAATGAAACAGGAGCTTTCCATGTAGATGGTGGTGCAGGTCTAGCTTTTCTTTGAATATAAACAGGTATAGAAGTGCTGTCGTCATCTTCGATCATGGTCGATCGAGTTGGTTGTGGAGGACTTATGATAAATATACGATTTTCCGAAACAGACATCGTTGATTGATCAGGTTTGACTGAGTCTATCGAATTTGTTGATAAATATACATGTTTTGAATGTTCAAAACGAGAATTTTGATCAGAAAGAGGAGAGATTTCATTGAACACACCCATCAAACGATCTCGCGATAGTAATGGTCGTTTAGGGGTAATTGAAGATTGTTCTTCATCATGATCTTCTAACTAATAAAAAGAAATGTTTGATAAACACGAATATCAATGAATAAATCATTTCAACAAACTTTTCGTAAGAAAGTTTTCGAAAGAAGCTTTTCATAGCTGAGATTGCCGTTGAGATATTGATTTTCTTGGTTCATATTTTCTTTCCAAGAAAAAGCACAATGTTTTGTTGAAAGCAAATTGAAGAATATCAGTACCAGTTGAAGAAACAAAACAAAATATGAAATGCAATGAAGATTTCGTCGTCTTTCTCTCTCGAAAACAAAGAATTCAGATGATTTGCCAATCGAATTCGGTACACTCTTACATATGTTTCGATCATAGTGGACAGAGGTCACTCCTATTCAAGCATTTTCTGTGTTCTATGGCGTTGAGACGATAGAAGTATTCGATAGTACATAAGACTATTCTTCATGAATATGATCTATACATTTTTATTTTTGTCGATATTTTGGATAAAATCCTAGCTGAGACCGTGGGGATTAATTATACTATTTGTTTGATAATCAATTATATGATATCTAAATTTGTGTTTAGGATGAATAAAGAAAATAGTGGTACTAACTTGAGCTGAAAAATATTTTTTTCCAATATTCCGACCAAAAAGCAAGTTTACAAAAACTGGAGTTATATTCGCGTATGGACTCGTGGATGTGATGAGAAGAAGAAACATGATCAAATTAGAATTTATTAACATTTGTCTTTTCTCTGTCATACTAACTTCACGAGAAACAGTTTCTTTTTATTGAATGATGATATTTATTTAATAAAAATTTATGAAGAGTGAATTATATTCTCAAAAACTACATTCTAATCACTGAAAAACTTCTCACGCAAACCGGATAGATTCATTCTACTAGATTTAAAATATCAGACATGAAAATTGATCTTGACTGTTAAGCAACCGGATGAGTACTTGATTCACCTCCATCGGTGAAACTATAAAGATAGAAATGTTAAGGCTAATGTATATAGAAAAAAACTTACTAATCAGTAATATCTGTAATTGAAAAAGCTAAATCATCTTTTCTTTCTTCGTTTTCCTGTTTTTGTTCTGGTGTCTTCAAATTGATATCGGATGAGATTGTTTTCAATAATGTTTGATTCATTTTTAAAGTTGCCTCTTGACTTATTGTTGATACAGATTTCAATGTTTGATTCAAATGTTCCGACGTTTTTCCTATTGAGGATAATTGCGAAACACTCTTCCTCGCACTCGTCGTATTAATATCAACTTTATTTAGAAGAGATTCATGTGGGATCGGAGTAGGAGTTCCTATCTGGGGCGTGGATGGGGGAATATTTGTATTCGACTTGGGAGTTAGTTGAGATTTAGGTGAACTGGTTACTTTGGGTTGGAAACCAGCCCGACGTGCTTGAGAAAATTCAACCATCAATCGATGTGCGCGTGTGGTAGCGTATGAAACCGGCGGTTTTCCTAAAGTACTCGTTGACTATAGAGAAAAGAATAGTGAGTTATTGTAAACAATGAATGTACATAGAAATACCGAGATGATACTAGGCTTCATAGGACGGTGTGGAGAAATACGAGCAACAGGTTCTTGTATCGGTACAGTTTGATCTGTTGGTGGAATGCTCTGCTCAACCTTTTTCTTTGTATTTGATTTCGTAAGACGATCGACTAAATTACGCACATCAGTTTTTGTTACTTTCACCTGATTTGGTTTGGAAGGGGGTGGATTGAATCGTCGAAAGTTATTTATATTTCTTGGTATAATGACAGATTTTGAACGTAATTTAGGAGCAGATTTCGGTCGAACCGCTGTCGGTTTCAATAGCTTCTGTCCTTGTCCTACAGCTGATTGTGGTCTTCTATTTGCTAAAATGTGCTCGACGGACATCGATATATCACGCTGATCACTTTGTTGTTGCAATGCCAAAGCTTCTTCCACCAGAGCTCGAAGTAATGGGAAATTGTGTAGAAAATCTTTCGTTAGTATCTGTAGTTTGGGCTTTGAAGACACATTGAACTGCACATCATTTGTTGATTTTTGTTTAGACGGCGGTTGCAATTCATTTTCAACGTTATTATCAACGATCGTTTCACCATCGAAACTCGCAATGGGAATCGATGCTAGATACGATAAACGACTTTCTTTTGCCTGTGTAATTATCTTCGTCATTGAAGGTGCTTTCATTTGAAGAAAATCCGAGTCCGAATTGAAATATAACGCTGGTGGTTGGTAGAAAGCAATTGTTGGATCATCGAATGATGGCTCTTCAATCGTACGTGTATAATGGCATTTGGATTGCTGATCACGTTGTATGCGCGTTTTCGTACTTGTCCAACGAGTTTGAATAGATTTATCATTGTTGGATGCTGGAAGATCATTACGAGATAATTGCAAACCAACATCTTTTTTCTCATTGACAAAATGAATGTGTTTGACAATCGTATCCGAAGGTAGTGAGGGTAGAGGAAATACAGATCCAACGATCGGCTCTTTCGCCATAACAGGTACTCTGAGAAATGAGATAATTATTATTGATAAACTTATATTGAAAATCTTACTTTTCCTCAGCTTTTGCCATCGATTTTTCATCGAGTATAGGCAGTTGTGTCAAAATGGTTGTACCATAATGACAGAAACGCACTGCAATATCACAAATTCCAATTTTCGTACCCATTAAATTAAAAAGCGTGCAATGGAATGTTTGCTGTTCAACAAGTGGTATATCCGCTCCATTTTTCTGTATGGATTGATTCAAGATTTCTATCAGTTCATTCAATTTCACATTACAACTACCAATAAAATGCGACATGTTGGTATCATTCGCGTTGATTTGATCGATTAACAAGAGAAAAAGAGGAACATTGAGTAAATGTGAATACAATGTTTTAAAATATGTCTTAAACAAACACGATTTTCCACGTTTGAAAGCAAATTTCCCATTCGCTGACCGAAGCTCATAGAACTGATCAGATAACAACTGTCGCCAAGAAACATTCGGATGCTCTCTTTTCATCGTATGAAATTCTTCGATTTGCCATTGATCAAAATACGGTATCGACACTGCTGGATAGTCAAGTAAGCGAAAGACAACACAAGGTAGATGACACTGAAGATTTAGATCGATCTGCACATGACTGACGAGTACTTCGATGGATAGCAGACTCGGAAGCTTAGATAAGTCAGTCATCTGAAACGATGAAAGGAAACTGATTGCTAAAGAGAATAGAATTCGAGATAGATGAATTTGTATTGATTTCTCATATAAAAAAAATTTGTATCTTTGAATTATTAGTTTGAAAAAATCAAATATGTGCACATCATGAACAACAGTTATTGCATCAACGATCAAAGGAATGAGAATATCACTGAGTTGACTCTGACGAACGATTCGGACTAACACCGGTGCCTATAAATACAAAAGTAAACATCAAGTTGAACTTCGAACGCGAACATACTTCTTGAATTTTTGTTCGACGGTACTGTTTCACTTTGTTGATTAATACTAAAAGAAAAACCAATTCCTATCGTGTGCAATGAAAAGTTTCTTTTACATACTTTGTATTTTTGTTGGGTGACGAACTTGAATTCGATTTCCCACTTGTTGCACTGTTCCACGATTGACTTAATTGCCGGCCATAGGCGTTAGTGATTACTGATGGTTCATTATCAGGTGTTCTAAACAAAACATCAATCTTTCGGGAACCGTTTTTACAAACACAACATCAAACCTGCGACGGGTAAGAACATCTAAACTGTCCTGTAATGAACTAATGCACGATTGTGATATTGATCGTAGTAATAACATGTCCTAATATCCAAAAGATCAAATCGATATCAAAGTTACGCTTTCATCTACTTTTGACAACGGATGTAAAGAATTTCCATCGGGTATTGTCTGAAATAGGAAACCAATGTAAACTGAGATATGAACTAGTCATGTTCTTAACATACATCAATAGTTTCAACAAATTCACGTTGATTGACTTCAAGACAACGTAGAACTTCTTTTAATTCTTTTAGTGTTTGCTGATGATGTTGTATTCTAATCAATCACGAAAAATCTTATTCTTTCCGAATACAATTCTCAAATTCTATACTTGGAATTTCTTCGATTTGTTCCTTGAGTATTGCTTTCATTCGGAGAATGTGTGACGGGGGACACATTTGTTTGAGTTGTTTTCGGAATGGGCAATGACGAAACATACTTCATGATTGACATGATGAATGATATCCCAACTAAACAATTATCTTCTACTTACAACATCAGCAGCATTCGAACCTGAACATGCTCGTATTTTGTCAATCCATTTCTTTCTTCCTTTTGCATCCATAGCTGAAAAGAAAGAGGATATTTGACTGGTTCAAGAATAGAAAATTGAGAATCACCTCTAAACTTAAATATTTCACTACCATTTGTTTGGACAGTAAAAGTTACATCATCTTCATTCGATGGTGACACCCAACAATCGGTCAATTCAATGATGCCCCTCGGACCTTTCTTGCGAACTTCATCGGGCTAAAATGAAAATTCATTGAGTCATTTTCATTAACACAACGAACAACTGATTTACGGTGAAATAAAGCAAAGTCTTCGTATCGGAATCGATAACAAAATGTCGCGTTTGATATCCTTTGAATGCATTTGTATATTTACTTAAAGTGCCTTGAAATCTGACATTGATCGAAGAGATGTTTACAACATTCGCAAAGAAAGCAAACTCACGTTGATTCATCAACTGTATTCCAATTGAAATTCAACATCTACAATAATCAACATCGAATAAAAAGAGAAATGCATATCATGTTTATCTAATATCGCATTTATTTGATAAAGAAAGAAGAAGAAAAAAGAGTAGCATAACATTATTTGACATTAAGATGGAATACAAAAGAAAAGAAAAAGTAGAATAATAATAACCATGTATGTATATATGCATATGTATAGAATCATTTGCGTCTTTAGTAGAAAAGAAAAATGAAAATCACAGAATAGAAATGATCAAAATGAATTCGTTAGATGTGTATACGTTGATTAAAAAAAAACTGAACGTATGAAGAATATTTGCGTAGTTGAAACCATTGCAAAGAAACAAAAATGAATGAAATGCACATTAGAAAAATATTCATAACATAAAAAAGAGAAAAAAAAAAGAATGTCGAACGTTGATTTTGATTAATCGGTATCTTCTTTGCAAACAGCTTTGATATTTGGACAAAGGGATTTTAGAGGTTTAGCACGTTTTATAAATGGATGACGGATTAATTCGTTTGTATCTGCGCGTTGTTGAGGATCAATGATTAAACAACGACGGAGAAAATCTTTGGCATCATGCGAAATACGATTTTGTGATTCAACACTGATCGCTGGTGGTTCTTCTTGCATCGCGATTTTACACATGGCACGAAAAGGTTGTTCGTTGATGTACGGCGGTGAACCATCGATCATTTCAATCATTAAAATACCTAATGACTAAATAGACAAACGAATGGTTAGTTTTTGATTTGACAATCGACTTCTACTTACCCAAATATCAACTTTTCGATCGTATTTCAGTCTAGGAGAGGAAATAGAGTTGCACATTTGCATTGATAAACTTAGAACAATTGTTACTTTTTAATCACTTCTGGTGACATCCAATATGGAGTTCCAACCATTGTTGTTCGCACACTTTCAGTATTGGCTAGTTGAGCACAAAAACCAAAATCAGTTAATTTTACTAAATAGAATTTTATTTCATATAAAGTGAAAATTCATCCTTTCCGACTTACCTGAACCATCGAAACCAACGAGAACATTATCTGATTTGACATCGCGATGAATAATGTTTTTACTATGGAGGAATTGTAATGCTTCAAGACATTCTTTCGTTACCGCGGCCATTTGTCCCTCATCCAGAACAGTTTGTTCGACAATTTGCGTTAACTGTCCACCGTTCATATATTCCATAACAACTAAATCAAAACGTTTGGGCTTCTCTTTTTCAAATCATCAAACAGTATCTTACTCCATAATTCATTGGGTCGTAAGTAACAATCAAGAAAATTGACTATCGAACGAAAGCGGCAATTTTGCATGACGCGAATTTCGCTAACAATGAGTTCTTTTCGCGGTTGTTTTGACCATAACATTCGTTTAATGGCTATTTTTGTATTCGTCTTCGTATCAATTGCTAAATCAACATCACCTGCTGCCCTGTAAATTCGATTGAGAAGAAAATCAATCAGAAACGCTCAAAAGTGAACTCACGTACCCTGCACCAAGTTTTTTCTTGATGATAAATCTTGCTATTGGATCGTCTTTCGCAGCGATTGGTTCTAGAAAGAAATCTCACATTGATATATATTAATATAAGAAGAATATTGACAGACCAAGTTCTTTGATTGCTTCTTCTTCAGTCATTTTTCGTCTTTGAACTTTAGATTTATTTCTTTCGATTGCCCGTGGTTCATCTGTTGGAGATCTGCGTGTTGGTGCCAGTGGTGCAACAGGATGATTTTCTTTGTCAATCACCGGCGTTGCTTTGGCATTTGCTGACGAGACGAGTTTATTAGCAGCTGCAGCTACTCGTGCTGTTTTAGGAGGTAATGCTGGTGGACGCTCTGCTGGTTTACGAATATTTCCATTGAAACGATGGGTAGAAGGAACATCAGGTTTGCCCTGAGGACGTACTGCAGGGGAGAATATCATTGGCATGGATGGCTGTGGCAGTTGTTTTGCTGAAATTGGTGGAATGAATTCGTTAATTTTCGGTTCTTCATTAATAAGTGTATCACGATCAATCTGATACGTCAGATTGTTGACACCGGTTTGTCGAGTTTGTGGAAATGTAGGAGTAGTTGGACGGGAGTTCGATGGTGTAGTCGATTCCGGAGAATGATAATCAGCATTGTCATCGTCAGATTTATCACCAGTCATCTAAATAGCACACGTTCGAGATTGTTGTCGCAAGTTTCAAATGAATACGAACGTCTATGCTTTGTCTGCGAAGTATTGTCGCACGTTTCAATTCTTGAACAAAATTTGAAGATGACTAAACAAATTCAATGTCTGAAAAATCAAGTATAAACAAAAGATGTCACTCACATTGCTATTGGTAGACATAGTTGGAACAATAGGTACATATTTCTTGGGACCTGATCGATTAACTTTGAACAAAACGAACGATATGTTGCAATACTTTAACATTCAATGCAAATATAATTACCCGCTTGATCTTTCTGTGTGGATGAATGATGATCGTTTAGTTTTTCTTGTGATGATCTATGTTCATTTTCATTTTCACTCAGTTCATCTCCCGATTCGTACGATAATCCATCAGAATGGAAGGCATCTTGAATACGTATGTGTTTTGTTTGATTAGCTATTCAAAAGCAAATCAAGTTAAAAACAAAATATCTTCTCGCTCAAATACGAACTATTTTCTCGCATAGTCTGTTTCATAACTTTTAATGCACATGTCATCACATGTGCTTTATCTTCAGGCTTTGTATGACTAAAACGAATTCCATTCATTCCGATTCGTTCGTTTTCTGAAATATTCTTACGTGAATATGGTTTTCACTTGTGCTTCCCATTCTTCTGGCAAACCATGAAAAGTCTTTGTTTGAGGATCATAGGACACATGAACATTTTTTGTCACACTAATCGGTGTCGAAATTTCCGATATTTGCTGCTGTGGATTTCTTTTAAAAAGGTCACGAAATTTTTCCGTCAAATACATTGTTTCACACTAAAATAAAAATAGATTCTTTTCTCCGTTTGTTCAACAACCAAATCAATGACGAGTTGTCCGTAAGATGAGTCATTCTTCTGAAAACTTACTACGTCTTATCTAACTTTCATATTGCTCAACTCAAACAGTTCTATGACACAATTAATACACACATAAATCGAAATAAATCAATCTTTTCCGTTGTTCTTTCGTAAGATGTACAAACAAGGACGTGAAGATTATATCAGGGACAAACGATGTCTAGGAATGTAATAGATGTCAAATAGACAAGAAAAAGAAAGAAATAATTCTCTTCTATTTTGTTATTTCGTTTCTACTTTGAAAAAAAAAATACTTGCACGCAATACCTTGAGAAAGTCTCATGTGAGAAATTGACTTACCTTTGATTTTTTTTTCTCGAAGATATCAAATAATAATACGGAAGAAATGAAAGACGTTGGAGTGTTTGGCATGAGCCATTATACTAGAATTGAAGGAATACATTTAGATGAGAGAAACAAAACATGAGAAATGAAAAATGTTTATTAGCATTGTGAACTTTTCAGAGAGGATTCTGGCATGTGTATGTACAGATATAGACGAAGATGATGACAAATAGAACAAAGAAAATAAATAAATGATTCAATTTCCCTATTGCTGATTAAATATGTGACGACAGAAGAATAAGTGTAGCTTGATTGAAAAGTATGAACAGAGTAAGACAGAAAAATTCTGATATTAATCAGAAACGAGTCTGTCGATGTTTATGATGATTGTTCATATCGACAGATGAAGACGAAGAGAAGGTTGCTGACGCTTTACGTTTGATTTGTGACGGGTGAATTTCTTGGATATCATCTTCGACTGGTGTGTCTTCGGTTAAATCGATTGTATCTGATTGATGGAGGGGAGCACGATACTGTTTGGATGGACGTTGTGTTTGACGAATATGTGGTCGTGCTGAAGCACCATGTTCAATTGCTAGTTGAGAACTGACAGGTGGTTGATGAAGACGATGTGAAGTAATTTGATGGGCAACATTTGAATGATAAGGATGATGAGAATGACGAAAAAAACCGGCTTGGGCTGACTTTTGTCGCCATTCTTTCTTGAAGTTGTCTGTTTCGTCTTCGTCAAGATTCTCTAATTCAACATTTTCAGATATCTGACCTGTTCCCACATTCATTTCTCTCTCGATAACATGTTTTCGATCACCAATTCGATGACCGATCTGCACTCTGTTGATTCCACGTTCGGAATCTCGCACAGCTTGTCGTGTTTCTTCGAGTCCATTTGGTCCTCGATTTCTCGACGTTGTTTCCTGATAAACTTTCGGTCGTCCATCAGCTCCATTGAATGACATAACTGTTGTCGATGTGAATGAATGAACCGGCGCATTGCTGTCCGACATTAATCGATCCATCATAGCAAATGGCGATGAATTCATTCCAAAATCACCCATAAAATGATTCATTCCAGTGAATGGTGATGGAATCATAAACGAATTGCCAAACAGCGTTTGAGCATGTGGTACTAATGCATTACTATTCGTTCGACGATTAGTATTACTGTTCGGAATACCAAATAGATCTGTAGGAAAGCCAAACATCTGAAAAGAAACCAAAAATTCTTTTGAATTAAACAAACATACAACGAAAGTCTTGTTCCTCCTTAATACTTATGCGAGATAATATATATATATATACAATAAACATTCATAAAGAACATACAAACATCAGACAAAAAGGACAAGATGATTAAATCACCTAAAGAGGAAAGAAACAGAATGAGTACAGTTAGATTTTAAGAAGAAATAAATCAAGATTCAGTATTTCTTGTTGTAAAATACTTTGAAGAAGAAAATCAATCGTTAAAATTTTCATTGAAAAATCTGAAGTTGTATATTTCTGTAAATCTTTTAGTAAGAATCTATCACTATCACATGAAAGTATTAAACAATTGGGAAGATTGCTTTGCTCATTCAATGTCGTCAATTGTTTAATCGTTGGAAATTCTCGACGAACATGTCCACCAGCTGAATGAATAATCGATTTGAGAATTGTGGGAGATGGTTGAACACTTGGTGTTAAAAAGAATGTATAACCCAGAAATAAGAGTCGATTTTGCCGCTCGAGACGTTTGCTTATAGATCGCTGGAAAAGATTTTCTGCGGGTTGAGTTTCTTCATTGAGAATCCAATCTGTTTCTTCGATTGGTAAGAAACGTTTTTCTTCATGACATTTATCTAACCAGGTTGTTTTTAAAACATAAGTCGCATAATTCAAACATTCATACAGTTTTTCTGTGCGTAAAAATCGATTCATAATCAAATGTGTTGTCGTATGAGGTAAGACGGAAATTTTTCCACCTAAGGTTTTTATAATCGTTTCGTAATGGTTCAATATTTTCATGTTGAAACCGCTGAGCATAATTGAAATTGATTCATCGGTCGGAACTGGAATTTCAACCGATGAGTCGACTGGTTTATCATAATGATGAGCTATTTTCAAATGATCGTGATTGACGACATTCATATCTTGTGTATGTTGTTGGTCATTGTGACGATGAATAGCTGAATTTAACATTTCATCTGTAATATGAATCGGCTGTGACCACGGTAAAAGTAAATCATGCACAAAAATCTGATCGAATGAGAAATGATCGATTGTTGGTGTTCCAGTCAAACGTTTATAACGTTCTTCAAGTGGTTGTTTAAGTGCACAAGTATTTCCCAGATACAACTCCGATAACCACAGACCATTGACAATAGGTATGGACCATTGCGAAGCTTTCTTGAACTTTTCTGTTTTACCATTCTCGCGCGCTAATAAATGCGTATGCCATTTACTTAAATGACCGGAATATTTGCCACCTAGAGAACGTATCATGTATCGAAGACGTGCTCGTTCGATACCGTCGAACCCAGTCATTGTAAAGAAATATTTTATCAAGGGTAGTTTTTCCGGATCGTTTGGATCGAAGGGTGATGGATAATGAATGGCTAGATTAGGTACGAAGAGTTTTTTCCGTTGTAGAACGTCATTTAACCAATGTGCAGTGACCATTCGGACATTTCTACGTTTACATACTTGTCGAAAAAGTTCACTCGTACGATAAGCAGCAACGAAATGGGTTAAATTAGCATCATTTGGATCTTCTGTTATTAAACCACAATGATCTGTAATGGTTTTTGACCATGTGGGTATTTGATCTTTGGAAACGGTGGAATTGTATTCACATTGGTGAATATAAATGACACAACCGACTAAGCACTGCGACGATGGGACTAATTCACGTTTATCTTGTGTACAATAGTTGAGTTCGTAAGAAAGAGTTTCAGGTGGTGGATGACGTGATGTTTGAGAAGTCGTTTTGTTGTTGATTAAATTCATTAAAACAGATGGACGAATTAGTTTCTCTTCAATTGGTAACGTTGAAAGATTTCCGTCTTTCGTTGTCGATGAATGGCCATTTTGATTTGAATGAACATTGTTTTGTGCTGCAGCATTGACCTTGTTACGCTGTCGTGGTGTACCAGCTGTTGCGCGCGCACGAGATCGTTTCGGTAGAAATGATTTTGTTTGAGAAGTATCCTAAAGATAATAAACATATACAAAAGGAATTCGATACTGTTCAGGAGAAAATGTGTTGATGGATATCAATACTTACGGATGAATCTGGAAGATTACTTCCGTCATTTATTCCTGTGACTGGTTCTGCTGATGGTGGCGGTGTTGTTTGATCAGCTTGATTGAAAAAGTTTTTGGTTATTAATTGTGAACGATGTGCAACAGTTGTTGATTTCACGGATATTTGCTCATCTGTCGATTGATTTTGCAGATTTTCATTGGTCTGATCATCATCTAAGTCATCTTCATCAACATCCATGAGATCATTTGGATCTCGTAATAGATCAGGATGGTAATCGTTTTCTTCTAACAATCGACCTGCATTCAAGCAATCGAGAATCCAGTCAGGTGTGATCAAATGAACTTTTTCCGATTGAATTTCATATGCATGTTGAAGACGTTCGTCAACATTCGCAGACGATGATGTTTCATCTTCCAAATTTGGTTTGACGAATGCCGATGCACATATCAGATATGTACAATTAGGATCGTCAAGATCGGACGTCCATTGTCCACCGTAATACGTAACTAGTGCATAGATTTTATTTTGATCTTCAATTGATAAATTCACATTCGCAAATGTACATGAACGAAAGATATGTTCGGATTGATGACGATCGTCATTTCGAAATGGATCAATTGGTAATAAAGTATTACATCTGAGACATGCTGTTATCCAACTGGAATTGACAATTGGAGTTTGATAGATTTCAATAGCTTGTTCCAATTCGCCTTTATTACTGTCAAAATCATCGCAAATGACATGTGTCGTTGTTTCAGTTAAATAGAATAATTTGATAGCACCATTTTGCTTGAACTGTGTTTCAAGTGAAGAATCATTAAAACCCGATGCAAAATATTTAATTGATGAAAACAGTTTCGAATCATTTGTCGACATATCTGAAAGAGAGAGAGAGAGAGAAAAAAAAAGACGAAACTCTTTTGAAAAACAATATGAACCAATGACAATAGCCATATTGTTTATTTTTAACATTTGACAACAATATGCATAGCAATGCACTTGAATATCTCAATGGAAAAGGTATCAAAACCCAAAAAGGATCCGAAGGAAGAAGTCAACAGAAGTGAACCAAACTTAACATGTGTGAAACATGAATCCATGGTACATATCCATAGTTCATCCACATTGATCGTATTTATATATATCTCGTTAGATGTCGCTTAGAATCGCACACGTTTTCATGTCCAGACGAGAACAAATGGATGTCTTCTAGATTAGAATTAGAATTTTGCTCACAAATACTCGTCTATAGACTAGATGAAGCAAGGAAGCTTACAAGGTCGATATATACTCGAGTAAAATAAGAGTATACAGGTTGTGTGTGAATGAGTTGCCATTGTAATCTAAAATGAAGGTTGTGTTTTGACCCACTTCGAAGGGAGAAAGTGAATAATGAACTGCGGCCTGATGAAAAAGAGTAATGTGTTAGGAAGTACATTTAATTCTTATATTCACATCTGTTGGAAACTTCTAACTAAGAAAAGTACGAAAGAATTTTATGCAGAACCGTCAAAACAACATAGATATCACTATGTTTTGACTGCCAGTGCAGATAAAGTTTCTTATTATTGTATATTATAACGAAACGTTGGGAAGAGGACGAGGAGAAGTTTGAAGAAACTGTTTGATGTTCATATTTGTCCATATTGTTCATTTTTGGACGATCTCCTGACAGTTCTGTATAGTCGCGGTTAGCACCGCATTGCCTATCTTTTTTCCATTCATATATTTTGTTCAATAGCAGAATCAAATTTTATACTCGTTATGAATCGTTTTACATTACTACTGTATTCAATGAATCATCAAATTCAATGCTTTTGCACAAAATCACATTTTCCATCGCAAAGGTTATACACTTCGACAATATAATCACCAAGGGATAGTTGGCACATTCTTTTGAAAAGTTTCTATTGGTGTAATAGATTTATCAAGAATCCTTTCCATTAATACATTGTATAACTATCATATGATTGTTAACAACGAAAGAAAAATAAATAGTTACTGATAAGAAATATCTTGCGAATCAAAGAGAACGAACAGATAGAAGAGAAAATGATTCTACTCAAACAAAACTATTGCGCTATACTTATCGTGGCTCTTCGTTGAATTATTTCACTTTTTTCAAGCTAGAAACTCATTTATTTTCTTGAAATGTCGACAACAGTCACACCTACTCCTACGCCAACAACTACACCAGATAATGATATTGAACGGCCTGCATTTCGACCACAAAGGCCACCACCACCACCTCCATCCTCATCCATAACTGTACAATCTGAGCCAATATCACCAAACACGCTATATCCAATCCTTGCTGACTGTATATAATCAATCTCCTTGAACTATTAGCTTGATTGTTTTGTATTCTAGGCGAATCGGACTTCACGAATATCGATCCACGAAATGAGACTCCGTCAGAAGAAAATCGACCAACTCTTCTGTAATATTCCATCTGCTTACTATTCTTCCGCTTTCAAATCGTATTTCCTTTTGATTAGTAGATTCGCATTTACTGATCTCTTCGATTCATTTAATTATGAGAGTGTTCGCAACCAAATTCTAACCCGTGAAATGAAAACAAGTCCTTTTACTACTGTCCTATGGCGAATATTTCTCCATTGCTTGCCACGCAGTTCAAGTCAATGGAATCAAGCTATCGAGTTATCTCGTGATACTTATGATGAACTCGTTAATGACTATTTTCTTGATTTAAAAAAGATACGAGATCACAATGGTGATGTCGAACATCTCAATCATCCACTTTCTCAAGAAGAAAATGTAAATATTCAAGAATTGAACGATCCATTGAGAAGTAATCCGAATTTTTCTCTTAGAGTTTATGGAATCAATATTACGTTTATGAAGAATTGAAAGAAAACATCTATCAAGATGTTATACGAACGTAGTATATTCAAAATCGATTGATTTAATATAAAATCTTTCTATTTCAGTTGTCAAGACATCGATTTTTTTCGACAAAAACACATTCTTGATCTTTTGTTAAAAATTCTCTATATTCATAGTCGACACAATAGTCAATCATGTCCGTATCGACAAGTAAATCTTCAGAATGGAGCTTCTTATGATTAAACCTTCGATGTTCAGGGCATGCATGAAATTCTCGCTGTTATTGTCTACACTATTCATTTGGAAAGTCAAGTCATCAATGAATATCCAGAATCAAACGAAATGATGAAAAAACTTTACGATCCACAGTATCTTGCTCATGATGCCTAGTAAATCATTTCTTTCGTTGTTGATGTTTGAATCTGGAAAGTCTTTATTAGTGCAATCTATGAGAAAATCATGGATCATTTGCAGCCCTTCTATGATTTTAAAACAAACAATCCAATCGTCCGTAGAGTAAGAAAATTTTCTTACCGTGAAAATGACTTTTCATTCGCTTGATTCCATAGAATGCTCATTTGAGTGATAATAAGCAAATTTTATTTCCTCGATCTAACGATACACAACTTTACTGGAATGATACTGTTATGCGAGTCAATACAATTTATGAACGTTTGAAAGAATGCGATCGTCCACTTTATGAACAGTTGCAAGATTTAAGTATCGAACCAACTGTTTACGGAATGTAGGAAAATCACTAACTTTTTCTTGTTTCTTGTATGTTATCCCTTGCAGACGATGGCTCCGATTGTTATTCGGTCGTGAAATTCCATTCGGTTCGGTTCCAAGTAAAACACGATAACGCTCTGAAAAAAATAAATCTAAAGTTCTGATTCTTCTTTTTTGCAGCTTTGTGGACAGTGATTTTCTGTTACGATGAATGCTTTGCGTTCGTCGATTATTTCTTTTTGGCACTTCTCATGGAAATCGGACAATTGTGTATGTAGTTCGTCTGTGTTTAATGATGATGTTATGAAAACTAATCTTTTGTTTAGTCAAGAAAAATGATATATCTGAATACAGTTTCTGTTTACAATATCTCATGCAGCCGAACAACATCTCTGATATCGAAGTTGTTATTCAGCAAGCATTAACATTAGAAAAGTTGACGAAAACAAAGGAAGCGCAGCGACTTTCGGCTAATCTTTCTGCGCAAAACAGCACGGGCAATCGTTCACCGATGGGAGGAGTGCAAAAGTCAGCATCACCGATACAAAACTTTTCGCAAAATCCGCTGATTGACGCAACAAAACCAAGTGTACCAACCCCTTCGTTTTTCTCGTCATTACAAGGCGGAAAGAATAATTCTTCGAAAACGCCAATTGAATCTGAAATGAACGTATGAATTCTTCTCTTAATTCCTCCAGTCATCCAAACTTTTACGTTTTTGTAGGACAATCCAGGCAAAGAATCACAGATACTCTATGATTCCAATGTTTTCATACAGAAATACTGTGCTGAATTCATGAACAAATTCATTACTCGAATAAAAGATCGTTTGTGTAATCTACCTGATACGAAAGAAGATGTGATTATTCAACTTACTGGTTTAGAACAGGTACGGACACAATGATTCTTTGCTTTTTCTCGTATTGTATTTCAATGATTTACTTCAGATTGCGAATGTACTCGATGGTACGTTAACATTCGATGATAATTCTCTTCAAGCGCTGGCGAATTATAAAACAAAAGAAACTTCTGTTCCCAATAACGATCAAAACGATGCCAGTTAATATTCCTATCAAAGCCGATTCTTAACTGTAAATGAACGATTTCAATATTCTTTCTTTCTTTCTTTTATGTGAAATCTAATACCGAGTGAAATCTGATTGTATTTTTTCTTCTCGAATGAGCAAGACAGTATACTTCGCGTGATTGGGTATATACATCATTAATATACTGATTCCAACAATGACTGTACTTACTACTATGTACAATAGTAACGTTCGGCTTGATTTGATCAATAAACATGTTCTGTCTCACTTTCTCTTTTGTTCGAGTTAATGAACGACGTGTTGTACCAGTTGGTTGGACAAAGTTCCATATGAAAATTAATCAAAACTTCAATTGACAAGATTTCTTGCGAATAATGGTTCACTGGTCATTTTGACTTCTTTTCTTTCTATCTATCTCATCACCATCGATTTTTCTTTGTCTTACAAGCAATTCGATCAAATATATGTTGTTATTTTTCCTTGGCATTGAATGAAGATACAACCATATTGACACAGTCTGTATCAATTGTGTCTCATTTGGCTTATTCTGTATAATGACAGATGGCAAGGCACTTGAGAATAAGAATGAGATTGAACACTCATATTTCTGTTCTTTTTCTTCGCGAACGCCTGTTGTTTCCTCATTTGACCAATCTCTCATATTTAACACCGACAATCATCATCATTATCATTAACTATAGTAGTCATAAATNTATACACACATATATATATATATCAATACGTATTGATAAGAAACAATAAATAGGTGTCTCAATACTCACGCATTGCATCATTGTTACAATCATATTGATAAAGATCTATTACTGATGAGCAGGAAGAGAAAGAGTCAATGTTCGATTATTTTCATTTCATCTTCAACGATCACTTTTGCTCTTTTCCTTTATCAAATCTCTCATCTTGTTATGGTCATTTGTCGTTCTCTTTCATATTTTCACTTTTTTCTTCTTCCGGTTGGCCATCTCGCGCATTCACTTTGTTGATGTGTTCGCATGTCACAGACAAAAGACAACTATAAGCGGTTTTGTCATTCTGTCTTTTTTGTCACAGGTACAAATTCTAATTGAGTTTGAAGTTTCTTTTTCTTTTCTCTCGTTTCAACTTAAGTACAAGAAAAAAGTCGGAAAACGAGCGATCAATACGATTGTACATTATTTCTCGGGTTCTATTTTCTCTTTTTTTTTCTGTTACTAAGAACTTCCTTTTCCTCTTTTCTCTCTTTTGCCTGCTTGATTTCTAATTATTTCTTCATTCTAGATGATAAATCGAAATCAGTTTCAGTCAAATAATGATAGTATTCTTTTGCTTATTAAATCATCTTAAACAGTGGACATTTATTGAAAATCTATAATGTTATTCTTTCTGCTGACATTTCTCTCGTGTATATCTTCACTTTATTCATTCAATTATCAGACCGTTGAACACTGGAGATATTTGAGACAAGATAAACCAACACAAAAAGCATCGTATTTCGGCTATTCATTAGCTGTGCATAGATCAAGGTAGAAAACAGAAGGATTTCGTTGATTCAAAAACAAAAATTCTTTCTCTTTTGTTGCAGTTTACTAGTCGGTGCACCTCGTGATCATTCACCTCATGATATTATAGCCCGACGTGGAACCGTATGGAAATGTGAGTTTCATCCGGACAGTTACTGTCAACGTTTACCATTTCGTCGTGATGGTAAGATGAAAGACTAAAGATAAAATGTGATTTTAATGCTTATTATTCCAGGTGAAGCTAATGTTCGTGTTGGTACTTCATTTGACAATAAAACTGATCAATGGTTAGGTGCTTCATTAGCTGCAAATGATGGCAATATAATCGTAAAATATTCATTTAATCGTTTCATTCGAATCAATGTAATTACTTTACATTTAGGCTGGTGCACCATTTCTTAAACATCGTATAAACGATGGACACAGCCTCGAGTATGAGATACCAGGTGGCGCACTTATTGGAAAATATGGCACATCATTATCAATGAAAGAGAGTACACAAATATTTTCTCCATCGTTTCTTAATTGGCGTATGTCATGTCTACGACTTTAGGTTTTTTGTTTGCCGGTTAAAGTAAATAAATATCTTTTTACTAGATTCTCGAAATTACAATCAAGAAGGTTATGGCGAATTCGGTTTTCAAGTGGCGTTGAGTCGAAAACCCGAACGGATAATCATCACAGCACCAGGCTCATTTTATTTTCGAGGTAACAAAGAAATATAATCATTTTTAGAAAAACTCATTGGACTTTCCATAGGCGGAGTGCATTCAATTCCAATTATGGACAAGAATTGGGTTGATACGAGACATCCTTTCACTTCTCCACATTACAAATGGCGTGACGCCGGATGGCTTCGATATCCATCAAATTATTCGTCGAATGAATACGATGATTGGTGTTATCGAGGTTATGCTTTGGCACTTGGAAATTTTAACAATGATGATAATCAAGGTAACGAAACAAATGTTTTATCAATTGGACTCAAAGAGATGATTTTCGAATAGAATTAGTTGTTAGTATCCCAAAGTTACATAATTATCGTGGAGCAGTGGAAATTATGAACAGTAATCTGGAAGAACGTTCGATACGAACGTTGAATGGCTCCCAAATGGGAGAGTACTTTGGTGCATCGTTATGTGTTGTTGATATTAACAATGATGGGTAAATTTTCATGGAATTTTACCGATTGTCTGTAGTTTACTGTCGATTTTCATGTAGATTGGACGATTTGCTGGTCGGTGCGCCTCTATATACGGTAAAGAAGGATGCGCGGATCATTCCGGATGCCGGTCGAATAGTGATATACCATCAAACACCGGAGGTTAGATTTCATCTTGAAATATTGAAAGAATTTCGCATAAATTTTATTTAGCATAAACTTATACGAAAACAAACTATTGAAGGAACACGTGAAGGTGGACGATTTGGACATGCGATAACGAATTTAGGTGATATTGATAAAGATGGTTACAATGGTAAAAAAGATATTCAGATAGACTTGTTTTTAAGCTTGTTTTGTATAGATGTTGCTATTTCCATGCCATTTGGTCATCAGAATTCTTCGAATACTGTTTATATTTATCGTGGATCAAAAGATGGATTGATTATTCCTCCGACCCAGGTGAATTTTACGGATTCATCAAAGAAAAATATCGATGATCGATTTTAGATTCTTCAAAAACCATCATTGAAAGGTTTCGGATGGGCAATTCAAGGTCAATTTGATTATGATAATAATGGCTATTTAGGTATAATATTTCAGAGGGAAAAAATCACCTTCGAACATTTCCTTTTCTTCTTTCCTCAAATTATAGATTTAGCCGTGAGCAGTATTCATTCAGAAACAGTTGCTATCATCTTGTATGTAATTGAAAGTCATTTCCATTCACTAATTTTTCCGTTTCTAAAGGTCACGACCTGTGTTACGTTTACAAACCAAATTAAGTCATAGCTCGTCAACGATTCCACTTAATTGTACGTTGCGAAGTGACGATGCATGGTAAGAGAAAGCAAATGAATATTTCCGATGATTTTCTTTGTCTTCATAGTTTTGTCCTGAGCATATGTATCTACCTGGTGGACAACAATTATAAACCATCTAAACGTGACAGTATGTTGAATCAATATGAGTTTCATTCGAGAGTGAATGTTTTTCTTTAGCGTTGACGTATGAAATACAATTGGATAAAGATAAAAATCAAGCGGATAAACGTTTGTACTTTCGCGAATCGTACAAACCATCGAAAAAACGACAATTGAGATTAGCTGATCGTGTTTGTCATGATTATTCTTTATATATGAAAGTGAGTTACTTAAGCAGAATGAATCTGGTCGGAATGTCTCGATCCATGTAGGATGATGTCAGTGATAAACTGAAACCAATTCGTATACACATGGAGTATACGTTGTCGTCCAAGTCAGACCCGAATCTTGTTCCACCAATGCTCGATCCAGCGAATTCTTCGTTTAGTTATAACGTATGAAACGTTTGATTGAAGAAAGTTTTGTTGTTTTTTATCTCGAAATTTTAGATTCCAATTCAAAAAGATTGTGGACCGGACGATATTTGCATATCAAATCTCAACATATCCACCACAAAGTATAGTTAACCAGAGAATATTAGTGATCAATTCTTGATTTGTTGAATAGATCTCCTAATATTTATAAAGTTGGTTTAACAAAAAAGATTCTGCTCAATATCAATGTAACAAATACCGGAGAAAATGCTTATGATACCAAGTGTTTCATACAATTACCTACTGGGGTTGAATATGTCAGTGCGAATTCAAGTTCGATCGTAAGACTAGCCTTCACTTGAAAAGGAAAAGTGAAAAATTTGTTTTGTTATTTGATTAGAGAAATCTCTACTGTAATCTGATGAAGCAATCAGATCGAATTATCGTTTGTCAACTCGGCAATCCACTCTTAGCGAATACCAATGTAAGTCAATTTCAATTTAAGAGATCTGTCACTCGACGAAATGATTAGGTATCGTTGCAAATCCATACCGCTGTGAATAATTATTCAGTAATTCAATCTGACCCATTAATATTTCATATCAATGTGACAAGGTCAGTTTTCTACAATCAAACCTACTTTAATTACACCGTGATAACATTTAGCGATAACCCTGACTCGAAGAAATTGTCAGCAGAAATTTCTATACCGATATATAGCACACCGGAATTGGTCTTGAGCGGGTAAGACATTGCATTTTATCAAATATCTTTAATTCTCAAATTTTGCCGGTTTTAGCGTTGCTAAACCTGAACAAATCGCAACAGATACATCCGATAATGTACTTGTCAGATACGCGTCCAGCTCGAAAACAAACGATCTCGAAATTATCCACACGTACACGCTACATAATCGAGGACCAAGCGATGCAAAACGTACAGAAATCAAACTTATGTGGCCAATGCTCCCATCCGTAGCGTTCGATCAGCGGTCACCCTTATTGTACGGTATCGATCTTCCAAATATCATCCGTGTATCAGACCCAAAAGCTAACAAAGATCGATGTCATATTTATCATTCGGTAAGTCAAAATTCCTCTACGAAAATGCGAAAAATCAAACTGTACATGTCTTAGTCGTCGTATCAAGCTCCACTAATAGAAAATGAACCGAAACCTCAACAACAGTCATTTCTTGAAAAATTTCGTCCACCGATTACAAACAATCCTATTCTACAAGAACTCCCTACATCTGATCGACCGGTTGAATCTTCAACTCCGATATTCTGCCACGGACCACTATGTAAAACATTCATTTGCTACATCGATACATTACCTATCGGTCATAGTGTATTAATTCAATTAAAAGCAACCTTACGGCACAACCAATTTCAATCAGTAAGATCGAATACAGGAGATATGAAAGTTGAATTCTTCGGACGTTGTTTTTTTTATTAGAAAATTCAACGGTCAAAACCATTTATCATCGTATCCAATGCCAGTGCACAAGTTCGAGAACTTCCATTCAACTTTTCTCGAACGAAACTTCAAAAGCAACCGAGTGTTCAGTCGAAAGTATGTAATTTTTATTCAAAACTATTCAATAGGCTTTCGCATACAGACAAGTCGAGTTTAAACTCGATTACCTCGTGTCTGATGTCGATGTTTACGTTTCTGAAAGCATAAAATCCGATAAAATGCTTCACGAAATTTCACATGTAAACATGAGTAAAGAAATGGATTTAATGTTGAATTGAACCATAATAACCAAAAGGTGATTTCATAGATTAACGTTGGGATGCATTTATCTTCTTGTTTACATAATGCACGAATTAATGTTAGTAATGTATACGGACACCAACAGATAACGAATGCGAAAACGAGAACGAAAAGATTTTTCGCCGCACGCCGATCCCGAACTAATGCCGATACTTTCGAATGTTTTCGCGATAGACCAAGATCTGATACACGAGGTGCATGAGCAGTGAGGAAAGTTTCATAGTGACCATTTCTTTGTAGTTTTAAAGTGTTGCTTCGTACAAGTCCACGCGAACGTCGCCGAATATTAATATAAACGAGCAGATTGAGAGTAATTAGACTAAAGAATGGAACGAAAAATTCCACACATGCTGTTGTAACAAGATATAGAAAATGTTTAGCAAACGGTGGATGACACGTGTGGTGTTGATATGGGTCATTACCAGGCAACCAATCCCATAAGATTATAGCAGGGCCTATAGAATAGAAAGAGAGATGTTTTCTTTCGCAAAGAATATATTCAAGTTGTACCGTAGTTGAGTAGGGCAATGATCCATGTTCCAAAAATGAACTTTAATGCACGTTGAATGGAGATATTCGATAGATAGTCTAAACCTTTGGAAACCATTTGATATCGATCATATGAAATCACCACAATACACAGAGTCGATGCTGAACCGACAACGTAATCGAACACTAACCATAATTTGCACAGATGGTAACCGAGATACCATTCATCAAAGATAAATTTGTGTGCGTAAAGTGGAATGCTAGAAGGTAAAGAGATCATTTCTTAATGACGGAAAAGGGAAGAGATTTTCGAGCAATTTCCTTGTATAATCGGATATCCCGACATGTCAACAGCCCAGCCAGAAGATTGTTTCGAAAGAAACAGTAAAAGTCAGACACTTCCTTACTTTTAATTAAACACGCATGCATGATTAGTATCACATAGGGAAAGTCTCTCTCAGAACTTACCAGATAAGTCCAACAAGTAGATCTGCGATTGATAGATTGAGAATAAAGCAATTGGAATAACTTCGTATTCTCGGATCGCATATAAACGCAATGATCACTAATAAGTTACCCGTTACGGTTAGCAGCGTCATGAAGCAAACCAAGCAGATGAGAGTAATTGTTGTTACTTTCGATAAGACAAATTCGTTTGAATATGTCGAATTCGAGAATATTAGTGAGGAGAGATTTGAAGATGTCAAATTGGAATAGGTAGAAGTGCTCGAATCGACTTCGTTGATGAAAGTAAACCATGTTGAATTCATTGCCATTCGTTATTGGAGTAGATTCATCTGAAATAATTTTCAAGAATTACATGTCGATGGAGGATAATAAGAAAAAATGAGAAGGAAAAACGATTCGGATTCTTTCACCTTTCCCTTCGATGTGTTTCTTTGATATTTTCATCAATAAATGAAAATAACTAGCAAAATAAGTTAATAAAATGAGTTATTAGCAGAGCACGAAAGATTTTCTTTACAATAGGAAAGATATTTTCTTCGCGTGACTCAGTATTCTTGACAATTATCATGGTGATCTTACACTATACAACTGCAAATGTCATAGTTGTGTGTCAGTAGACAAAATCTAGCGTATTATTTTCTTAAAAGAGAGAATATCTAGTATTTCTTACGGTATTTCCAAGCCGAAGAAAATATCTGATTAGAAATCTCTTTAAGCATATATGCTGTTAAATAAGGCGAACTACATTGTTGAGGAAGATCTTTAAAAAAAGACGATTAGGCAGAAAATCTCAATGATTTCTGCTCCAACAGGTTGTTTATTTTTATCCTAGAGAAAAATCGCTACCGGTAAACATACATTCTGACTTCACTGTGAAAAACAAAGAAAAGAACTGATATTGTGCACTAATTGTCAGCAAATAATGCATGTAGTGAAAGCAAAACAAAATAAAATAATTGACACGATCTGTTCAATAAAGAGAATAACATGTAAAAAACAAACGAATACCATAAAAAGATTTGTCTTCAACCGCTTCACTTTTTCCGAACAACTGTTCGTTCTCATGTAACATCATTACTTTCGACTGTTGTCTTTCAAATAATTGAGACAACAATTACTCACTGTTTGATAAGGTACATTCTACTTAATTGATAAGAAATCGCACAGATCGATCAAGAAACAGTTTTCTCAACTCTGTTGAATAGAATTCTTTCGTTCGACTTTACCGAAATGGATCTTCTTTTGCTAAATACGATTGCTAAACTAGCTTTGTTTATTTTGATTAGTAGTAATTAATGATCTCTAGTAATAGTATGGCAAATATATGAAGAAAGATAAGTACTGGCTTTGAATATCGACAACAACTAATGTGATGATAGTTATACGAGTCAATTGATTCTTAGAGATAAAACCTAAGAGCAAGATGATCTCTGATTTTTGTCAATGTGTGGGAGAGAAATTTGTTAGTTACGTACATGAGATGCTTTTGGGATAATAAAAAAATAGCTCGAGTTGATATCTCATCTGACAAGATTTGCTTGTATCGAGTGATTAGGACAAATAATCAACAAAATAACGTTCTTCATTTCGCTGGAATACAAACAGTGAATCTAGGCGGAGAGAAAGCTTTCCAGTGTAATTACTTGTGCGTAATAAACGATTAATCGCTTCCATCTTTTGCAAATGCAACTCCAACGATTTCCTGTTGACAACAAAGATTAGTGAAAAAGAGCGTTGATTAACTCCATGTCAATTGTGTCCATTTTTAATGTCTCGTCACTTTTCTTGCACTGCTGATTACAAATGTCATACTTAAGAATAATGAGGAAAGAAACAAAATCCCTCAAATTAGTTCGATGTCAGGATATTTTTCCCCTGAGCACTATGAAAAAGATCCGAGCGTGATAAGTACTTCAGATGGTGCTTAAAAGTTGAACGTGTTATTCTCTTTTTTTTCAGCTTGAGACTCAAATTCCGCCGGTAGTTGAACGATCATCACAAAATTGGCTCTGGCTTATCGGTCTAAGTATTACGGCTGGCGTTATACTTCTCATCGTTCTCGTGGGTGTTCTCTGGTGTGTAAGTATCGTTAAACCATTCGTTTGCCGTCATTAGAAGCAATCATCTTTGCCTATTTCAGTGTGGTTTCTTCAAACGAAACCGACCACAATATTCTGCTGCTTCTCGTGACGTTTCTCAATCCAATGAAGATCAATATCAACTGTCACCTTCGTATACTCCAGGAAAGGTCGCTTTTCAAACAGATAGTGAAGAAATCTCAAGTGATGACAATGAAATGATGATTCAAAACTCTGGCGATAGTCTTCCCATCGTCATCCCACAGAATTCCGCACATTTCATCCAACAACAACAATACAAAAGTCCCTATAACTACTAAACATGACATTTTTCAGTTTTTTTTAATCTTTTTATTTAAATATCTATATCCGTATAAGTCATTGCTTGTTTTTCTATCTATTTTTTTTGACGTGAGAATAATGACAATCGAAAACGAAATCGACCGAGTGTTTTTTTTTATTGATCGTATCATTGACGAGAAGATGCGAATACGAGTGAAACAACAACAAAAAATATTTGAATGACTGGCGTTTTTTTCAATAACAAAGTAGCATGTGTGCATCAATATGTTTGGTTGTCACGGATTTCTCAAATGAAATACTGCTAATGTTTGGTCTTCGAGCAATTCATCTCTTCGATCGATGAAAAAATGTCTCACATGAAGACGAAGAAAGGAAAAAAAGAAACGGAATAGTAATCGATAATGCTTGCTGATTTCTCAACTTAAATTCTTACAGAACAAAACGTTTTCATTGTTTGATCACTAGAAACATCCAACGCTCTTGCTTTGTAGTGAAGATTTCAACAAATGTCGAATCTGATCCGACCACGAACGACATGTCATTCGCAAAGACCATCGTTGACTGATGATGTTGATGGAAATGGAACGAATTCGAATCAGAAGCGTTTGCTTTCACGAAGTTTTACATTTGATAATGGAGAGGTAAAACAACAAAACCGACAACAACGACAGGAATCACCACAACCACAACAGCAACCTCGTTTAGTGAAATCTAGCCTACCATCGCCAAGTATTTTCCAACAAAAAACACGTCTAAGTCGAAGTTTACTCAGTAATGATAACTGGCGAGAGGAGACCATGGCAGATGTTCGCGTCAACTCGAAAGTTATCGAACAAAGTGATCGAAATATTCTCTTTGGCAAAGGTAAAATGTGAATTTCTACAAAAAAGAATCTGACTTAGCTTTCATTTCTACAGGTATTGATCCTCTGCCACATGTGCGAGAAATACTCAATGAACTGAGTAATACGGAAGCGTTTCTCTATGCTCGGCAATGTCGTGTTGTCGTTGCTAAATTACGTCTGTGTTGGATTGATGTTAATGAAGAAATCAAATCACTATTAAAACATAAAGAATATACTGAAGCGTCCATCGAACACATTCGAAAAGATTTGATTATCAACAAAGAAAGTGTCAGCCTTCGAAAGAAACCAAGACGAGAATCGGTATGAAATTTACTTTTCGACGGGAAAATCAAGTTTTTCTCTTGTAGGAATCCGATGGTGTAGATGATATCCTTGCTGCTGAGAAACATCATTTGTTACACTTGAAAAGAATTTTAGAGTTTAATTGTAAAAACATCGTTGAACAAATGCAGGTAATTTTCCCCCTCAAAGAAAAACACGTTTATGTTTGTTTTCATCGAAATCAACTAGAAACTTGATGAAGTTCGTCATCGAATAAGCAAAGTCGGCAAAGAACGATCAGTTGTAACTGAACTCATCTGTCAGTGTTTAACCAGTGCATCACGCGCATTTGAAGTCGCTCGTCATGAGAAGTAAAACGTTACGAACAAAGAAAAACGAGTGTCAAGACTTGTCATTCTTCTCTAGAGCATACAAATCTCAACAATTTCAACGAGCGGCAACGAGCTGTGGTTTTCGTTCATCACAAAATAATCTCAACGATTCGCTCACATCACCGGAAGCGACGTTACTTGACGAAAATGGCTTTCCGATTGTCGGTCCTTTAAACGCATTTACACCTGATGTTATTCAAGTATTTCAAGAAGCCGCAAAATTAATCGATGAATCAAATGAAATTAAACAACAAGCAATGAGCCAAATAAAACATGCATTTAACGATGCCAAAGCTTATTCTCTCACTGTCAATCAAAGTGTTGCTCAAAAACTCGCGGATATCATTACTTTAGCGGTAAGGAGCATCATCGTACGACGTAAATTTCCTGATCGGCTCTTTCTCTTTTAGCAACATTTGACGATTTCGCTTGGAGAGAATGCTCTCGCTCAAAATCGCGCGCAACGTTGGTATGATCTGACGATGAGCGCCCAACGGTGCAACGCAGGTCCAATTAGTTCATCTGATTACAAAATTGCTGAACGTCTTGATCGTCCAATTATGCGCACATTTCAACGTCACCCCGGAAACCAAGTACCCGAAGCTCAAATAGTAGCTAAAGTAACAAAACGATCAACCGAATATTTCGCAAAGAACTACATTTGATAATGCACGTTTTTAGACGGCTGCTGATCTCCAACGTGCCGCAGAAGAAACCAAACAACAATTAAAAACAGTCAAAATCGTTGGTAAACGATTACAAGCGAATTTGATCGACAAAGAACGAGCTCTGGGTGTCGATGCACATCTTCTCCGTCGACGACGAGAACAATCGGATCATAAATGGGGTGTTAACAAATATGTACACGTTTAAATCTCAAGATTGATCTTCATATTTTTCTTTCTCTTTTCTCTTTCAATTATTAAACGTTCTCTTGCTTTTTCCTCCAGTGATTTTATTTATCTTTTAAAGGATTATTCTAAAACTACTTAAAATACAAAAGAAGAAAACTTCGGATAAAATAAAATCCAAGTGTTCAATTAGTTTTCAGTATGCAGCAGTGACGGATCACCACTTTCTGCAATCAATTGCGAATGTACAGACATCAAACTTTTAAAATATCGAACCGTTTTCACCTTCAATTCCATCGTAGCATCTTCATCACATACGCATAAAAATCTCGGATGATTTTGAAACGCTGACACTGTCCACATATGATTGACGCCTTCTTCGATTGCCATGTGCAATGCATAGGCTTTGGCCACACCTGATATTAATATCAATACCTATGTCAAAATAAAGAAAGAAAAATAGAAAACAGAACTTCAAGGTTGTCATAGAAGTTTGTAAAACAAGTTTAATCCATTAGTAACATTTGATTTGATCGAGAGAACAGAAAAACAACATTCGTTTACATACTTCACGTGCATCCATTACAGTACCAACACCGACAGTCAACGCAGATTTTGGAACTTTCGTTATATCGTTATCGAAGAAACGCGCATTGGCGACGATTGTATCTTGAGCGAGAGTTTTCACACGAGTGCGCGATACTAAACTTGATCCTAAATGTAGGAAAGTTCGGTATGTTGGGGAGAATGTGCTTTGTTCTGTCGAACCTGGTTCATTGAAAGCGATATGACCATCGGGACCGATTCCACCGACGAACAGCTCGATTCCACCAACTGCTTGAATAGCTTTTTCATATTCATTGCATTCATGAATAAGATCAGTAGCATTCCCGTCGAGAATATGCACGTTTTTTGGATCGATATCAATATGTTTGAAGAAATTATTCCACATAAACGAATGATAACTTTCCGGATGATCCTATCAACAGAAAAATGATAGTCAATCGATGAGAAAATCGTCAATCGCACTCGTGGTAATCCAACATATTCATCCATATTGAAAGTCACCACATATTTGAACGATACTTGCTTGTTTTTCACGAACTCAATCAGTTTTTTATAAGTGCCCAACGGTGTACTACCTTGAAATGTACAAACAAAATGAAATTGAAATTTTCAACAAGTAAACACATACCAGTTGGTAAACCGAGCACGAAAAGACGGTCCGGACCAGGTTTAAAATCATTAATTCGTTTTTTTATGTACCGAGCACTCCACTCGGCCATAGAATTATAGTCATCGGTGATTACTAAACGCATCTAGAACAAACTATGCACAATGTAACTCCGCATCGAGGAAAAAATCCGTTCGAATATTCGATACAAAAGCAATTTTTCGTCTCTGATTCACCACAGATATAACCTTCAACTCCACACACGTCAAAAAAAAACCTTCGTTCAGCAATACAATCGGATAATAAAACAATGGCCTTGAAATGAAGGTTATTCACAAAATACGCGAGAGAACACAACTAGTTCTCATTCAGAACTGTCAAATGGAGACAACTTGTAGCCAGCTGATGTTATTTTGCATCAGTTGGGAAAGAAGCAGCGATTCTAGCGACATCGCTCGATCGATAGATAGCAATAACAAATCAACTCGGCGACACGTCGCTATTTATGTACGTACTGAACTAAACGGCCAGTTTTATCTCATACGTGTTTTGAACTTTGCCCGGTGATAAAAATTTCCTCAATGTTAATTCGAATTCATCTTCATCGATATCTCGTTCCTTTTCATCGTCACTTATCAACTCGAATATCAGACGATTATAATTATTTCAAACGAAGTATTTTATCAACCGATCATTTTCAACAAAGCTTACCCCGCTTACCAATTCCACAATTGGATAAAACATGCCAACGGTATTTAGCTGCGGTAAAACCTATCTTGAATAACGATGAAAACGCCTACAAAGAAACTCAGAAAATTGTCGCAGATTTTCGAGCAGGTGACGGAAAGCGACTCGACGCTCAACTACGCGTGAAAAACGCATCAAATCGTCAGACGTCTTATATTTCCAAGCCATGGTTTGAAATGTATCTCAAGTCACGTTTACCATTGATTTTAAACTTCAACTTCTTCCTCGTCTTTACACACGATCAGCAACAGTTGAAACCAGCTGCACGTCTGACGAATTATCTGATTTCGTCTATACGTTTCATGAACACACTCCGGGCAAACGTTCTCGATCCCGAGATTTATCATTTAAATCCGAAAAAGACGAATACTGATCGATTTCGAAAATACCTTCGCTTTGTTCCCAAACCCATGGCATTCTACGGTTCGGTCGTCCAAAAAGCGTTTCCACTAGACATGTCACAGTACAGTCGACTGTTCAATTCAACTCGAGTTCCAAAACCAGACTGCGATGTGCTTGAAACACACAATGACAATGCTCGACATATTATTGTCATCAAACACGGCCATTATTACAAAGTCAATGTCCTAGATGGAAAAGGTGAACTTTTACCGGCGGAAAAGCTCGCGGCAATGATGAAATATCTAACTGAAGATTTACGAGAGGAGGAGAATGCATACCCATTAGGATATTTCACAGCGGATAAACGAGATCGTTGGGCAACAGTGCGAACTCAGTTGGAAGAACTTTCTGAACGCAACAAGCAAATGTTCAAGGAAATCGATAGTTCGATTATGGTGATATGCTTAGGTAAGATTTTGCATCACTGATGATCATCTGCTATACCTCCTTGTAGATGAAGATGCTCCTGAAAAACTGGCTAAATCGCTAAGCAAACAGCAACTCGCTGAATATGTCTCAGGAAAATATTTGTGTTACAATGCTTCGAATCGTTGGTTTGATAAGTCGTTTAATATGATTATGCTATCAGATGGCACGTTGGGTCTTCATTGTGAACATTCGTGGGGTGATGGTGTCGCCTTGCTTCGCTTTTGCAATGATATTGATAAAGATGCGAACGAGCACAATCGAATCAATTCAACAAATTATCCATCAATTCAATCCTCAACAAATGATTGTATACAAAAACTCGAATTTCATTTCAACGATCAAATAAAGAAAGAATTTGAAATCTCGAGACAAAATTATCACGAATTTGTCTCGAAATTCAATGTAAATATCTTTCAAGAGCCACTTTTAGGAAAAAATCTCCTAAAAAAGTTAGCACTTAGTCCTGATGCAATCATGCAACTGGCCATTCAAATGACATACTACAAATTACATCAACGGTTCGTCGGAACGTATGAATCATGCTCAACAGCGGTGTACAAGCACGGTCGGACAGAAACGATTCGACCAGTTACAAATGAAACAAAGAATTTCATTGAAGCATTAACAAAATCTACGGATGAGAAATTGAAGAAGGATTTGTTGAAGAAATGCTCGGAAAAACATCAACAGTTGATTAAAGAAGCAGCAACAGGACAAGGTTTCGACCGGCACCTATTTGCATTGAAATATTTGCAAGAAATCGAGAATCAAGAACCATTGCATCGACTCTACAAAGATAAATCTTATCAATTAATGAATTACAACATTCTTTCAACATCAACAGTCGCTTCGAAACATATTGCCGCCGGTGGATTCGGACCTGTTGTAAACGATGGGTATGGAATTGGCTATTTAATTAATGATGAACAATGTGGATTACTTGTTACATCATATTTACATCGAGAATTACCCAGTTTCATGCAAGCAGCTGATGAAAGTTTTCGAGAATTGGCGGCGATTATCAAATCTTGAAAATTCATCTCTTTTTCTGTCTTTCATATAATCTGTCATATGACATTGTAATAATCCTGACATTTACTCTATGAAAATAAATGATCTAGTCTTTCTAACAATCGCATCGGTCTGATTGTCTGAGTAACTATTTCTCTCGATCATCGATAGTAACAAGTACAGTCAATCAAGCAAAGAAATCTTCGATAATATAAACATATTTGCGAGTTGCAGATATGGTAGAGACTTCGACCGATGATTATTTCTATCGGATATACGCGTAGTATCAACACGTGTTCTATGTTGTATTTGTTATTCTTGGCTAGTAGATTTGATCAACTGGGAAGAAGTATTAATCTTTTATGATAAGTCAAGTGATTGTTGACTGCGACTGAATCAGTTAAGTGTGTAGTTCGAATCGATTTTGTTGTTTATTAACATCAATTTTCATTTTTTGTCCTTCGATTGCACCCCGATGTGAATCTTCATACCTCGTTTATTCTTCTCTTAATTCGTAAAAAAACTTTCTGTATGACATAAGCTTGTCTAAAGCAAATAAATGCTTGAGAGAGAGGAGAAATGTTCTGTGAAAGAATTGAGTGCAGAAATAAAACGGAAGAAATCGGCCGAAGACAACGCACGTTATTCGATATGCAATCATCGTGATCAGAAATCGAAAATGATGAACAGATTGTTCAATAAAACAACAAATGATAGTAATAAACTAAACGATTCGCTGTTTGATCGGTTCAAGCGATGGTTCGGTCTTATTAAACGATGGAGACACACATCAATACCACAAGTATGTCGAGGTCGATCGTTTTTGTTTACACCATCATCTGTCATCGATGATGGTTAATTGTTTTACAGATCAGAATCAGTATGATTTATTTCTATTCTAGGGTCAATTATTGCTTAATCTCAAGTCGACAAATACAAACGGAATTATGTGCGTTAGCGATATTCCATTTATTATTCCGAGACAAATCGACGATATACGAAAGCAGCCACGAGCTGGTTTTGAGCGGGCAAGACTACGTATCCTTCGAATGGACGAATATCTCGTCTCGTCGGAAGAGAAATCCAAAGCTCGGCAACGTCGAGAACGAGACACATCGCTTGGAATACGGGCATTGGCTGAAGCAGCATATACAATGCAAAAGATCGCCTTTCGAGAAGTGTTAAGCACGGATGAAACGCTGCCCATTATCGGAAAGAAACTGCTCGAAGATGACGAGGAAGATGAAGACGAGGATGAACATTCATCTGTAGATAAATACCTCCGTCAAACAGGAAAAATCGATCCGATCACAGATTTTCACGAAGTTCAAGATCTTGTTGAATTCGACCGTGCACTCGCTAAACATCGACTCGAAATCGGACATAAACCAACAAACAAACCGTCGGATATGATCTATTTGAAATTTTGTCTCATGTTAGAGATTCAACGTGATGAATACGAAAGTTGCTTACGAATTATCCTCCATGATATTATCTTCAAATATCATCTATCGGATTTTCGCTTACGTTGTGAAATGCACATTCGGAAACCCGTTGAACATGATTTCGTCTTAGAAAAAGTGGTTCATGATTCACATCTACAAGAAAACTATTCGGTCGAGTTCGTTCTCTGGTCAGGCGATTGGATTGTTCAACAAGAAGTCGAATTATACATTGTCATGAAAATCGAACCGGTACCGGCGAATAAATTTTTAAAAGTGAAATTTTGGGATATGGCGCACTTACATGTCAGAAATATTCCGCATGGATCGTCGAGGGTTTTCTTACGAGAACTAACACCGGTTAGTCGACCGCATAAAATCGTAAGTTGTCGAACGATAAGTACTGAAAGAAGTGCGAAGATCTTCAATTTTAGCTTTCACGGCATATTCATATCGGTCAAGTAGAGATTGAAGGAGCATATTGGTCGGCTACCCAACAAATATCTATACATATTATCAAAGTTAGTCACTCGCAAGTCGAACGGTTATTACGTGCCCCGGGTAAATGCTTTCTGCGACCGGATTCTGATTCTACTTGCTGTTTCTTTTCTTTGTAGAAATATTTGTTGAACTGATTTTTCAAGGACCATTCGATATTTATGATATCAAACGTACGAAAGTGGCCGATCGTTCATTAACTCCGAAATTCGATGAAGAATTCTTCTTTCAAATTCCGCCGAAGGTCGCTGTTAGTGATATCACCGTTGATTTGATTTTTCTCGAGCGATCTTCATTGCATCTTCATCCGATCGTGCACGGAACTTTGACACTATCAAAACATACAGATTGGTTTCCCGTGCGAAAGTTCTGGACTGATATCGAAGAGAATCCGAATGTTCGATTGAAGGATCGATTCTTGTTCGAAAGGAATATCTATGAATGATTACCGAACTTGCGACATCTGTTTTGTCATTCGAAGTTTCGTTCAAAATTCTTTGTTCGCGATTGAATGAAACGACCAATAATGGAAGCATATTGAACATTGTCACATATCGTGATGCTTTCTTGATTCTCACGCTGAATTTTGTTCGATCTTAACTCGACGAATCTGTGTTTTATCTTTCAATTGTAAAAAAAATCGTTGTTTTTGTCAGAATATGAATGTAACTGAATCAGAAATTACAACTAAACATCGCGAATCATCTCCTGCTTTGAATGTTTACTTGCGCATACGTCCGTTCATCGGGAATGAACTCGAACGTGGTGAAAGTCAAAAATTAATAGATATTCTTGATGATAAACACATCGCTGTTCGATTACCACCAACTATTAACAACACTCTTCGTGTTTTACCAACATCATACAACGAATACGAAGTATTTTTAACGCTAAATCATAAATAAATGTACATTGGGATTTATAGGTCACTCGAATCTTCGATCAAGAATGTACACAGCAAGAACTCTTCGAACAAATCCTTCAACAACCAACCGATGAGATTTTCACCGGTTCGAATTGGCTTCTATGCACATTGGGTCTGACGAATAGTGGTGAGTTTTGACTCGTCGAAAAGATAGGATGGAATAGATTTGTGCTTAAGGTAAAACTCATACAATGTTCGGTACGAATGATGACCCAGGTCTGATTCCTCAATGTCTTCAACGTATATTTCGGAATGTGGGTTCGAATATTGATGATAACGTTGTGTTCAAACCCATCGGTCTAGAAAATATGATTCCGACGATTGATTGCGATCTGAACATGGAAGTCGCTGTTCGAAATTATATCTTCAAAGACGATAAGGTACAGATTCTATACTCAAATCGAAAATCCTTTCACATTCGTTTTCGTTATACAGAGCCGACTGCGATTACCGACCATAATCCAACGACAAAATCAAGTAGAAGACCTGTCCGTTGAAGGTAAACAAGAGAAGACACCTATGAAGAAAAAGTGTATATTCACGTGTTTAGATGAACGTTATTCCATTTGGATATCCTTCTTTGAATTATACAATGAAAATATTCTTGATTTACTTGTCCAACCGAAAGATATGAAGACGCGAAAGAATCTTCGTCTGATGCAAAATGATCATTCGACGATTATTAAAAATCTTATTCAAATTCCTGTTTTTGATCTCAAAGAAGCGGAAAATATCATTCGATTTGGCTTTGCTAATCGATCAACATCGAAAACAAATCTCAACGAGGCCTCATCACGTTCGCACGCGATTCTCTGCATCACTCTCATCTCAATCAATGAATTTGACGAAGAACCAACCATGAGTCACATGTGTATGCTAAAAATTTCCCTTCCCTTTTTGATACCTTTGATTTCCCTTAGATGTTTGTGATTTGGCTGGAAACGAACCATCGAATAGCGGCATTGGGAAACAACTGACAGAAACTTGTAATATCAATACATCGTTGATGACATTCAAGGATTGTATTCGGGTATTAAATGAGAATCAAACATCGAAGTAAGAAGCGCTCTTGTTGGAATTGAGATTCGAATTTTCAATGTTTTATAGAAAACAAATGCTTGTGCCGTATCGGAATAGCGTCCTGACGAGTATTTTCCGACCGTTCTTTATTGGCCGTGGCCGAACGATCATCTGTTGTAATATCAATCCCTGTGCAACGTTTATTACACAAACAAATGATCTAATGAAGTTTTCTGCGCTTGCACAAAAGGTTGTTTTGATTTTTTTTAGTTTTCATGATTTAATGATTGTTTTTAGACGATCATTGTTCCCAATGAAGCAAAGATTGCTAATAGTGCAGTCATACGACATCAACGAAAGTCGAAAAACAAAGGTCCAAAACGTCTGGGAAGACATAGTGTGTCCAAAGAAAAGAATATGAGTCGATTTGATCAAACAGAAAGTATGAATGAATCTATAAATGAAAAATCAGTAAGTGTTGCTTTTCTCATCGAACATTTCATTCATTACTTGTGCTAGATTTCATACTGGAAATTTTGTGCGAAGAAAGCGCTGGATATCCTACAAAAGCAAGCATCCAATCGCCGAAATTTCTTGATCGAACGACAGTAAATAACCTACTTCGATCTTCTTCAAGATATTCGTACACCTTTTGTACTTATTTAGTCAAGAGCGAATTCAAATGGTCGAGTATCTTCTCAATCAGCGCGAGCAGATCGAGATTTTAACTGATGATAAGCAATCTGTAAGTTGATTTCGTTTGTCACCTGATGTTCATCTTCGGTTATTCTAGTTGACAAAGCAAAATGAAATTCTCTCGAAAAATCTTCGTCTCGAGCAAGATAAACAACTTCGTATGCAGCAACAATATAACGCTCTTGTGTTAAACGAAAGTCAGCATCGTCAGAAATTGCTCAACATTGAAAAAGACCGTCACGAGCAAAATCGACTTCATCAAGAAGAAGTTCAATCGCTACGAAAGCAATTGAAAGTTGTTCAAGAACAATTCGAACACTTAACTGATGAACATACGAAAAAGTTGCAAGAAATCGAACAAACGAAACAGAACGAACAGGAGCGCGAACAATACCTTCATGATGAAATTCAGCGATTAAAGCGAGATCTTGGCTTAGAACTCTACCGTAAACAAGATGCGGAGAAGAAAGCACGAATGTTCGAAGATAAATTTCATCACGAACAAACAGAATATCAAAAGATGCAATACGATTTTACGAAAATCAAACATGAACTGAAAACTATTCAAGTGAAGTATGATGCATTGCAACAGGAAATGATTGACATGCATCAAAATACAAAAACCAAAACACCTGATGTGGTTCAGATATTTGTTGATAGAACATCAACGATAACGATGGCGGAGGAAGTTGAACCACCGAAAACAAGTGTGCGATCCAAACGACGCACAAATGATGAAGTAACGTTGAAACGTTCGTGTAAAAGCTGATAATTGTTTTCGATTTTAGAATGAAAATGAACAAGAGATCAAAAAGCCCAAACTGATAACTCGTAGCTCGTCTAATGCGAGCACATATGCGACTCCGAGACTTTGTCAACCTGTGGATGAGCCTGATAACAACAAACGACCAAAAGTAGTCATACGCAACGAATCAGCTGTTTCAACTAAACAGACGAAAACAAAAGCACAAGTATGTTCAGTGTATTCTCCTACCCAATATAACATTTCGTTCTCTTCACAGAATCCAAAAAGCGAATCTCAAGCTAAGCCAAAAACAACTGGTACACGTAATCGAACTAAAAAGGAAAACAAAGAATCTTTTCCAGAGCCTGCACTTGCTTCCGTGCCGATCCAACATGAATCACATTCTCCGATCTATGCTACTATTCAACGGGATCGCTCACTCGATAGAGCATCATTTACGACCGTTGCTGTTGATTTATCAACAGTACAACCAGCACCGCCCAACGATGCGCCCAATGCCACGCCAAAAACATCTACATTCAAACGTATCCAATCGTTTTTTCGAGCAACACCAAGTTTGTTTTCAAATTAAACGAGAAGTTAAATCAATGATAATCTATTTTCCTTGATATTTTTAGCTTCCACAAGTTCGACGAGAACAAATCGTGTTATGCAAATCAAGAGTACTGTTGTTGCCTTTGGCTCATCCACACCAACTAATCGTCTACCACCATCCATAGTCAAAACACCTGGTCCAACAGTGGTTCCAACTGCCACTCCATCAATGGCTCAAAAGGCGTCGACGCCTAAATCGAAATACAATCTTCGCACTCGTCTCTTCAACAATCCAATCGTCAAAGACACCGTTGAAGTAAGAAAGAAATAAAACCGTCAAATTTCATTTACACATTCAAATTATTTAGAAAAAAACTCAGATTACAAAGAAACCTTCACGAGCACGCAAATGAATATCATATCACAATTCTCTTTTTTACGTGACAACCTTGTATTTTTGTTCTGTACAAAAAATAAATATTCCATTAATTATTTTCCATAATAACCGAAGATATGAATGTGAGTGTGACAAATAAGGGATAACCACACCCATCTTCATGTGGTGTTAGAATTTATTCTGCGATACTCTTTGCCAATGGCTGGGATTGCCATGCAAGATTGTAGTTTTCCAAAGTTTAGAGATTAATGTACTCGAGAAGATCTTGCTCGCCGGTATTCTGATGATTTCAAGCATAAATTGATGTCTTCGCTCGATCGTATCGAACGGTAAAGTATGTGTCGCCATCTATTTTGTTGTGCTGTCATGATTTGAGTATAGTGAAAGAATCCAGTTTTTACTCAGTTTGTCACGGAAATTGTGTATCGTGAAGTTTACTCTTCAAAACCTCCGAAGTCATCTTGAAAAACATTCATTTTCACTGATTTGTATGACATTCTACACTCCATCGGGTACCTTCTAGATCTGACGATCACTTCATCAAACAAAACAGTAAGATGGATACGGATGACATTGAACAATATATCCAACACATTATTGATCGGAAAGAAACAAGCTTAAACTTGAGTAATCGCTCACTACGTGCCGTACCATCGTCTGTTGCTCGTTGCTCCTTCCTCGAACATCTCTATTTGAATAACAATGAGCTGATCATTCCACCTACTGAACAATTGTCCACATTAACAAATTTAGAAACACTTTCACTCGAACAAAATCAATTAACAATGTTACCATGTACATTATGGACTCTGAGGAGTCTGATACGCTTAAATCTTAGTCATAATCCACTTGGTCAAATATCATTAGCGCTAGGTCAGTTAAGAAATCTACATGAACTATGGCTAACAAACATAAATCTGTATGACATTCCATTGAATATATTTTCGAATTTGAATCAATTAGAAAAATTATCATTGAAATCCAATCATTTACGACAATTACCAAGTGATATTGGTTATTTAATCAAACTCTGTTGGCTGTGCCTCGAAGATAATGAATTAAGTGATTTACCTGACTGTCTACAAGATTGTGTACATTTATCTTATCTCAATTTAAACGGTAATAACTTTGCTCATGTTCCAAATGTGATCGGCAAACTCTCCTCGTTGAATATCATTTCCTTACAACGCAATGCGATTGCTGAAATCAATGATGAAACCTTATTAATGTTCTCTAGCATGACAAAAGTTGACTTGAGAGAGAATCCATTGGTTGACAGACCTAATCATTGGAAAGTAGGTTAAAAATAGGAACAATCGTTCGTATTTCCATTCATTGTTTAGGGTTTGGATTTTATCAAAGTTGGACGTTGCATTGATGTCGCATCGTATAACGAAGAGGAAGATGAAGAAACTAAATCATCTGAATCTAGTCAAGAGTAAAAGTTTTGCTATACTGTGATAAATACCATAATCGTGTGTGGTTTTTGTTTTTGAATGATTTAAATGACGCTCACAAAAAAATAATGATACGGGTTGTTTTGTAGATGAATTTTTGAAGATTTGCGATATTGAGATCTAAAAATGAGTGATGATGGGAAATCGACGAATGAGGAGAAAACAGCGACGAAGAGTCAGGTTGTGTATCGTGTGAATTACTTTTGAAAATGATCGGTTTGTTTTAGTTGGAAACTAAATCACAAGAAGAGCTGATGGTGCTTGTTAAAACTCAAGTTGTGTTAAAGAAGAAACTTGATGCGAAGATAGCTGAACTAACAGCTGCAAATGTTCGTTTATGCCAAACCGAAGAAGTAATAGAGGACCTTTTCGATACGAACAAAAACGTTTTTTGTTTCTTCAGGAACTTCTTAATAAACTCGACGATGAACAATCGGAAACGAAAAGGCTTAGACAGGAACTCGAACAGAATCAAACGAACGAAGGAAAGCTTCAGCAAGAACTAAATGTAAGTGGATTTTCTCTTATTTGTTTAGTTATGCTCCATTTCATCTTCAGAAATATCGCGAATCTTCCGAATGTTTACAATTGCAAAACGAATCATTGAAAACCTCGTGCAAATATTTCCAAGACGAGCTATCGGTATTTACAAGCATCGTTTTGCTCGTAATTTCGTTCGATTTTTGCTTAGACGGTCCAAAATGCTCTATCCAACTTTCGTACATCGGCCAGTACTCATGAAGACGAACTAACAAATAAATTAACTGTTGCACAAAATACGATCGAAAATCTTCTCAATGAGAAACAATTGTACGAACAAGAAAAACTGGAAATGCAAGCACTGACCGAAAAGCTCCGATCGGATCTCAACGATCTTCAATTGAAATTCGATTCAGCGGAAACCGACAAACCGCAATCGGAAGAAACGATTGATCGAACTGATGAGGTGATTGCTGAGCGAATGCATTCTCTCCTTGACAATGGAGACGTTTCAGCATTGCTCTCATCAATTGGAATCAAGGATGATGACTATGAACCATTCAATCTTGAAGGTCTTCTTCGATTATGCTCGTTATTACTCGAACGATGTAAAAACATGCAGAAATCAGTGTTAATTAGTGAAAATGATGGTTATGAACGATGTCAATTACTCATCCATCGACAGGAACATTCGGGATTAGATTCATTTTTTGAACATCTCTCTTCATCTGTAGATCAACTCAACGATTGGCGAATCGATCTGATAAAACCAACGGATAAGGTAGATTCTTAACTTTTCTTTTAATATATCAAATTTTCTCATCTTTTAGAGTGTTGACCAATACATTCGGTTGGAAGTGAATGATAACAAATTTGTTTCTCAACAAATCGAAGACGACCTGAAGGAGAGATGTGCTCAGCTTGATCAGTTAGCCGAAGAAAATTCTCATTTGAAAACATTAGAAGACCAGCTGCATCAAGAACGTGAAAAGATTCGCGTTCTGGAAGAAGATCTTCGTGCTTTCGAACAGTTAAAAGAACAGTTTGTAGAACAACAGCAGAAATTCCAATTATCACAAGAGAAACTAACCGAACAACGACAGGAGATTGAAAATCTCGAAAACAAACTTCAATCTTCTGAACAAATGCAAAGCCAACAGCAAGAACCAGAAAGTCAGCTACTCGAATATCAACAAAGGATCACGTCTCTCGAAGAAAATCTACGTTCATCCGAGCAATTCAAAATCCAACTCGACGAAGAGCGTCAAAAGACAGATGAATTACAATCTACCATCAACCAAGGTACACATCTCTATCCTCCTTACTCTTCATCATCTTATCCATTTTTGTTTAGACAAAACCAAACTAGACCAACTCGAAATCGCCTATGACGAACTGCAACAAAAATGTCTTCTTCTTCAAGAAGTCAAATCCGAATATGATTTGCTACGGGAGAAATTCGATGGGGCCAACCTTGCCTTAGCGGAAAAGCAGAAAGTGTATGACAACCTGCAGTCCGAATACGAACATCAACGTCTTTACCTTCTCGACCGTGATGAAAATATTCATTTACTGAAATTAAAATTAGAGCAACAACAGCAATCTGCTGATGAAGAGAAAGACGAACGTTTGTCGTCTTTGTCGAAACAAATCCAGCAGTATACGGATTTATTGGAAACGAAGACAAATGAAAACAAACAATTGAATGAACGTGTCACGGAATTGGAAAATGACTTGAAAGAAAATAAAGAATTACTTTTCGAATCGAGCAAACAGGCAGATGATCTCGATAGGCAGTTGCAAAAGTCGATAAATCAACTTGAAGAAGTGAAAAATCAACTCGATCAGATCAACGACGAGAAAACAAAACTAATAGAAAAAATACAAAATCTCGAAGCGACGAAATCAGTAAAATGAATATTTCGAATAATCCTACTCTAAAACTTCTTTTTTTTTCTCAATAGGACTATGGCCAATTGCAACAAGAATTCGAAGCCAATCAAGCGAAATACGATGAACTCATGCAAATCAATAACGAGAAAACTGAAACTGAAAAACAGTTGCAACAGGTACGCTTTTCATATTCACTTTTCCTTGAAATAACTCCTAACCTTTCGCAGACAATCGAGAAACTTCAACAAGAATTACAATCCACGATTGCGAATGAGCAAACTCAACTCACCAATGAAAACCTCGAATTGAAACAAAAACTCGAAAAACAAACGCTTGAAATCGATGTATATCTTTTTTTTCTAATTTTTCTATTCCAATTTAAATATTTCTCTGCCTTTGTAGGAGCTGAAAGAGAAGCAGCAAAAGATGAAACTTCTCTTAGCGCGTCTGAAAAAAGAACTACAAGAAAAAGCTCAACAACTGCCCAAACAGAGTCTGATCGATCTAGAGATAGCCGATTATGAGAAAACGATCAAAGCTCTAAAAGACGATCTGACACGCAAAGACAAAGAAATGCAAGAGCTACGAGATGACATCAGCAATCTCAACGAAAAGAATCTCTCCCTCAAACAAGAAATGGAAAATTTAGAACAACAAAAAACTCAAACCGACGAACGCGCGAACAGATTGAAAGATCTACTAGATACGACCAAGAAAGAATTACATGATGCAAAGAATCTCCAACAAGAGATGCATCAGAATGAAGATACTGTTCGATCATTGATCGATAGATTACAAAGCGAATTAGACGATCATAAAGTGTCCATGAGTCAACTATTTGCAGATAAACAACTATTAACCGGTGAGTTTATTGAAGAAAATTTGGATAATGATGAACATTTTCGATTTAGAACGATTGAATAATCAAAACGAAACAGCGCAGAAGACGATTAATTTATTAGAACAAAATCTTCGTATTGCAAAACATGATCTAGACGTCGCTAAACAAGACTAGTTAGTTTTCTTTGAAGAATTCATTTTCAACTCATTTTATTTTTGTAGCGAGACACTACAAGATGATTTTAATAGTTACAAAGTAGGTCAAACTAAATTATCAACACATTTGTAATCAGATTGGTTGATATTGTGAACAATCTTGCGTCAAATTTAGATCCGCGCGCAAAGTGTGTTGAAGCAACATCAATCTGTACAACGTGAACGTTTGCCATCGGTGGTTGATAAACAGAGTGAATTAGAAGAAACAATTGAGAAATTAAAGTTAACTCTTCAAGAAGCACAGTAAATCGTTGATGGTGTTGTAAAAGACTGGTTAGAATCCATGGGTTTTCGTTTTAGTAATAAAATTCAGTTGTTGAAATCAGAAAATGAAGACTTTCAGAGAGAACAAGATCGTCTAACTGAAATTCAAGCAAAAACACTCAGTGAAGCAAGAAAACGTGAACAGGAACTTCGAAGACAAGTAAAACTCATCTGTTCTCACAATATTCATTCTCTCTATCGTTCTTAGCATCAATTGGAACTTGAAAAAATGGAAGCCGATTATGTGAAACGAACGAATGACAGTCATGACATGATGAAAGACATCACACTCCAAAACGAAACGCTCTCCGTAGCATTTAAAGTTCGTTTTTCCTCTTCTCCTCTTTCTTCTGACTACTAATACCACCAACTTCGAAATTTACAGGAACGAATCAGCACAATGGAAGCAGATCACGAACGTTCGATGTCAATTTTACAAAATCAGCTACAGTCTTACAAACAAGAAATCGAACAATTAAAGAACCGTATCGAATCCTTACGACAAATGCATGTTGAACACGAAAAAGAAACGCCACAATTCGCGCCTATAAATGAATCAAACAAAGATGAAATTTCCTGGTCATCTGCTGAACGACAACAAGGCGAAGTAGGAGCATAGTTTCATTGACTGAATTAATATTCTTTTGTTTTCGCAGGGCTCTGAATCTGCTAGTAATGACCATCAACCAAATGATGTGGCTGTTAAAACGTTAGAAAATGTCTTGTTTGGCAGTTCATCGAATTACAATCGATCATCATCATCGACAAATTCGGACAAACCTCGGCACGTTCTTTTCGAAGACGCGGAGATCGAACGACAACGTCTTGAAGAAGAAATCAGCAAGACCAAATATCGTCTATTGAATACCACTGAACTTCTCAATGAATCCGAACTGAACAATGTTCGTCTAAGCGAACAAGTCGCATTGTTAAAAGAGGAAATTCGACGAATGGAACGAAATGTCGAACGAGCCGATTCGATATCCAATTTAGAATATTTAAAAAATGTGATTTTGAAGTTTTTCGTCCTGAGAACCGCCTACGAACGTTTGCAATTAATACCTGTGCTAGTCACTATGCTCAAATTGAGTCCCGATGAACAAGCAAAACTTGTTCGCGTTGCACAACAAACATCATCGATTGATAATGACTCCGCAAATAATCAATCTAATGTAACACAAGATGAAAACGCCAACACTTCTTCTTCTTCTTCCTCGTGGGGATCATATTTAAATATTTGGTGATATTCATGATCACTTTCTTATCTATGTGATAGAATCGATATTGCAAATAAAGCAAAAAATAATAATCAGACTAACCGTATTTTTATCTTCTTCTTGCTCTGTTGTTCTTTTATTATTGTTACTATATTATTATGAGAAAAAAAAGAAAGAAAGAAAGAGAAAATTCTCTTTAATACTTATGAATGCTTTCAGACAGTTGAATTTATTTTTGTTCTGTTGGTTATATATCCGAAGAACTTATGAGATATTGCACGTAAGGCACAATCATCTTCGATTTGACTGATGTTTTTACAGTAGTTAAATCATGATATGTTAGGAATAAATCGCCTGAGTATGTAGAACACTCAATCGATTCCATACACTGCGCTGTTGAATTTGAACGCGAGTATCAGTGAAAGATTCTGTTGTCTGTGGTAGCATTGAAAATAAATTATAGAAATGCAAGGGAGAAAGTACAGACACATGAGCATTCAAAAATGATAGTAGATGCCGAGCAGATGTTCTGGCCCCGACGGCACCTGATGCGCACTTTCACCCTTGAGTTTAGAGGACGTTTAATCCAGACAATTCGAGATAAACCAATACTGACTGTACTGCAGAGGTAACGAACACTTATGTTGTTTTATTTATTCTATTTCATGCCATATCTAGGATTTCGACCGTGAGAAACACGCAATCGTTGTGTAGATGATAAGTGATCCAGGATCTAAACCACCTTTTCAAGCGAAGTCTCTATTAAAATGAATTTTAAAAATTTAAAGAAGCGAGCGAAATCATCCCTATTTCATAGTCTCTGTCATCAATTTGTCAACTGTTTACTGACCACGAGCGCCAACTGTCGAGAGCAAGTCTTTTCCTTTCTTCAATTTTGATGCGTAATTATTCGTTACAGCATACGGACACTACCAAACCAATGAATTAGGGTTCAATCCCTTAGTAGTAGTTGTGATTACATGCAAGCCAAATTCGCACACTCTTCTCAGTTAGATGACATCTGTACACCAATCAATACGAAACGATTTTCTCGCCGAGATTTGAAGATCATCAGAAAAAAAAGAGATGTTTGAAGTAGTATATTGTAAATAACTTCCTCCCGCGTTGTGCTATACTCATATTAGCGTGAACCTTCAATAAAAAATGGCTAGAAATTTTGATCTTCAGCTGATTATGTACACTGGAATTCAGATTCACATTCTAGATCTACCTATTGTTCACTATAGCGAGTATAACACCGGCAACGCCATGTTGAACAAAGTCGTGTGTGTTAATTTCAATTTCAACACTTTGTTCATTCTCAGACAACAAATATCATGTCTATCATCCACTTCAACATTCTCTAGTCAACCACGAACCATCGGCCTCGGTCAACAGATGAGGATACTCAACGAGAAAAAGCAGTTTGAACAAACGATTGAGCTGTTCGAAACGGAAATGAAGAAGAACAAGAAGCACTTGTCCAGTTTGATCATTGATCAAGCTTTGAAAGCATGTACACAAGTGCGTGACTTTCGACGCGGGCATGGTATTCATCAATTAGTTCAACATCGACTGTCAACTGATTCGTCGTTAGTGAGATCTCTCATCCATTTCTACAGTATGCTCATTGCGAACGAGATCATGCTATTTCCACTGATGTTTCGTTGTAGTGCAATGTCATGATGTCCAATCAGCTGAATCTCTATTCAACGTTTCAACAAATAAAACGGTGTATATCTGTGGTGCCATGATGAAGGGTTTGAAGTTTTGTTTGGTCTTGTACTGATGGAACTGCCAGATCTGTTTGCATTGTATTTAGGATACATTGACAACGAAAAACCAGAGAAAGCGGTTGAGCTTTTCGAACAGATCAAACATCCTGATGCAGTTCTCATCACACTATTCTTCAAGGCTTGTGCTCAAGTGCCATCAGAACAATCGTTGAGCTTAGCGAAGAACATCTGGAAAAAATACCAAGGCACATCCCTTCTCAATCCCTACGCCTTGACGTCTCTAATCAATGTTTTAATGAAACATGGTGATCTCGAGAGCGCAGAAACTGTATTCAATCAGCAATCGAGCAAAGGTCCATCAATGTATGGTGCAATGATGAAAGGTATCCATTCCGTTCATTTCTCCAAATAGCTTTACTAAAACTACCGTTTTCTTTAAAGGATTCATACAGAATGAGATGTCGCAGAGGGCGATTGATCTTTTCGAACAAGTGAAGAATCCCAATGAAATTCTAGTCACACTACTGTTCAATGCATGTGCTCAACTACCTTCGGAACAATCGTTGAACTTAGTCAAGAATACCTGGGAACAACCTCAGATCAAATCTCTTCGTAATGATAATGTAATAACTTCTCTAATCGATGCTCTGATGAAATGTGGAGACATCAAGGGTGCAGAAATTGTTTTTGATGAATCACCGAACCATTCCGTATATATTTATGCAGCAATGATGAATGGTATGTTTTCCCATCAATGTTTTTGTTCGATTTTGCTAAATGTTGTCGCTTCTGTAGGCTACATAAGAAATCAAATGTCGGAAAAAGCGATTGATCTTTTCAAACAGGTCAACGAACCTGATGACGTTATTATCACACTGTTGTTCAAAGCTTGTGCTCAACTACCATCAGAACAATCATTGAACTTAGTTAAAAATACCTGGAAACAATATAGAACTAAACTTCTCCATAGCAAAAATACATTAACATCTCTGATCGATGCTCTGATGAAATATGGTGATGTGAACAGTTCAGAAGTTATTTTTAGCGAATCAAGAGAGAAATCAATATCGATGTATGCAACAATGATGAAAGGTATAGTTTTCTTTCATTGTTTCCATATGAATCTATCGAGTTCCGAAATTTTCTAGGGTACATTGAAAATCAACTATCAGGAAAAGCAATTGATCTTTTCAAACAAATCAAAGGTCCGAATGAAGTTATCATCACACTCTTGTTCAATGCATGCGCTCAACTACCATCAGAAGAATCGTTGAGCTTGGTCAAAAGTGTGTGGAAAAAATATCAGAACACATCTCTTCTCAATGATCATGCATTGACTGCTTTAATCGACGCTCTCATGAGATGCGGTGACGTTAAGAATGCAGAGGCTATTGTCGACAAGTCGTCACACAAGGTGTTACCTATGTATGGAGCTATGATGAAAGGTATTCTATCTAGTTATTTTCTTATATGACTTCGTTGGCTTGTGTTATCTTCGTAGGTTACATAAAAAATGAGATCCCAGAGAAAGCGATTGATCTTTTCCAACAAGTGAAGAATCCCAATGAAATTCTAGTCACACTACTGTTCAATGCATGTGCTCAACTACCTTCGGAACAATCGTTGAACCTAATCAAGAGTACCTGGGAACGACCTCAAATTAAATCTCTCCGTAGCGATAATGTATTAGCTTCTCTAATCGATGCTCTGATGAAGTGCGGAGATATTAAGAGCGCGGAACTCGTTTTCGATGAATCATCAAGCAAATCGATATACATTCAGGGAGCAATAATGAGCGGTATTTTTTCTGATTAATTTTCTCATACGATTGTGCTGTAAGCTGTTGCTTCTGTAGGCTACATAAGAAATCAAATGCCGGAAAAAGCGATTGATCTTTTCGAGCAAATTAAAAATCCGAATGAAGTTATCATCACTCTCCTGTTCAATGCTTGCGCTCAACTACCATCAGAAGGATCGCTGAGCTTGATCAAAAGCGTGTGGAAGAAGTATCAGAACACACCTCTTCTCGATGATCAGGCATTGACTGCTTTAATCCACGCTCTTATGAGATGTGGTGATGTAAATCAGGCAGAAGCGATCTTCGACCAATCACCACACAAGGTGTTACACATGTATGGAGCTATGATGAAAGGTTACATCCATTTTGGTATCTGTGTCGCGAAGTTTACTTGATACTTTTTCTGTTTTTCATTAGGATACCTTCTCAACAGAACACCAAACAAGACCCTTCGCCTTTATCATCAAATCAAAAGTAAGTCGGTTTGTACCAAAAAATCCTACTGAATTCAGTTTTTCCATTAAGACATGAAGATAACACAGTCAAATTTCATTATTTATTTACTTGCAATTAATGCATCATCACAAATTGCTATGGCATCGGAATGTCAGTCCATTGTGGATGAAATACCGCAACATATCTTACTCAATACTCAGATTTCCAACTCTTTAATTGATATGTGGGTAAGTCTTACACAAGCAATGAGATGTGAACAGTTATGCGTCTTTATTCACTGATTATTATAGGGCAAAGCTGGTTGTGTGCAGGAAGCTGAGAAAGTTTTTGCCAATCTTTCATCCGTTGATCAAGTCGCTTATGCGTCAATGGGTTAGTACTGATGTTGATTTCACAATAACTTGACCCATCTGTTTAGTTCACGCTTATGGCATCAATGGAATGGGCACGAAAGCGGTCGAACTTTTCCATCAGGTTCCACAATCGTTGGTTGTGGAGGCTACTCATGTTTGTGTTCTCAATGCGTGTTCGCATGCTGGACTTGTCGATCAAGCTCGTTCTATCTTCACAAGCATCGAAGATAAAACAGAAAAACATTACGCTGCAATGGTAATTGTCAAATGACATGTTCTGTTGGATTCGTCAAAGGGTGACTGATGTGTTTGCTTTTTCTTGAAGATTGATTGTCTGAGTCGAGGATCATTGTTTGATGAAGCACAACGACTGATCGATCGATATGAACTGAATCATCCACCTTCACCTGTCATGTATAGTGAGTATTCTACTGCGAAGTAACAAATTAGATGCATTAACTGGATTAGTGGATCGAAGAGAACTCGTTCGGATGAGCATCGAAATGGAATAATGAAATGAGTGAATTGCTTTCGTTGCAGTGTCATTATTATCAGCTGCAAGAAATCGGAGAAACAAACAGTTGGTCGAGGACATTTATCAACGGATAAAAGAGCTTTTCTCTCACCTGTCCGATCGACTCACCTCAGCCACGATTTTACTTGCCAATCTTTATGGATCTTCTGGTGATGTGGACAAAGCGTCAAGTATTCGATACGAACTGAGTAGATCTGGTGCCAAGAAAAAGCCAGGTCTCAGTTGGACTGCAGTTAATGGTCAACTCTTTGTAAGTCTATGAAGTGTTGATACTAAAGTCTTCGAAAACTAACAATGTGAATTGATTTGTGTTGTTTAGCAATTTCATGCTCACGATCGATCTCATCCACGCAGTGCCGAAATCTATGTGGAATTGGATAGGATCTCAAGAGAACTGATTGAACATGGTCATGAGTATGACTCGTCATGGATCACACGACCACTTGCTGAAGATGAAACGATCGAATCAGTTCTTTGTGGACATAGTGAGAAGCTTGCAATCGCCTGGAACTTCGTAGCCAATCCCAACACAACATTCATCCAAATAACGAAAAACTTGCGTGTCTGTGGTGATTGTCGTGAGTGATATTATGTTAAATTATGAGTTTCCATTCATTCTTCGGTTCATCTTGCAGATCGAGCCACGAAACTGATTGCTGCCATTCGACGATGTCAGATAGTCGTCCGTGACGCCAATCGAATTCATCATTTTCATCCTAATGGGCACTGTTCATGCAATGATTATTTCTGATTGATGTGCAGGTTTTCTGTTGTGTTTTATTAATAAAAGAACCTTGTGTATTGAGTGCACATTGATGTGGCATTAGTTTTGATCATTTGTACAGTTTGAGTGTGTAACTGTTGAGAAGTTAATGACAGGAAAACGTGACATATTACATTGACAAGAATATGAGAAGAATAAAATGCTCAGAATAGAACAACATCAATCTGAAGACATCCTCAAACGTTAAAGATTGAAGCAAAGCAGTGACAGTCACTCGCTCAATAGTCGATGTCATAGGAAGCTTTCGGTGGACCTAAAATTAGACTATAGGTGTCTCATCATAGGAGTATTGCAACTATCTGTGTAACCAGAAATTTAAGAATAGTAGAGACTCAGTTCCATACTATATATTATGATCTTAAGTTTACATCAATTCATATATCAACAGTAATATGACAAAATTTTATAGCATTGTATTAAAATATACTTACGAAGATAGGTCACCAACTCTAAAATTATTTTCGAGCTAAAATTTAGTTAGCCATAGGGATTCTACTATGTTTAATCCCAATATAACGCTCATTACGGTTAATCGTGATTCAAAGGTCCTAGTTTTCTTCGAAACCGAGTTTTCCATGAAGAAACTTGATTTCTAAGGCAATACTTCAATGTTTTTACATAATAGAACACAGCAGGTTACATGTTGAAAATTATTATTGTCAGGGTTTTGGTAGTTACTGAGATGTTGTCACATATCGAACGTCTCGTGTATAAACATAATATAGCGCATTGCTTATGCTTCGATGTTGAAATGCATTTTTTAACCTATACCTATGTGAATATAATAAAGTTCTTTTTCTGTATTTTTTTTCAATATAAATTAGTTTCTATGCAAATAGCCGTTGAAGATAACTAATGTTTGATTGCTATATGCATCCGGTTCTAGACAAACCCGCAATCAACTTTTACGATTTAAAATCAAAAGATATAAAAATTAGATGGATCGCAAGGAATAGTTAGATGAACTACGTTTTGTACCACCCATTCCGAACATCTGGCAACGTGACCGGGTGGTCGGAATTGAAATTATTTTTCGCCAATTTCGTACAAGAGTCCGGAAATTTTCACCGGATGTTCGGACATCTCTTGCTTAGAAATGGTTTCAAAATTAGCAGAAATTCTGTCCAAAATGGGCAATCAAGAGTCAAGTTCACCAAAAAGCAAGACTGGATGGACTTAGACGCCGTCACTTCATCTAAGTGCCCATTGTACATTCCCATCCACTTAAAAAAACGCTGGTGATTTACTTAGAGTTTCACTTTTACGGACTCCATGGCGAAATCTTCACAATTATTTTTTTGTCATAGATTTCGTAACGGACATCTGAGCTGGAAATCCGGAATAAATAAGGTGACACGAAATGTCATTTTCCCGAAAAATATATTCAAAAAAGAAGTGATGAATCAATTTACAAAAACTTATGAAAACGTACTTCAAATAATGCTTTTTAGATAACATAATTCCACTTTTTTTGAACTATATTGAGCACAACCACCTTGCAATAAATCAATAGATTTAACGAAATCCAATTTGAAAGAAAGAAAATGCGAATATTACTATACATGACCTTAGAATTCACAAGGAAAGTTTAGGAAACATTCGAAAATTATTTGACACTATATCAATTGTCTTGAAAATATTTCTTATAATCATTTGAGTTTTATTCTCTTTATTTTTCTTCACAAATCCAGATCGTTACATTTATTGTTTATAGAAATGTCAAATTCAACGGCGACGTTGTTCTTTAGATGTTTCATCGACTGGTAGAGTTGTTTGCGGAACGCATGGAAAACATGAGCAAGTATTTGCCCAACAATAACCATAGCTACAAGGACATGCCGAAATACAGTCTTTATCTATACAGTTCAATCTTAGATCCTTTTTCATACGTAGAAAATTCGCTGCATCACTAAAAGTTAGTATAGAATGTACTTAACTTGTCTTATAATTTATAATCAGAGTTTACCTTTGTTTTTCCAGTACATTGAACAATCCAACACTTTCAACTTTCATAGTAGAATATATGAATAGAAGAACAGAGGCATAAAAAATCATTTTTAAAGCCATATTTTCTCAAGATCTTTGTATATATGAATGATATTGTTTTTTATTCATATTGTTGATATGATCGGATATTTATATTCTTCAAATATTTCGTCGTTTACTAACGATTAGTCAAACATTATAACTATTCATAGAAAAGGAAGTGAATTGAATTACGAATGAATCAAAACTAATATCAAACTCAGAACAAAGTACTTTATTAACATATAGATGCATGATCGAGTTCCTTCTTACCGTCTGAAGTATCTGAATGCAAGCACTTCCATTCATCTCTTGCATATCTTCTATTTACTTATTTTTTCTCGTTCATTAAATATGCATGACTTTACATTGAAAATATTTCAATTATGTTTAATATTTCCAAAAAAAGTTTCATAATTATTTTTTAAATTTCATGTGAAATGAATTTGAAACAGTTTTTATATAAATCCATTATTCGAATATAATACAAATAGACGTATGAAATAAAATACAACTGATTCAATACTTTCATATTCCGAAGTTTTTATTGTTGAATTTCAAATACTCTTATATATCAATGTCACTGCATTTGGACAAAGATGTACATGTATAAATAAGTAATTCAACAAATAATAATCTAATCATATCATGATCTTCTTTTCGAAGAATATGTATTGTTCTATTGGGTGAATACACGCACATTTATGTTGTAAATCTAGTCAAGTTAATGATTCAAAAGCAATTGAAGTTAATGATAGAAAAATATCAAGACTAATTAGAATATAAATAGTATATATAATTTCATCGATGCCTTGTGATGCATCATATGTTATTTCAGCAATGGAATCGAACATTGTTGAGAATATAGCGAGACAAAGCCAGAATATAATAACACTTGGAATAATTCGAATACTGATTTGATAAAGATTGAATGAGAAAAGAAATTGTTTATTCTGACAAACAAAATAATGATTAACACATGCTAAGACGAAAAATGTTGTCGTCATTTGACTAAATGCATGATTGAAAATAATATTGAAATCGACAGGTAAATAATGAAGAACAAATGACAGGTACATAGCATGATTTAAACTGATTAAGCCACATAATGACATTGTTAATGTATAAAGTGATTAAGAATTTTAGAGATACTTTTCTTGAATAGAATATAGTACATTGAAAACTAATTCCAGATTACTCATAATAACATATATTGTCATTTCATACTGTGTTAAATATTGTTGAATAATATTCAATTCGAATATCAAAGATGGTATGTTATTTTTTTAGGAAGAGTTGAAAATCATCAGAATTATCTTTCAAAGTCTATCTTTGAACAAAAAATTATATCAAATATGATAAAGTATCTTGCTTTGACATAATGAAGAATTAAATGTGTGCTTCTTTTATTCAAGTCGTTAGAAAAGTGGAAATCTTACTTGGATATTTATCATTTAATCAATGATTATCGTTTCGATCTCGTTTACAATGAAATTAGAGAAATTCAATTATTTTGAACATGAAATCTTATAATAAACTTGAAATTATTTCAGCATTTGATAAAGAACATATCATTTGTTTGTGGAATTGAAGTCTTCCGTGAGAGCAATTTCGATGTTAATGAGATATCTGGAAGAGCAATTTAAAAAAAAAGAGAAGAATATTCTTTGCGTTAGAAGAGTAGCGCAGAAATCGTTAACTCGATTCGAGTATTCAGCTAATCCTTCGAATTCTAAACTTATAAATTTAGAACTCGAGGCTTCGCGTTTTAAACCTTTAACCTTGTAACTAATTGATTATTAACTATTCACTAACCGATTATTCACTATCAACCAACGAACTATGAAGTAATCAGTAGCTAATTGTTAAGTACAACTATTGACTACGTGATTATGAATTATTAACTAACCAGTTATGATGTATCATCTTGAGGTTGACGGTGACTTTGCTCTCATGAACTGCACCCTCACTTTGCTCACCCTTTATACTTAATAAAAAGTTAGTTACTAATTAATATTTATTTAGTTACTGATTAATAGTCAGTTGGTTAATGATAGTTAATCAATCAGTTAGTAATAGTGAATATTTAATAGCCAATTAGCTAACAGGTTAATAGTTGAAAACCCGAAGCTTTGACTTCTTGATTTGTAAGTTTAATACTCGAATTTTCTTTTCGAATTATACATGTATGCTGTGCGATAGAATCGATATTGCACTTAAAACAAAAAAAGTAATAATAACACTCTCAGTATTGTTATGAGTCTTCCTCTTATTATTTTTGTCATTGTTACTATGTGATATGAAAGAAAGAAAAGATCCTCATCAATATTTATTAACATATCTGCACAGTTACAGTTCAGTCTGTTCTATTGACATGAAAGACTGGAAAAAAAATTTTTGTAGCTAAATATGGACAATAAGTGAAGAAGTACAAGAAAGTTTTCTTGTTATTGTTCTTATTTGCAGGTCACGAGAATCTCAGAAGAGATGCTTAATCTCCTCATTCCCATTCGCATGATTGTTAAAGACATCGACACGCGCGATTTTAAGCGAGACCTAATTATAACATCGCACCGCACGTTCACTCGCGATTGAAAGTAGTTATATAACGCTGATAAAATCTCAAGAATACCTCGAACTTGGCGGATGAAATTGAAATGAGTAGAAAAATGGCGGAGTATTCGATTTTTGATTCAATAGTGACGAAGATTGGATTGGTCGATTGACTGAAGGTTGTTCAGCTTTAAATTTCTAAGATAAATATTTACAAGTTTCTCATAAAAGTTTTCTTTAATGTACTCGTGTCATCGGTAAATATCATCGATAGAAATATTTGATTCTGTGCAAATAGTTTTGATAAGCGACAAAATGACTCTCTATCTTCGGATCTTGCTTCATTTTCAATGGTTCGCTTCACTTCTATATTCTAATGAAGATGAATGACTGGTTTCAATATGGAAAACTACTTCTGTGTCAGTAAAGGAGAAAAGCAAGTTTCTCGGAAACTTAAATTCTAATAAATATTGTATCTTGTGGTAAATGTTAGTTTTTTTAAACTTTTTAACGTCTTGTTCTCGAATTAATTAAATATATAAACGAATTGAAGGTCGTGTCACAACATTCTATGGAAAAGAGAACTTTGACAAATAGATTTTATCCGAATTCCAAAGTTCTTCTTCGGCTAAACGGGTTTTTTTTTTGTTGATACTTCTATAAAAGCGAATGGAACGAAATGACGAAGATTCACATTGTCACTTTCATGAATGTAAGACAGATTTGATTAAAAACTTGCAATTGTCTCGACGTTCCACTCGTTAAATTCTAAAAAAAGTCATTCTATTCAAATCCTCCCCAAACAAATAACGAACGTCCTCGTCAACTGCATTAATATGTTCATCGTACCGTCAGTCCGATTATTATCGGTACAAACCTATCGATTCTCGGGTATTCAATTAGATGCAAAGAAAGTTGTACTCCATCATTATTATGTCTCAATTCATGCAGTCATCGACAGTGAATGTTGGTTGTGTACTGCGTGTCCCCTTGTCATGCAAAACCTCTAGAAAAAAAATAGAATGAGAAAAAAGACAGAAGGAAGAAGAGCAAGAGAATAGAAAGGAAAACGGAGAAGAAGGTGGTTGCGTTTTTCTTTCTTCTTCTTCTTCGTGTGCTCGTCCGTTTGTTCTCCTTGACAATAGAAATGATGTTCATCAGTCTCTGGATCATCTTTCTTAAATAGCATGCTCTGTGTCTTAACACAAAATCATCTCGGAAATCCTTTCAACCGCGTTCTGGCATTCTTTTCTTTTCATACTTGGGTCATTCTACATATCAAACTGATTTGTTCGGTACGACAACAAAGATGTCAGTTTTGACAAAAAAGTTAACTGAATCAAAATGGTTGGCGATATCCAATCTACCTCGGACAGTTACGAAAGAAACGATTAAGAAATATTTCCAAAGGTTTCATTTCGTTTTCGTATATTTTACCAACAACCGTTGATTTTTTTTATCTTTAGATACGGTTGTATTCAATCAATTCATATCGATAGTCAACGATTCGCTTTCATCAAGTTTTCTAGTCGGCACTCAGCATCGAAAGCACATCACGCAGAAAATATTCTCGATAACCAACCAGTACGAACTGCATTTCATGATGGTTCAAGCACTGTCCCAGAAATTCTTCTCAATAAACCATCTTCATTAACTTCATCAATTATTAAACCATCGGCGCCATCTCCTTCGAGTATAAACTTCTCGAATAAGGCAATAACAATGGTTCATGACGAACGGAATAAACGCACGTCACGATCTATAAGTAGTCCTGAAGAAAATACTCGGTGAGTAGGTTTTTTTTTAATAAAATGCATTTTCCTTGATCTACAAGGACATTTCCTCACTGCTAACATGTCAAGTATAAGACTGCATGTGACGCATGATATTAATATATAAAAGGTTTAACTTAGGATCGGAGATGAAAAAAGAAATCTTCTCATCAACGTGAGGAATAAGCATTTCTATAACTAGTAGTTAGAATAGTAACTTTTTAATAAATACAACTGGTGGATCTATTCATTATCGTGTTTCACGCTAGATTCATGTCAACATATTCTTTCACTGTTATTCAACATGAGGGTGATAAACATTTGGGTACATGAATAGGTCAGCATGTAGAGGAGATCTTTAGTTGTCCTTCGACTTTCAATGGTAAAATCAAAAGAAAATTTTCTATCACATTTTTAATATTCTCACACGGCTTTTTTATTTATAGACATCAAGTTGTGCCTATAGAACGTGACCTGAAACGAAGATTAATACCCGGAACTAATTCGAAGTAATTGCTAACAGAGATGAATCTCTAATATCGTTTCGACGTAATAACTCGTCTTATATCATTAGAGAAACAACTCCTACGTGTGAGTCCAAAAAGTACCAGCGACACTCAGTATACGAGGAACAAATATTCAGACAATCGAAAACGCGCATACTGAAAATCTACCAATTACCATCAACATTATCAAGTAAAATTGTTTTCAAAGAAAGATAGTTAGATCGGATTTGGATTTATTTTTAGATGAAACCTTACGGGAAAAACTTCGAAAGATCTTCACTAGTTTCAAAAACCCTTCGCACCTATTAACAATCAGAATTGTCAATGATTACGCTCTGTTGACATTTCAGGAACCTCAAGATGTTGACAAAGCTTTGTTATATGTGATAACCAAATCCATCAACGGAATACGACTAAAAGCGGAACCGTATAACAATCTGATCACGGGTAAAGTTCGACTTGAAAACCGATTCCGATCTAAATAGTTCGTCATTTAGACAATGAGATGAGCAATACATTCATCTATTCAGATATTGATGAGTATTCATCAAAATCAACACGGACTTTGTTCATACGAAACCTTCCGACAGAGATATCTTATCATGAATTACGTGAAATATGTATGGAATACGGCGAAATTATTGTAAATATTTGATGTTACTCTTCGACATCAATATTTTCTTATTTGAATTTAGGATGTCAACATCAAACGAAATTCTCAGACACAAGCCTTTGCCTCGATTCAATATACTTCGATCAAAAGTGTCGTTAGCGCAATAAAGATCTTAGAACGTAAACTTATTTACGGTCGTTCACTTCAGGTACTTCATTCAATCGATAAATCCCGAATTCGTTTCACTACGAACACGACTTAAAGAATGAATAAAAAGGCTTATTGATTCGGCTAGACAGATTGTTACTAAATTTTCTCTTGCAATAGTCAGTTGGTTTTAATTCGAACCATGACCGTGAAGACATATCTGCATCCAGCACTTACATTTGATGAAAATATGAGCAGAACACAGAGATGGATAGATACCGACTAAAGACATTCTCTTTATCTGATAATTCATTCATAAAATTCGATATTTATATCTGGATTAGAGTTTCATCAAAGGTCGATGCGCATAATTAGACTAAATTAAAAAGTTCACTTTTGCTTGCAGCTCAATTTCGGTAAGAGTCAAATAACCAACGTTCTCTGGCTTGATGAATTACCTGGAGATATCACCGAAGCTAATATGCGTGAATTTCTCCATCGCGTAACAAGTTTTCCGCCGAAAAAGTTCAAAGATATTTATATTGATTATCGACATGAGCAGAAATATACATCCGAGCAATGTTTGGTGTATTGTATTGATTCTGTCACTGCGCAGAGTGCAATCGATTTGATTCGTGGACAGATATTTGATGGCAAACGTTTACAAGTCGATTTTGCGAGCTCCTTATTTATTGAACAGTTTGCGGATCTGATTCGACAGACGAATGAAAAGAAAAAGTGAGTTTGCCGCGGTTGATTCAATACAATTGTTGATATCATTGGATTTTAGTAATTCACAGCGAACTTATCCATTGGATCGGTAAGACGAAAATTTAATAAAAACTGGTTTCTGATGAAATACTTATTGTTATTTCAGTCGGTACTCCAAAATCTCTGATTCAGATTCGTCAATCATTCGTATGTTATATTAGCATCCCTTATGGAACACAAATATTCAACAACCGAAACTTTTCGCTATTTTCTAGCCTCAAATCTTACGTCATCCAATCCGTACCATTCACCATCTTCAGATCAGACATTCATCGAACAGACGAAGGTGACTAAATCCGAGCCAAATAATATCGAACGAATTTTCGATTGGCTTATGGTGAATGAAACGCAGTCCGATTCGAAAGAATTTCACGTCAAAAAACAAGCCTCCGTTCTTCAATCAAATCAAGTTGTTTTTCGAACGAGAAACATTCCGTTAGAATCCGATCGATCACTTATTCAATCTGATATTCGCTTGAAAGTCTACGCATCTATGACTGATCAGTTTCCCAAGCCCATACATCTGCCATTTCCAGAATTTGCCAAAACGTTAATGAAATCGTCATCCAGAGCAATGATACTCAATCCGAAAGCTCACCTCAGACATCTATCTGCTGAACTGAATAATAATAACGAAGATCTGCCATTGCCGAAAGAACTGGACGAACGAATTAGACGATTGGATCAACGAATTGGAGAAGTTAATCAACAAAATTCATTTTTCTCCTCAGTAGAGCGATTGCCAACGAATATTCTTTCAAAAGATCAACAAAAGTCATCAACGGAACCATCCTCACCAATTAGCACAACATCAACTCAAGCAAAACAAACATCAGAGTAAGAGTTTGACCATTAACATGTAGAATTCAGAACTAGGAATCGAATGCGACTACAAATAATTAGTTAAAACAGCAGTCTTTGATGTTAGTCAGTAAAAAAGGACATGCTTAATGAACAAATTCATATTTTTCAGCTTTATAAAAGAGAATATTTGATTAGTCTACTCAAGTTGACGAAGAAAATCATAGACAGCTGAGTTCCGGAAAAAGAACACTTTTTTTTAAATTTCAAGATCGCGTGGTGTCACTTTCCAACAATCAATTCCAATACCAGTTATTAACAATCAGCCGACAATGTCTGAAACACAAATCAATTCATCATTGAAACTTCCGTATCGACTCAGTTCATCCTTTACACTGAAAGCTAAGCCAAATCCTCCATCAGTATCTGTGATCACGAACAATTCACTCAAATTACCTATTCCCAGTTCAGTAACTCCGCAGTCATTAGTTCTGAAATCGATATTGAAAAAACCATCGGCCACAACGCGTGAAACGCGTAAGGCAGTTCAGATTGTGTCAACACATTCTTCACCCACACCGAATAAGACACGAATATCCGTCCAAAACGAAAAGAAAAGTACTCCTCCGATTGTCAAAGAACCGAATAAAAGTCAAATTCAACCGAGAGAATCATGCGAACAATTACCTATCTCATCGAAGCATACGAATATACCCTCTCTAAGCAAAATTCCGAAAAAAGCCAACGTAACACCAGCAGATGTAACAAAACCCAAAGTTTCCAAAGAAACCCTACAGTCATCCGCCAATACTCAAACAGCAATCAAATCTTCAAAGATGATGGAAAGTGCACATGAATCTATGAAAACTTCTGTATTAACACCGATAAAGAAAACCACTTCGTTACATGATGAAAACCGGCAAGAGAAGAAAAAGCTTCTCATACCAATGAAGAGTGTTGGAAAAACTATCAAGAAATCCATGTTGAAATCAAGTGTATCCATGTATGACCGGATCAAACGTCGTTCACAAAACGACTTGCTTCTAATAAAGTACGTGAAAATCGTTTTCAGCGAAAACTAAACAGTCGATTTCTTGTCTGATTCTTAGCACGTCGTCGACAAAAACTAGTCATTCAAGCGATAAAAACAAAGATTTAAAGACTACTTCACGTTTAAAGCGATGCGTAAATAACAACAAATATCTAATTCCGATACGATTTTGTTGATTTTTTAGAATCCAATACCCGAATCATCCGAGTCAGACGACGATGTACCATCGAAAGTGGAAACTAAACAAGATCATCATTTTGGCAGTGCTACATCTCAACCAGAAGAGCGTCAAAATCAACATAATTGTCAAACGATCCTTGAAGTGAAAGAATTATCCACGGAAAGCGTCTCAAACAAACGTGCATTGGAATCTGAAATAGATACGCCATTAAAAAAACAGAAAATTGAACCGGATGATATTTTAATTATTGAAGAAGGACGAGTCCCTAATCTATCGAATTCACCAAAGAGTTTACCAGTTGCTGTAATCGATTTAATTCCTAATAGTCCTCCTGAAGAAATCAAAGTTGATGATCAAAGTATAGATTTAACGATAGAAGAACCAAGTAACAGTGTAGTTTTCTATGAGCACTGTTTATCACATTGATTCACTTTAGATGACACCACCGATTCGAATCATGAAGAACACATCACTGTTGATTCTCTGTGTGTACCAGATGCTGTTGAGCAAGATGTTCACATCAAAAATCAATCACCTCACCTACTTACAGAAACACTATCGTCACAAGATCCTTCGATTTCTAATTCATTATCAGTTTCATCTGAAAACCAATCGAAATTAGCATCACCTAGTAATTATACATCCATATTTCGAATCTCGTCATTCATCCTTCATACATTATTTGTTTCTTAGATATTACTGATGAATATCCGATTGATAAGATTCATGCATCAACCGCAGCTACTTCATCAGTTGTACCGACTGAACTATCAAAGCAATTTGATCCTCAAACGAGTACTGATCGAAATCATTCATCCACATCTGTACGTTTGATTTCACCAATATTCACACCCACCGAACGCTTGTTTTCTCCTTATCAACAACATTTCCCATATCCACCATTTATATCGTCCATGCCAGGTACTCACAAATGTCAGTGAACGCCTTCATTTTTTTACATATTTGTATTTTAGATTCGCCTCCGCTATCTGCAAAAGTACCATCTATAAGCAACAATAACGCGATGCTACCGGAACAACAGTATTATTTTGGGAAAGAATACAAACGGTAAATTTTTCTTGACTTTCAAGCGATTCTCTTATATTTCTTATTGATTCAGAAATTCCATCGCAAAGTTTCCTATTCTTCCAATAAATCTTTCACCGACTTCTCATCCAGGATATCTTCGATCAAGTAAAACTGAACATTTCTCTTCCAATTCTTCTCCTTCATCAGCCATCCATTTAGATTCTCTCAATCTATTTCAAAACACACCCTCACCCTATGAATACTCTCTCCATACTCCATCAATGTACAATTCCTTCTCACACTTCGACCATATTTACTGGGACGGATACGTGACTCTCAAAACCGTTCAAGCGTTCGTCAGGACTCAATTCATTGCTGGCAATCCTCAAATTTCTCGTATTTCGATCAATTATTGGAATACGGATTTGAATCATCACTTGCGCATCTCACAACGGATGCGTTTAGAGAAAAGTCAACTCGATGGCGTTCATCAACATATGCAAATCGACAGCGACTATTGCATTTTACTCGGCGAGGCGAATGGTTCCACCTCCGATGAGATTCGTTCCGAACAAAATCACTTAAAATCCGGTCTCATTCAATATTTGAATGAAAAACAAGCTGCTGGAATTGTTAATATCTCTCTTCCTGGTATTGTACAACCTGTTTACGTTGTTCACATCTTTCCACCGTGTCAATTCGCGTCGGAATTGTTACAAAAACGTGCGCCCGATGCGTATCGTTACGTTATTCAAAATAATCTCGAACGAATCTATTTGTTATTTGTTATCACTACAACAATTTAATCAATTTGTGAAAGAATTTTTTTTTCGACATGTGATCTGACTTCGATATGGAAGTCGTTTTTGTTGGTTTGAATTCATCTGTGAATTGTTCTTTCTTGTCTATTCATTGTCAATGATTTCTTTTCCGATGTCTGATTTTGAATATAAAATAGTCTGGAACAAAGAACATTCAATCTTTTCTATTAGTGAACCGATTGATTCGATAGTCAACTGTCGTTGTAATCCAATCAATCGAGCACTCTCAACTTCATTTGAATACGTACTTGCACGATATTCTTGTCTTTCGTGCCATTTTCACACATCTATTTCCGTTGTCTTTCATGCTCAATGAATACGATTAGGGAGCATTTCACTCGAACACATCATTGACTTATTTTGGTGGAGAAATACTCGAACAACGCCGATCGAGACACACTCAACATCTTACATTGACAGAGATTAACGCATTTCTTCATGAACATATCATTTGTGTTGTTTGATATGAACCAATTGTCGTCTTTCTCTTTCCTTTTGATCATCACCGCACATTGATATCTCTCATCGATCAACTCACGAGTTTCGCAATTGTACGCCAACTATGTCAAAAGGTATGTATCGACTTGTTAATGTTTTCCTTGAGAATGAGTTACATCAATTGCGAGACAATACTGTCCGACGATAATCATAATAATAACAAATGATTATATACGCTTGCTTCGATATGGTCACCTTGAATCCGATATATATTCGCTTCATTGTTCTCTCATGAAAAGAAAAACTCGAGAAACACTAATAATTATGTTTATTTTGTTAATTATAGATGTCTAAGGAAAAAAGTCAAGAATCAGCCGATGTTAAGTACAAGTAGTAGTGAAAGTTATGCAGATGATAACAAAGGTCGATTATCACTAGTCGATTCGATGCTTGCGGATAATGAAGAAGGGAAGATTTTTATTAAACAACAGTACCAAGTTCAAAAATTGACAAACAGCGAAAATGGATCTGCGAAACGTCACAAATCGGTCCATCGATTACAACGCAATGGGTGCAAGGATAACGAATGTGCGAAGTTATTCCGACGATCGAGTAGTCAAAGTGACAGATGTCATCAAAGTGTTCGTAATTCGATTGATTCACAAGATTCAAATTCGAAATTGAGTTCGTTAACAAGTGAACAATTGGTTTGTTCGGATGACAGCGAAGAAGATCTACGTTTAGAAAAGACCGGGTAATTGAATTCTTATGTATATTCATATCTTATTGATTGTGTGTAGATGGTTGAATGTGAAACATTGGCTAACTGTATCAGATCAGGAGATTGTTCAATTAGCACCGAAACAGTCGTGGAAACGATTTTGGATTTGGTTGAAAGAGTGTCATCTTCATATCTACAATGATTATTTAGATAAAAATCCTCATTTGATTTTAAGTAAGTCCACTTCGAAGCAGATTTAGAGTAAATCAAGTTCTCTGTAGACATGATCGATGGTCTTTGCTATCCGTACCCGGAATATCGACATCGACAGAATGTTTTTAGTTTGACTGTGAATACGGGTGATATCTATTTATTACAAGTTCGTTGAATTCAGGAATTTAGTGTCTGATGGTGTTTTGAAATGAATTTTTAGTCTTGCAATCAAATTGAGATCGACCAATGGATTGATTGTATTCATTCTAATTGCCTATTGAAGTTAAATTATCATTCCCTGCAGACAAATATCAGACAACTAGAGAATCAGATCGTATATGAGAGAAAAATGCTGCAAACAACTTGTGTGCAATTAAAATTATCGACGAATGATCAAATATATTCCTTTCTCTCTCAACAAATCGAACAACGCGAACGAGATTTCGAAAGATTTTGCATCGATCTCTTTCGAAACAATTGTTATCTAACGATTTTTCCCAACAATTCAAACTATTTTCCCAATTCCACCGATCTGCTTGCACAAATTACATCAACAACGAAATTTTTCTTATGCGGCCTCGATGCTTTCACACCTTGCGGTTTATATACCTACGTTCTCTCTCGGCAAGCGTCAAAACATCGAACAATTTACCAAACAGTCCTCTACGACTCCGATCCTCAACGGGTTCGTTCGAATTCTCATTTGACCATCATCTCAGATTAACACTCAGTAATGTAATAACAGATAGAACTAATTATCCGAGTATGTAAAACATTTAGGAATAGTTGATAAGATCAGGGTTGGTCGCTAATCAATCGCTGTTCATCAACTAGTCGAAATGAGATTCGATTGTGTAGAAAAACGAAATGATCTGGTAAGGTACATTCAGAAGATCAGAGACATTCTTTTCTATAAGTAATCGGAAGCTCATTCTTCCCGGATATGTAATGATTGATATATGAAGTAAATTCTTTTTCCTTTCTCGTCTTATCTCGATATATTACATATAGAAAATCATTCTATCGATGAACCAAATGGCATCTGTTCAGGAATTATTGAAACGTGTCACAGACAAATTAGGTTTATCAAGCGAGGATTACTTTCTCTATTGTCAATCAACATCAGGTGACGGATTTATACCAGATCGAAATGATATACTCGATACGTTGGTATGCTTTCGATGTTTTTCGGTTGATTATGTGATTGATTTGCATCTGCGATAGATGTATGGATCGGTGGAGATACGCCGGAAAACGACTTATCAGATAAGTTTGAACAATCAATTGCATTTGTGCGGAATCGATATTAATCAGCATTATCCAATGACGATTATGGTGAAAAATATAAAAAAAGGAAGCGAGGGAGAACGATTGGGTAAGACAATACTGAATATCAATTGAGGATAGACTCATCTTTTTTCTAGGAGTTGTCAAAGGTGATGAGATCATTATGATCAACAATTTGTATGTGAAACATTTTGATACTGCTCGATTGAATCGGCATTTGCAACAAATACCAATTCAATTAACTCTTCGTTCATCGCGGTAAGTTCAGAACGACAAACTAAACTTTTTTGTATCATTGTTTTCAGATTGGATCCGATAGTTCAGCTAAAACAGCGAACATCGACAACGAAAAATGATCAGTCTTCTTCCAAGTTTATCAAGCCTGATTACGAACGATCGTCTTTCGTGTCGAATAATCAACAGATCCAAAAGGTCATTCACGAACTGATTGAAACTGAACAAACCTACGTTCAAGTAACTTACAACGATGAATACTGAGAGATACAAACTAATCTTTCACTTCTAGGATCTTCAATCGTTCACAAATCAATACATCGAGCCATTGCGTAATCATCTAACCATTCTTTCAATAGATATCGTTGATTCGTTGTACCAAAGTGTTCAGATAATTTACCAATTTCAAAGTCGATTTCTAGGCAATCTGCAATCCAGTTCGTTCACAAATGTAAGTTTGGTTTTCCTTTGGAAAGCATGGATTTAAATTCGTTCGTAGAATATTCTCATTTCCATATGTGAAACTTTCGTGCGATTCGCCAAGGATTTCAAACTTTATTCGAGCTATTGTGCAGTACATTTACGTATCAATCGTTTGTTGAATTGCCATCAGAGTAATGAATGTTTGAAGGAATTTTTTCGAAAGTGTAATCCGTCTCAACAGCATGCGCTGTCATTTCAATCGTATTTGATTAAGCCTGTACAACGTATACTGAAATATCCGTTATTTCTACAGCAAATGTTCGCGTGTTGTAATGCCGATACGAAAAATCATTGTTTATCGAAGGAAATGTCGAAATTGAAACGAACGATTAAACTAATGAATCAAGTTAATAAATATATCAATTCAATGCAGCAACTCTATGAAGATTTTGGACAATCATTCGAAAGTTTCACTCGCAATTCTCAAGAACAATTTCATAAAGTAAAAAATTTCGATAATTTCCTCATTTCGTCTCGATTGAACTTCATTTTAGCCCGTTCAATTAAATCTCCCGGATCTGCATGCATATGGAGAAATGAATTGGATCAATATGTATCGATTTCTCTCTAAGAAAAACACTCAAAGTCTAAGAACCTACTGTTTTATCTTTCGAACTGGTTGTTTCCTGTTAGTACGCGAACAAACTCAGAAGAAAAATCAAGTAAATAGCTCCTGGAGCCTTCTCCACTCATTCGACACGCTTTCTATCTAAAGGATGGTGTTCACAATCCTCATACGAATAGGAATTCGATTGATCATTTTGTTTCTTTTCTTCCAATGAGAGATTTAGAAGCAGAAATGATCCAAATCGACAAGAAATCTTCGAACCAAACATGGCAATTGATTCAAATCGATTCAGCGACACAATTGAAACGATATTATCACTTCGCGAATAAGTATTTGTTATTCTTCTCCTGTCCACAAAGCGATGTGTTTGTTTTAGAGATGCGCAAACGTTTGTAAAGACAATTAAGAATTGTATATCGAAAATCAAGTGCCAACCGACGGAATTTATTTGCTTGGCACAGCCAGCAAAAGTGATGAAGGTTTGTTCTGAGCAGAAACGAATTTCGTCAAGTCGGTCTTGTCATGACTTTTCGCCGAGATTTTCGTCGGTGAATCAAAATGGAGATAGAGTTCGAGTGAAAACAAATCGACAAAGCCCATCGCCAGTCTGGAAACGACGCGGCACAATATGTTTAAGACGACGACCGGCATCAATGACGAACAATAAGAATAATCAGTGAGCCTTTGATTTCTCGTCAAGTCAATTACTCTTTCGTGGTGCCTTTTTATTATAAATAATTTGAAAATATCAATGTGTGCGATTTTATATTCATTATTGAATAAATTTCAATGAAAAAAAAAAAACAAACTAACGTCATTGCAAATATACAAGCCTACAATGCTTCGTCTTCGGTCGTTATGGTTGTCATGGAAATTGCGTCTAGTGAACGTAGATTTGAAACAGGAGTTGAAAAGAAATCTTGTGAATCTAAGGTGTTCAGAGAAGATACGTTTACTTTCAAATTTGTCCTGTTTTGGTTATTCAATGTAACTGATGATTTTATCTGTCCGTTATCTCTTTCGTTTTGTTTAGGTGACATGCCATAATTTGATAATACTTGACGAGCTTTATCATTTTGTGATACCAACTCCGACTTTAGATTATTGTGAGCTAAATTTAAAATAATAACTAGCATTGTTACGAAAATATGAGATTTACTCCTAGTTACCGTCCCAGCGAGAGGTATGTACTCTATTAGGTTGATGTATACATGAGTCCATTGTAGTTGTCGATCCTCTATTATACTTATTTCTTGACGAATTTTTTGAATATGATGATGATGATGAGCTACCAGTAGAACAAGATGAATCTGTATAAGAGCCTCTAGAACCACTAGCACAATTTTGATCGTCTCGGTTGCTTCTATGTTGACTGTATTGTGTGTATGGATTTGATGAACTATAGGTTCCATATGGTTGATCTTCCGTAATGTATTCATCCGAAATAATCACTGCACCTGGCGGAAGTGGTGGTAAGTTATTTGACCACGAATTTTGTCTTGCTTGTGAATTATTGATATGAGGATAATGTTGCTGCGGTGATTGTTGTTGCTGATGAGAGTATTGTTGATTTCTCTCATCGTATATGTACTGTTCCACAGTGGGTTGACGAAGCAATGGTGTCATTCGGCCATGGTTGTGTGGTCGCTCATTTGGATTTGAAACATCAGTCGGAACGTGATGACATGCTGAGCAGTGTTGCACCCAACAATGACCTGTGACTGGAACAGTGAGTGGAGGTGGCGCTGGAACGCATGCACGACAGGTGCTTGGATAAGAATTATTTGGTGGTTGGCAGGCAATGGTTCCCACTGGCATCTCATTATCATTTGACGAAAGAATGGCCACTGGATTCGAGTACTGCTGCATAACCATTTGTTGAACAGCAGGTGATAATGGTAATGATGATAATTGTGGTAATGGTGGTGGCAAAGGAAGCGAACATTGAGGTTGAGATATGCGATTGAACAAGAATGGTGGTATGCACTAAAAAAGTAACCAACATGGTGTGTGCAACAGCAAGTGAAAGAATGAGGGGTCTTACTGGTGTCAAGTTGTATAGTTGTTGTTGTTGTTGTTGTGGAAGTGATGTAGCTGGTGGAATGAAAATGACTCGAATCTTTGGTGGTAGTGGATTGAGATGAGAATAGTTGGCATAGTTGGAAATATTAGATGAAGTACATGGAAAGCGTGGTAAGTTAGGGTGCTCTTCAATACGTGCACGTGTGTTGAGGATTGAGATTTTTGCATCTTTCTTAGTTGGTCGTCGATGAGAGGAAGATCTCTTGTCATATTGATAAATTTTATTTTGATAGTCGTTTGAATAGAACAATCTTGAATACGTCGATAATGATATATTATTGTACGAACGTCTTGGATAACCTTCATGGATTTGGCTGTGATATGGTCGAGGATACTGATATAGGTAACGGCTGTCGATTGGACTTGACTGGATGAATCCTGTGTTGTAACGTTCATATTGACTAAAGATATTCCAGGGATAATTATTAGTTTGTGAGTAAAATTGTATTGGATAGTACGGCGAGAAATATGAGTTTTGTCGGAATGAACTTTTATCCTGATATTGATTTCTCCTCTGTAAGAAGAAATCAGAGTAAATCGGTAGAGAAGGCGAATAATAATTCTGCATGAGTTCAATTTGTTCGATAATGATTTTTAATTGACAGATAATTCAAAATGATCGAGAAAAAGTACGTCTAAAAAATCTGAAATTAGGGATAAAATATGCTCAACAGTGATGATTACACGAATGAGTGCAAGCTATAATAATCGGTTACTCAAGGAAAAGATAAGAGCATCAAATCCACTGTAACATTACTGTTCGTATTTATGTTTAATAAAGAATCATGAAACATAAAGAAAGTTAATGCTCATATATCATTCACAGTAGAATAAGAAAAGGTGAGATGGTTTTTTAGATCATACTGATTCTTATCATAATCAGTGTCATTGAAAGCTATGCGAAAGAACACATATAAAAATATGTTGGTATAAAGGTGTAGTTAATCATTTTTTGTCACTATTAAGAAGCTATGTTTGAAAACGAAGGATGTCTAATCGCCACTTCATATCTCAAATGAACCATGTACACGATACTGTTTGTATTCAAATAAGGTTCATGAAGCATACTAATATGAATGTTATTCAAACAAATTAAAACGTCGTGACATTGATTCGATGGTTTCTTTTTATTTGAAATCGAGTGTCGCTACTCATATCGATTAGTCATTCCAGTAAGGACTTAAGTACATTCAATCTTCGTTTACAAACTTGACTTTTAATCGGTGCTTCTTTTTTTTTCTTCAAATCGAACACCACTAGATGAAAAATATTTCATCCTTTACCAGCATCTTATTCAATTCTACGCTATTAGACGCAAAAAAAAGACAACGACCATGAGGTATGGCCTATATAAGATCATAAATGTATCTCAGTACACATATACTAAACAGTCTAGGAAAAAGTAGGTTCAATATCCGTTTGAGTTGTTGGAGTCGGGGAGGATATACCATGATCTTCAGTAGTATTCACTGAAGTTGCATTCAACGAATTAGTACTCGCTGCCATTAAGGTTTGTTCAGCGAGACTTTTACACTGTTCTGATTGAGATGAAACTAGCCGTTGGCTCTGAATCGATTTGTTGTCATCGTCATTACATTGCGAAGCGAAAGAAACGGTTTGCGATTGACTGTCAAGATTTGCTCTTTTCTGATGATCAGAACTTGACTTTATAATAGAATTTGTAATTGACCTTGAATCTTCGTCGCTTGACTTTTCTTGATCGTTAGAATGATAGATGGCTTGTATATCAGGAATTCGATGTTGATAACGGAGATTGATCATCCGTGACATGGCGGACAGATGTCTTCTTGCCAGACTTCGATCCTTTTCTGATGCATAGTTCGCAGCGTGAAGATCAGTGGAATTAGTCGATTGTTTAGGTACTGACACGATAGATGAACCGACGGATTGCCGACTTTTCGAAACGTACGAATGCAGTGGCGACGTTTTCAATTTAGACCGAGCTTTGTTCGATGTTTCAGAACTGGAGGACTTTCGATGAGTGAAACTTTGTACTTGAGAATCACCGACTACTGTGTTATTAGTATTATATATTGATGACGTTCCCGATCGTGGCCGTGACTTTACTACACGTGATTGATCGGTTCGGTATGTTTGTGTATGATCTTGTGCTTGGGCCAAGCCATCTTTTGTAATGTATTCATCCGAAATAATCACTGCACCTGGCGGAAGTGGAGGTAAGTTATTTGACCACGAATTTTGTTTTGCTTGTGGATTGATATGAGGATAATGTTGCTGCGGTGATTGTTGTTGCTGTGGTGATTGTTGTTGCTGATGAGAGTATTGTTGATTTCTCTCATCGTATATGTACTGTTCCACAGTGGGTTGACGAAGCAATGGTGTCATTCGGCCATGGTTGTGTGGTCGCTCATTTGGATTTGAAACATCAGTCGGAACGTGATGACATGCTGAGCAGTGTTGCACCCAACAATGACCTGTGACTGGAACAGTGAGTGGAGGTGGCGCTGGAACGCATGCACGACAGGTGCTTGGATAATAACTACTCGTAGGTTGCGATGCAGATACATCCGGGTTAGCATAGGCGTATGGAGCAGCGGGATTCGATAGCGGCATGGGGATGCTAGATGGTGGAGGAACAGGAACGGTCGAAGGCTGTAGAGCATATTGTGGTGTTGGTAAAGCTGGTGTTGGCATTATCGATAGCGGTTGCTGTGGAGCCGCTGGTGCAGTGAAATAATTTGATGCGAATGGAAGAATTGCTACCGGATTTGAATACTGCTGCATAACCATTTGTTGAACAGCAGGTGATAATGGTAATGATGATAATTGTGGTAATGGTGGTGGCAAAGGAAGCGAACATTGAGGTTGAGATATGCGATTGAACAAGAATGGTGGTATGCACTAAAAAAGTAACCAACATGGTGTGTGCAACAGCAAGTGAAAGAATGAGGGGTCTTACTGGTGTCAAGTTGTATAGTTGTTGTTGTTGTTGTTGTTGTGGAAGTGATGTAGCTGGTGGAATGAAAATGACTCGAATCTTTGGTGGCAGTGGATTGAGATGAGAATAGTTGGCATAGTTGGAAATATTGGATGGATTATATGGAAAACGTGATAAGGCGGGATATCTTCGACTTCTACCCGAGCTAAAACTTGAGATGCCTTGATTGATATAGACTGGATAAGGGAAATAACGTACTTCTCGTTCAAATTGATAAACTGGACCAGAGTTATAACCCGAAGGATATGGTCTCGAATAGGTTGTTAACGGAAAAGCGCTGTCTTGAGCTCCCCATTGATGATGATTTCTTTGATGTAAATATGGCCATGTATGTTGCGCTCGATATCGATTATCATATGGATATGAAGGTACTAATGTTGATCCAGGTATACCATATTGATTGAAGTTAGTTGATAAAAATCCGGGATGTGCAAAAAAGGATGTTTGATATGCTGCCTGTGCTGAATAGTAAGACGGAGTGTGCGGTTGCCGTCGAAAATGTTCCCTATCATTTGCTTGATAATTCTGATATCGATTATAATCTGAATAATGGTACGGATAATAACTATGGTAATAATGCTGTCCGTATGCAGACATGACGTAATTATTTCCCTGTTAAGTGATATTAATCAACTTATACGTAACAATGAAATTCGGTGATGAGCAGTACAAAGCATGGCATATCTGATTTCGAACTAATCGTTTTATCGCGTATCGATCTAACGTTGTACGATAGAAGGCTAGTTATGTTATATTTATATATATATAATAAAGCTATATGATGAATCACGTGCAAACATTTCCCTTGGACGAAATAATATTTATTATTTTTCTAATTTCTTTCGAGCAATATCGACTTGTATCATCGAACAATATTATACAATTATTAAGCCTTGAAGAGCATGTGGATTATAAAAAAAACATTGAGATGCGAAGAAAAAGTGTCTTTCGTCAAGGACATCTGCTTTACATTTTCGTAACTATAATCATTCATAAAGCACATCAGCGTGAAAATAATACGTTTGATGCGACAGGTAAGAAATGATCAGCATTCGAATCTACATCAGATCTAGTCGATAGACACTCAATGTGTGCATATAAGCATGACTATTTCGCTTTGTCCATGGACGAGGTTTCGAAAACATGCATGTATTATTATTATACATATCGAGATAAAAATTCAATCGAATTCACTTTGAACAAGTGTGTAAAAAAACGAAAATACACGAGTAGGAAATGTTTTACATTGTACGAGATTCTGTTTTCCTCAATGACATTGCATACAAAATTCCTCGGCTTGATTTGAAATTAATGAATAATTGAGTTGAATTGGTAATCTCTATTACATACCCAATCGTTTCGATCATAGTTAAATAGATGATCTTTTCTTTCCTTTGCATTCATTACTCCTTCGTGCATGTTGGATATACATAACTGAACATTGAAGCTTCTTTGCTTCTTTCTCTCTCTCTTTCGACAATTAACATTCAGAGTAAAACAAACAATGACATAAATGCACGTAGTAGAAGAAGAAGAAGAACAAAGAGAGAAGAAGAAAAAGAATTGAACAAAATCAATTCGAATAGTTGCATTCACACGACAACTTGCTCAGGCTCTGTCATCGTTGGGAGCATTTACCTTTCTTCTTCAACTCTGATCGTGCGAATAGTTGACAAACATGTCAAGATGGAAAGATTATTTCTTATGTATAAGCCTTTTATACATAACGACAGGTTTGTTTTAATAATTAGTATTATCATCGGTATCTTTTTTTGTGCTTTCTAAGATGTACTACATGCGAAACAACCGGCGATTTATGTTCCAAGTGAAGTGTTTTCAGCGTCGAAAACGGAAAATAACTCGAAGATTTCCATAGAAAATACCACACATTCACTCTTGTCGACAGAGAATGAAAATCATGATTTTCACTATCGAGAACCAGTTCCCTTGCACGAAGAAGCAGATAAGATAACGGAGTTTTCTCAGATAGATAATTTCACAAGTTCGTATGACGAAAGTGAATCATTGAATGAAACTCATCTTCTTCAAAAGCAATCCAACGATTCCAATATGTTCTTTGAAAATATCGCACGACATTTAAATGATCGGAAAATCATGCAATCACTCGTTCATTTGATTCCACCAAATCTATGGGCACAAATTCAAAATACTAATCGTTCATTTTTCCAACCGAATCAAACTCAGTACGTGAAACACAATTTACCGAATCCTGTCATACTAGCTGAAGCAGCTGCACAAGCAGGTCTGCCGGGCCCTGGGCCATATTCCGTGCCCGAACATTTGTGGCCCCGAAATCCATTATATGCCGTCACAAAGCCTTTCGTACTTCGTAAGTTTTCGTAAGAAAGATGTTAGGTGGAAGAAAAAGTGTTTTTTCCTTTTCAGCACAAAAACCGCGAGTTTCATCAACAACTACAACTACAACTTTACGACCACGGCCATTCGTACCTATCAAAGCCGCTCCACCGGTACCGATCAGCGAGAATAAACATTCCCTATTCTTTCAAATAGGATTTTCATGTCCATATGGTGCCAAAGATATTCGTTATCCTGATCGGCGATTGTGCAATATGTATTTCACTTGTTCATTATCAGGTTTACCCGAACCAAATCTTTGTCCTGAAGGTTATCTGTTTTCTGACGTCACACGCGATTGTGAAATCGCTTCACGTGTCAGTTGTGGTGATCGATTATCCGCTTTTTTTGAAACTGAAGAAACCAAATCTGTTCTACCAACAACAACTTCATTACCACCACTGCCACCACGTACGTCTTCTCCATCATCATCATCACGATTAAATTCACCTGTTATTAATGCTACGATTGAATGTGCTCTTGGCGCAGATGGTTATTACGAAGATCCATTGTATTGTAACATTTACCATCATTGCATCGGTGGCATTGATTACATCGAACCTTGTCCGAACCAATTAGCTTGGAATGAGCAACGTAAAATGTGTGATTGGTAATGAACCGTTTTCTCTTCGAGATATTTATTTTTCGACGAACATTTTTTTGCAGGGCAACGAATGTCAATTGTACAGGAAAAACTATGCCAGTTATGAAAAGCAAAACATCATTTTGTACCAATCGACCAGACGGTCGCTACCCATCAGAAACTTATTGTAATGTATTTCATCATTGCATTGGAGGAATGGATAATATAGTTCGATGTACGGGAGAATTGCAATGGGACGATGTGAAGAAAGAATGCGGATGGAAATCATCAGTTAGATGTGGTCCACCGAAAAAAATGTTACCCAACGATAGCAAGCATAATTCTACGTTTTGCACTGGAAAACCTGATGGGTAGGTAGCTTTGTCCTTAAAAACAAATTTACTTCTTTTTATTCGGTATTCATATAAGCTGGTCAGATGTGGATTAGGTTTTGTTTAATAACTGATCTCTTTCGCAAGGTCAAAGGGATATATCCCAGCTGATCTTTTTGGCTTCAGCTTAGGTTATGAAACCTACTAACGATGCATCTTCGTAGATTAGAATATTTGCAAAATACAATCATTTTTTATTTTATCTTGCATGTATAGATCATATCCGAATGAAGAGTATTGTAATGTTTACCATGTCTGTGAATCGGGCAGTGACAGCATACGCCAGTGTCCAAATCAACTGTTTTGGGATAATGAACAACAAAAATGCGAATGGTCGAATAAAGTTCATTGCTCAGGACGAACGCTCGTCGCTCTCTCAATGGAATCTAATATGTTTTGTATGGAAAAATCCGATGGTTTTTACATAGATCCCCAATGTAAGTTGTCTTTCTTCAAAATCCGTGTGATGTTATTGAGACTTTAGATTGTAATGTTTATCATCAATGTATGGCTGATATCGATGTGAAATTGCAGTGTCCCGAGCGCTTAGTATTTAATGAAACATTGAAACGATGTGATTGGCCGGAAACGACAAATTGTAAGAGTGGAAATATATTAGTTGAAGACGACGATAACAATTACAAAGGTTTTTGTGCTGATAAAGTAAAGCGAGAGCGCATTTGTCTTGAGAATAACGAGATGACACTTGATTTTTATTTAGCCAAATGGAAATTTTGCTCATGAAAGATATTGCAATCGTTATTATATTTGTCAAAATGGTAAAGACGTGGTTTTCACTTGCCAGAACAATTTACGATACTCCATTGAAAAAAATGAATGTGATTGGGCTATCAATGTCAATTGTCACGGCAAAGAAGATTACATGTGGGAAGGAATCCAAGAGAACTTTTGTAAACGTTTAGTAAGTCTCGCTTCGGCTACTGTTTTCATTGTACTTTGCATGTGAACTTCAATAGCCGGATGGAAACTATGCCGACACGAGATACTGTAATAAGTTCCATCAATGCCAAGCAGCAATGGACTATCCGAAACGTTGTCCGAATCGGTTGATGTTCAATGAAGAAACGAAAGAATGCGATTGGGAAGATAAAGTTGATTGCAAAAAACGAGAGAAGTTCATTGGTAATGAATTTGATTGTGTTCACATTCTTCTGATTTTCAATTGTTGCATCATAGATACCGAAGGATTGGATGAAGCAGTGCGACCAGGATCAAACAACACTCGAGGTCGATCAACAAAATTTTGTATGGTGAAAGAAAATGGAGATTATGCGGATTTGTATTATTGCAATGTTTATCATAATTGTCATGGAGGTTTTGATACAATTCAATACTGTACACACGGATTAGTAAGTAAACAGGTTTGAAAGGTTGAAATGACATTTTCGTGCAGGTATGGCGACAAGAAAGTGACTCTGTTGGTCGTTGTGATTGGTCAAAAGAACGAACACCGGATGGAGTGGATTGCGAGGGAAAAGCTTTGTAAGAACAACAAACCATTGTTCACAATTCAGTTTCCTTCTGTCTGTAGATTTTTTGCAGAGAAACTAGGCGAAACGGATATTCTGGCGAATCTACGTTCGGAATTCTGCATCAGTAAAGGTCCTGGTTTATATGAGCATCAACGTTACTGTGATTTGTATCTCCAATGTAACGAACAGGGCGTCGGTGTAACAATGGAATGCAGTCGTATGTATTTGATGACTTGAAAATAAAGGAATGTCTGGTTCTTTTTTTATTGTAAATGAACAGCTGGTCTCGTATTTAACGAAAAGAAGAAAGAATGTGATTATCAAGGAAACCAAAATGATGAATCAAAGGGAACACTTTGTTTACAACCACGAAGTTTTCTTCGTTCAAAGCCCAAGACTGAGCAAGCATCGATTCTATTCGAAGGAACCGATGCGACTGGACAATTCCCGTAAATATAACATGTTTTCTCTTGCCAAATACAACGAGTCAAAATCTTTTTCGGCAAAATTTAGAACGCACTTCGATTGTAATAATAGAAATCAACAGGCAATGTTCGCTGACTCAGATTGGTGCAATATCTATCACGTTTGTGTCGGAAGTCGAGATAATATCTTCTTATGCCCACCGGGAACGATATTTAACGAAACGGATCAAGGTTGTATGAATCGATTTGACGGCACTAATTGTAATGGAACACGTTCTTATTATAAACCAACGATGAAACGTCAGAAACGTGATGATATACCGCAGAAATTACAAAGTTTTGCTCATTCACAACAGATGCCCAAGAAAAATAATGATCAAATCATTCCAAATCAATGGAAAAAATTCTATCAGTCAAAACCAGTGAGATGTGTATTGATAAAATATCTTTTTCTCGAATTTTCTATTCATTTAGTTCAATCGAAAGCCTTCAAAATGGTTCGAGAACAAAAAGCCACTTGTTTAGCATTCCGCAATACACATTGACTCTTCTAATCATATTCTTTTTTCTGTTCCTCTCTTGTGCGTAGCAATATTTTATTTCCATTAGCTTAATAAAAGAGAACAAATCTACTGATTATAACTGTAAAACAAAGTAACTCTCTTATTGTTTTTCTAAATATGCGAACATGCGTTGAACGAGTCCATCGAGATCAACTTTCGGATTCCAATTCCAATGTTCCCGAGCATTATGATCATCGAATACTTCAGGCCATGAATCAGCAATCTTCTGCCGGTCGTCCGGCTCGGAAGAAATGCGAAATTTCGGCTTATACTTTTGTATCGCCTTCGCTAATTCATCTGGTGTAAAACTCATGGCTGATACATTGTATGTTCGTTGTTTCAATTGATTACTCGGTGTTTCCATGATACTGACGATCGACTGAATGCAATCGTCGATCCACATCATAGGCAAACGTGTATCACCTCGAAGATAACATTTGTACGAACCAGTTTTGAGCGCTTCGTGGAAGATTTCAATCGCGTAATCTGAAAAAGAACGGAAAATCGAAAGGAAGCGAAATTGGTTTGAACGAACCTGTGGTGCCACCGCCTGGTTTTGTATCAGCAGAGATAATACCCGGAAAACGTAGACATCGAAAGTCAACACCATATCGATGATGAAAATATTCGCCCAGTAATTCCGCGTGAACTTTCGACACGCCATAGATAGTTCGAGGACGCTGAATACAAAAATCCGGAGTTGGATTGCGTGGTGAATCAGGTCCGAAAGCACCTGTTTTCAATGATCAGTAAGTTTGAATAGAATTTGTTGAAAAATTTTAACGATACAAACCGATGGTACTTGGAATAAATAATCGACATTTGTATTTACGTGCCAATTCTAGTATATTGTGAGTACCTTCGATATTTAATTTCATCGCCAATGGAACATCTCTTTCACCTACAATATAAAAAAAAGTATTACGAAACAGATCGATCGATCGCTCTACTCATACCAACAGCACTCAATAGTGCACTGAGATGAATAAGCCAATCAATCTGATTATTAACTAGAAGTTCTTGAACTTGTTTGAGATCCAATACATCCGCATAACGATATATACCTATTGAAAATCTCTACGAATATCTAATTATTTGTTTATTGACCTCTTACCTTGTTCAAGAAGCTCATCAGACGGTCGAACAATATCCGAAAGAACTACACTTTCTCTTCCATACAGTTCTCTATTCAAATCATACAAATCATTCGTATCAACATCACCTACTCAATTCCTACCGCAATCGTTTAGCCAACGGAACTCCCAATTGTCCACACCCACCTAGAAGCACCCATCCCACACACATCTCATGCCTTCTGTCAATGAAAATTCTTACCCGTGATTAAAATCCGGGGATGAGAACGATGATTAAACCGTCGTTGGTATATCGTTGCACAATGTCTTACTAGTGACTTGAAAAGCATGATGATAAACTTGATTTCACTTTTTTGCCTGCTTCACCCACACCCTCTTGGTTCGAAATGTTTCATATGCGTATTCCTCGATTTTGTTACTTTCTCTTTGTTATTTTAATGGTTAAGTGCTGAAAGCATTAACCTTCTTCAAATTTTCGCTTTTGTTTATTTTCGAGGCACATTAACAAATGGATGTTTTATTTTAGAAAAAGAAATTCAAGCAAATCTCTCTTTCTATATGAACGAGAAATGAAAAGATGTTCAATGAATCATTGTGCGAACCTCTTGATGATCGTATAACGACTTGTATTTCTACAGATAATCAACTTTTATTATTCGTTTTCGTTTGTTTTTCTTTTGCTGAGAATGAATAACAATCAACGATCTCCAATCCTACATACATAGTACGTACGGAGAAACGTTTGCATGAATAGCACAAAAAAACGTATAGAAAATGTGAACAATAATAACAAAATCATTTGCTGGTAGTCAATGGCAAGAGAAGAAGTGACAGGTGATCAGATTCGAATTCTAAACGTAGGTAACTAATGATAATGTTAACTTCTAAGTAATGACGACTAGATTTAACAAATAAATGAACGTTTAGCACCACGTTTAGCATTTGCCAAACATTCATCCACATTTAGACGTTACAATCGCTAATAACACGGTGACGTCATCAGGTTTTCCACCTAAAAATAGAGAAGAATATATCAATATTATTTGGACTAAACAAATATTTTCTTTGCATGTCATTCTTTCAACAAATTTTCTTTTGTACGCGAACAGTTTAGTACGAAAGAGAAGAGTAAATCAGCACATACCGATAATATTGATGCCGAGTGCTTTTTTCGCGTTTTTAGCAAATGGAGAATTGAATTTCGGATCATGACCATTGTCTAATGCGCGTTTGGCTAGCGCATGTGCGATTTGCTGTAAATTATCAAGTGTTGGTTCCTAAAATAAATGGAAATTATCTTTAAAAAAAAAGCACGTTCATGTTGCATTTTATTGTTTTTTTTCCCCAAGCATAGGTACTTTCTTATCAATAGCTGAAAGAATTCATCTGGAATCATCAGTTGTATGTCTTCACTCTCTTGGATGTATCAACAAAAACAATGTCTGAGCGTACATATTAACCAGAACATTTCTAACGTCAATATATATTACTGATGAATGTAAACATTATATCCATGTCTGTCACTAGCCGAGCTCAGCGAATTTTTCATAGTCAGAGAAAGAAATCTAATCGAGGTCAAATCGAATTCTTCCTTTCTCTCTTGCGACATGAAGAACATTTTTTGTGGAGATAAGATAAACTTACGGCGAGTTTGTTCACTTCTTCGAGTATAGTCGAATCTGGTAAATTATCCCATATGCCATCCGTAGCAACAAGAATACAATCGTTTTCTTCGACATTGAATGATGTTATTGATGCTTGTTCAGGGCTATGGAAAAGAAAGGAAGAACGTTGCTTTCATTTCTGAGAAAAATACAAAGTTCGATATACCGATCAGCAATTAAACGTTGACCTTTCATTTCTGGATGAATAGACAATTGAAACGGTGAATTAAAATAATGTTGCTGTTCTTGTGAACGATGTACAATCGCGTTTTTTCTTATAATTACAAATCCACTATCACCTAGATTTGCAGTATGTAAAATACTTTTCTCATGATGTAATGCAACGATACACGCCGTACTACTACCTACAAATGTCACAAAAATACATGGACCAATCAAAATTTATCGGTTTTTGTCTTACCAATAATGCATTGTTTCTCTTCTAGGAGTTGTTTGTAAGCTTTGGAAAGTAATTCTTTAAGAGTTAAAGGATTTAAATCGATTAGTTTATTATCTACGAGAGATTTGCATGCTTCCATGAGAGAACTGGAGAATAGTGAAGGGTCGATGCCATGTTCGCGCCAACCACCGACGCCGTCCGCAACGCCTATATTTTCAAAAGAAATTACTTTTCTTTTTGATAAAGCAAAGTATCTATACCAAGGAAATCTCCGAGTCGATTCTTAGCAGTGAAGAAAGCATCATCACCGTATACATTCGATCGATTGGTTCTTTGGATTTTGGGTGAATTTTTCTTCTTTCTCAAATGTCCTTTATCTTCATCCTCTTCGTCCTCGTGACCGTTGTATCCTGATGTTGCTGTTAGAAGATGAACACTTCGTGTGATGGTCGGTGACGGGGTGATGGCAAGACGATTCGATTGTTGCGAATGATGAATCGACGAAGATGTCGATAAGCGTAATAAACTATTGTATAGAAAGTTTTCTGCTTCGGTTCCACTAACTGCACGTGCAACTAGTCGAGCACAAATCGCTAATGATTGCATGTTTGTTACAGTTTATCTAAATGAATTCAATCGTGAACATGTCGATGAGGATGTTACCATAAATACTTTGAGAGAAAGTTTGACATCGGTTTTTTGACTAACTAAAGAAAAAGAATACAACAAGTTATTTATGATTTATTTCGACTACTCGAAAAGAAAAAGGCACTCGTAATCTTTTCTTTGTCTTAATATAATTTATGCAGTTTTAGACTACAGTATTGATCTACTCTTTTCTTCGAACAGCGGAGACTACAAAAGAAAACAGAACGAATTTCTCTTCATTGAGCGGAATCTCTACATATTACACTATACAATGTCTTAATAAAATTCGATTGAATCGAAAGAAATAACACGCGTTCATTACCTCAGCATTCGGCTGCTTCTTTTTCTCTATACAATCAGACGTTCGATGAATGTATAAAAACATACTTGAATATTCTCAATGGATATATGATCGTCGGTATTGGTACTTATAAACATTACTCAGTCATCTGAGAACATTCGCTTCTGTTCTAATTTCTACGAGTATGTACACATCGTACTTTCTAAATGACGAACACATTTTGTTATTCTAACTCAAGTGATCGATTGTTACTAAACTAACGATTGAAAATCAAAAAGAAAACAAAATAATCACCTGAAAATTGGCTGATTGACTAGTTAATAAGGACACCAATTAGCAAGAAATCTCCACGTAACGATTGTTTAATACGTTCACAGATAAGCAGATCTAGAACATCAATAAATAATTTCTTTTCCGCTCGTTATCTCTTGTTTAAAACAACAATAGGCTAAGACGATCTCCATCTCTCATTTTGACCGACCATTCTTGATTGATAGAAACAAATCATACTTGACACAACAGCTTAACTGTGAGAACGACATTTGCAAGCAACGTCTTCTCATATAAACTATGTACATCTTCATGCGTTTTCTTTTTCCCTTCTCCATCTCTTCACAAAACAGTTGCACGACGGTTGTCATCATCATCATCATCATCATCATCACTCGTAAATTACAAAGTGATTCATAGTTAAAATGTGCATTGAAAAAGAAAAAAAGTCGACATGTATTTTACTTAGTGAACTGCAATGGTTAATCTCAGAATGTTGTGCACGAAAAACAGGCGGACTTACATGTGATAAAATTTGCAATTAAAAAACGATTAATATTGAAAATATTGTTGAAAAAGATCAACTAGCTAGAAACGAGTTTTTTCTTTATACTAAACATGCCCACGCATTTACACGCACACCCTTTTACATAATATAACGAGAAGTAATGTTGCTAGCGGGAGACGACGAGAAAAAGAAGACTGTCTGATTTGTCGACTCGGACGAAAAGAGAAAAAAACGCACGTTATACGATAGGAAGAGAAAGAAGAAAGAGAACACATGACTGTGGGGCAAAGTACAGTTAGTGTTCGTCAGTAGAACAGAAAGAAAGAAAACTAGAAGAAACGTAAAGAACGAGAGAATCTCATTACCATCAATTGGATTATATTATAGTACTCGTGAAATATTCTTGGTCTATCATCTACCAATGAGAAAGAGCTGGGATCGATTAAGTTTTTGATGTTATTTTATTGATCTATGTTAAATAAGGTCGAAGAAAAACAAACAGACCAGCCCGAAAACAATTTGAAAGTGTTCATGACATACACACATATAACAATGAAGAGGAAAAAACGACTATCCATAAAAAAAAGCGCGAAGGGAATGTCATGATATGAGCATGTGCGTTTTATTTCCGTTCTTTTGTTTATAAACATTCAAATAATAATAAATTAGAGATCAACTTTTTTCTTCTTTGCATTCAAGTCATCTTCATCATCATCCAAATTAACATCGCTAAGATCAATGTCTTCAACGACTTCTAATTTGCCATCTTTACCATCCCAGGGTTCGCTAGTTTCAACCGTTGGTAATTTACCATCTGCGACACCACTTAAGGGAACAAGCGGACTTGTTAAACGACCAGTCGATAGCTCCTTTAAGAATGCGCTGATACCCGATTCACTAAAGGAACCTTTCAAGACAACATATTTGCCTTTACGCGCATTAATTGCTACTTGAGCTGGATACCCAAAACCACCGATTCCAACACTTTCTTCAAGTTTTGGTTGACGAAAGGCTTCAACCCATAACCAACCCCAACCGTTACGTTTATAAGTTTCACCAAACTTTTTCAACATAGCGATATGTTTGTTGCGGCATGCTGATTGACAGTCGAGGATGTTAGGTAAAAATGAGATGATGCATAATTGTTTTTCCGCGCAATTGCTATCTAAAACAGCTTGGTCGGTGATTTCAATCACTTCCGGTGGAGGAATATTTGCTTGATGTTTATCCAGAGCCCAAGCAACGATGTCCTACAGAAAAGAAATTTGAAATTAATGATAATGTTTTCTTTCTATCGATTGATAGATAGACATACGCCTGAACTACGTCCGCCATTGTAATCTTCAGCTTGACCATCTTTTCGGCCGGCGGGAAAGAACTTGATGGTTGGGAAACCTTGAATGCCATATCGTTGAGCTAATTGAGTGTGAACAGTAGCATCAACAACACCCAAATTAACTTTGCCTTTCAATTCAGTTGCAGCACGAGCCCATTCTGGTGCTAAATTCTTGCAATCTATGCGAACATAGATGGTAGGAATGTCCAAGTACAAACGAATCTACTTACGTCCACACCATGGAGCCACTAAAAAAGAAAAAAGAAACATCAATAGTAAAACAACTAGTCTAATCTTTGCAAGGTGAATTATGTGAATGAGTAAAAAAGTATTACTTATACATAAATCTCTTCAATGTCACTCGACATACTTTCAACTACATTTGCGTACCAATAAATAACAAAGTACTTCACTAACCGAAGAAGTTACTCTTTACCAAACTTGATCTAGTTTTGAATAATAACAAAAACTAAGCCCACTTACTGAATTCAACCAACCATGGTTCTTCAGAATCGAGAACAGTTGACTAGAAATACAAAGTATATTCAGTATGGCGTCGAAATAAGAATGATCAATCTACCTGAAAGTTGCTGTCTGTTAATTCTACGGCATCTTTGCCACCATTTCCACTACTACCACCACCGCTGCTTCCACTGCCTCCCCGTTTACCTAATCGTTCGTTAACAATTGTTCTCAATTGGCTAAGAGCTTCTTGAACGATCGCATCAGCTGTTCGACCACCTTGATAGTTAGAGGGCGAGCGTTTGTTCGTTCCAAAGATTTTGATCGTTGGGAAACCGGATACACCATATTGTTGGCCGAGAGATTTGTGATTATCAGCATCGACTGCACCGATTTTAACAATACCTTTTAGAGCTGTTGCAGCTCGTTTCCATTCCGGTGTTAAACTTTGACAATCTGTTGAAAAATAAAAGCGATAAACTTAAATGATGAAATCTCAGAAAGACTTGATACATACGACCACACCATGGCGCGTAGAATTCGACAATCCATAGATCTGAACTTTGTACGACAAGTCGGTCAAAGTTAGATGGATCTAGTTGAACGACATCGTCATTTGAACTGTAAAATCCATTGACAGATGCGACGAGAGCAAAGGCAAATAGCACCGCTGACGAGAACATGTTCGATGTAATCTAAAATTGTTGTGTATGATGAAATGTGTAAGTAAAGACGAAACCTAATCCTTTTTTTTCAACTAACGAACTTATTGTGTTTGTTCTATCGTAGAACATCTCTTCCCCAATCACGATACAGCGCGTTTGATCGATGCGATGGCCCTATCAGAATTGATTTCGTAGCCTTTTAAAGCACTTTTGACAAAACACACAGAAATTTTTTTCGCAATGAAATTTTTGATTTTTATGTTTGAAAAAGTTTGAAATATCTTCACCGAGAAATCATTCATTAAAAAGCCATTATACCTAGCGCTGTTTCTGATTGGTCGATTTGTTGCACGCCAGCTCATACCCTTAAAAGTTAACTTTTACTACTAAATTTTGAAAAGTAAAGGAAATATGAATCAAACTCCAGCATTACTCAAATCTTTCATCTTATCTGTCACTCCAAAACTCATCCGTTATGCTTCCACTGCATCTACACCAGCACATACTGTATTTCATCCGATTCCTTTTTAAAATCTCTCATCTAAAACTTTGTTTCTCTTCCAATAGAAAAGAGTTGCAGTTCTGGGCGCAAGTGGTGGCATCGGACAACCACTCTCTCTCCTATTGAAACTCAGTCCATTGATAAGTGATCTATCTCTCTATGATATTCAACATACAAAAGGTGTCGGTGCTGATCTCAGTCATATTGAAACACGAGCCAAAGTCAAAGCTTATGTTGGCAAAGACGAATTAGCAGATGCATTGAAAGGCATGGATCTCGTAGTTATTCCAGCTGGTGTGCCAAGAAAACCTGGTAATAATTTTTCTTTCAAAAATTTTTGCTAAATTGATCTTTCTCTGAAGGAATGACTCGTGATGACTTGTTCAATACGAATGCAACTATCGTTGCCGATCTTGTTACTGCCTGTGCAAAGAATTGTCCACGCGCAGTCATCGCTATTATTGCCAATCCGGTTAATTCGACCGTACCAATCGCTGCTGAAGTCATGAAAGCACATAATGTCTATGATGAGAAGAAAATCGTTGGTGTTACTACATTAGATGTTGTTCGAGCATCAACATTCGTTGCCGAAGCTAAAGTCTGTCGAAGAAAATACATTTCTTTATTGAATTTCGCATCTCTACTATCTTTTACAGGGTCTTGATCCTACACGAGTTTTCGTTCCTGTCATCGGTGGCCACTCAGGAAACACGATAATTCCACTATTATCACAAGTTTCTCCGCCAGTGTCATTCTCTCAACAGGAATTAACTACTTTAACGAATCGAATTCAAAATGCCGGCACCGAAGTTGTGGAAGCCAAAGCAGGTGCTGGTAGTGCAACATTATCCATGGCACATGCTGGTGCAAGATTCTCTTTCTCAGTCCTTGAAGCATTGAATGGCAAAGAAGGTGTTGTTGAATGCGGTTATATCTCTTCACAAGAAACTGAATTCAAATATTTTGCTACGCCGCTTCTTTTTGGTGTAAGTGAACAGTTTTTTTCTCATGTTTTCAATGATTCATTTTTGGATATATTTATTTAGCGCAATGGTGTCGAGAAAAGTATGGGCGTTGGAAAATTATCGGAATTCGAAACAAAATTAATTGAAAAGGCGAAAAAAGAGTTGAATGGAAACATTCAAAATGGCGTGGAATTCGCGAAACAATATCTCGCTAAATCAAAATAATCTCTCCTTTTTTTTTGTTTATGACAATTTTTCTACCATTTGTCTTTCGGAAATCAATTCCATGAGATAAGAAAATGCATTTCTTTCAGATAAATATCTAACCGACAAAAATGGTTCGTTTAAACGTTGATCAAATGAGTCGATATGTTAGTCCGGTTAACCCAACAACATATCCAACACTTAGTATATCATTATTAGGTGAGAAACAAGTTCCACTCGATAAGCGAGTTCTAACTTTCGATTTAGGCATTGGTCTTTTCTTAATGGCATGGTTTTTCGTCTACGAAGTGACAGGTACAAAATACACACGTGCTTGGAAAAAAGAAGTTCTTCTTGCACTGTAAGTTTAACATGTAAACTTTCAATAACTGCCCTTTGTAATTTTAGTATCGCATCATTCTTTCTTGGTTACGGTGGTCTATTTCTTCTACTCTGGGTGGGAATTTATGTTTAAACAAAAGCCAAACTCGACATTTATCTTTTGACTTCTTCTTCGTCGCCACGTTTCTGTTGTTTACCGATTCTTGTCTGTTTTTACAACAACAAAATTTATCTTTTGATTCTTAGATTAATAAAGTCTAAAATAAAAATAAACGAATGACATGTTTCAATAAACTGAACTTTAACCGTAAGCGCTTTGTCCATGTCTCAATCACGCGTAGTAAACGTGATAAGAAAACATCGTCGGTCAAATGTTTGTCGTTGTATATTAACATCCATTGAAATGTGTTCGTAGCGTCACTCACGTAAGTATCAATAAAGGCTTATTACTGTCCTTGAAAACTTTTATTCGCAAAAAACATTGTAGACATACATTTACATCCCTTATCGGATCATTTGACGTACACAAATATATCTTTATCATATTGCGAACTTCGCTGACGGGGCGCAAACTACGCTCGAAGGGTTAAATTTGAACAAGACTTATTTTTGTTTTCCTTACAATTATTCGTTTTGAAACACGACACGTACGTCATTTCTTTTTGCAATTGCGCCCTTCTGTGCCCAATTTTATNATTCCGGGTGTTTACGTGCTTCTTTGCGCATCTTTTTATTGTGAGCACGTACTTTTTTCGCGATACTGTAGCGATGAGCACATGACACTCGTTTACTCTTTTTGGCTAAATTAGAAATTCCACATGAAAATATAAAAATATCGACGATCTCCAACGTACTTATTTTAACCATGATGATGTTGACAACAAGGAATCTGAAAATAGAAAATCGAAGATATAGATAGATGTGAAATTCAATGAAATCTGCCCATTCATCGAGTAAGTTCGTATTCCGATGAAAAACAGTGAATTTAGAAGACCAATAAATGAAGACTGTGTAAAGGTGGCGACATCTAGCTTTTACTTAAGTATGATTTGGAGGTGAAAATACAGAAGTATTACAAAATAATTCTTCATTAAAACTGCATTTTATTTTTTATTAATGATAGCACAACGAAAACTACATTCGATGCTATACTACATGATGTACACACCCTCTTTCGTCTTCATCATCAATGACGCCGTGTGTATAGAGTTTGTGTGTATATCGTGTAAGAAAATCCGAGTTCTCTCTGAAATTATTGCGAACAAGAATTCGAAACGAACAGAGTCAAAGCGAGGAGTTACACATTTGCTTTTTCAAATATCGAAAAAACCTGTATCCTCCACACATATGCTAGACAGTTCTGAAGTATGCGTTGTGCCGGAAACCAATACACTGCAGTATTGATGATACCACTACATGTATTGGTCATTGTATTAATTGTAATATTATCTATAAATCAATAGAAGTCAAATTCGTATTGCATTCAAAGATTCGTGAGGATTTGAATCTTGATTGATTCGATTTTTAACCAAGAAATTCTCCATACTGCACATAAAAAACTACTCATCGTCTATCGCTTGGTTTGTCACCGTTAATATTTTGATGTAGTCTTGCCTTTCGCAATGAAAGTCTATCAACTGTAAAAGAGAATGAGGATTGAGGAAAGTTCTCACTGGTAGACCCTTTTCTCTTTTTAGAATCTTTATTCGAAGCAGAAGGTGTTTCACTATTTATAGTAGTTTTCCAGTATGTTTCCATGACCTTTTGAGCGAAAAAAATCATAATCTTTCCCGTTCAATCGAATAAGAAAAGTAAATGTTGCTAACTTGCATGGTGATATTTTGTTTGATTTTTCCATCGTTTTATGAAATAATAACGATCTGTTTAAATTCAAATCGACCATTGTTGGCATAATGTCACTGCTTATGATAATATCTGACGGAAAATCTATTTGTAAATCGATAGCTACGGAAAATCTATTTGTAAATCGATAGCTACGGAAAAGTGTCTCCCTTTCTCAATTTCATATTTTATCATCTCTAAGTTTGTGTATTACAACATATGTTGACCCAGCTTCAATAAGGTCGGTCAATTGAACGGGACAAATCATATTCGATTGATGTATGCTGATTTTGTTCGCGGCTATGCTTCTATTATGTTTAAAGAGCTGATCAAATATCTAGAAAAAGAGAAGAGCACATGTTTTGTTCATGAAGGATAGTCTTGTTCATTATCAAGCTGGTGAACAGTAAAAGCTTCTTAATAAATAATGTCGAAACAATCTAATGAAATCGCGGTAACTGTGACTAACGCTGCTCTACAGATTCGGTTTTCTAAAAATCAACCTTTCGGATGACTTTTTAAAATGCTGTTTTGCATCCAGTTCAAATTATAGAACACATTGAAATGTTCACGAATCTAGAGAGCAGATGCCAGGAATACTGGATCAACTTTTGTGTTTCTATGTCAAAATGCTACGGTATACATCCCTCATATAATTACCAAACATAGCATATGTATTAGAAAACATTGGTACGAACTACATACAATTTTTGTTTTGTAGGCAATTAAAAGTTCTCTATGCCCTCAACTGTTTAAAGACAACATTTTGAAAACAATGCTATGAAACGCTAGCCACGGAGTCCTTGATATTCGGAATTAACATAGTCGACTAGTCTCAAGCGACTGAGTCCCAGGTCGAAAGCGATTTACAACTGAGTAATGGTCATGACAACTAATCGTTTTAATAGTGGTAGTACTAGTTCAATACCATTAAATAACAACGATTTATCGATATATTCGTATGAATTCATGATCGATGATAGGAATCTAGGAGGAACATTACATTTTGATTTTGAATCACGAGTGATGGTAAAAGTTCATTGACCACGAATGATAATGTTGACAGATTTGTTTTCTAGTCGTCTGTATCTGCGAATGTAAATATTAGTGTACATGGATGTTTATCCAAGTATCAACCGCGTACATATGCGACTTGTGAATCACCTTTTAAAATCCTCATCGATAAAAATTCGATCACAATGAAATCGTTTCCATATCCAGAAATGGGTTTCTGGTATTTAACATTAGAATACATCTGTACTGGGTAGGTTCATCTTTTTCCTTTTGATCGCTTAAAAAATCTTTGTATTAGTTCGGAATCGGAATGTGGAAACAGTTCGTTATCGTTGATGTTTCAAATCTCATCATCGCAGTGTACGAAACAACAATGTGGAGCATATGGTGTCTGTCGAATATTAACATCGCAACAAAATGTGTTTTCCACATGCTCGTGCCTTGCTGGTAAGTGGAGCGAGAGAACGAAATGACGTATAATTCCGATCTAAACACAATAGGAAACTTTTTTTAATCGAATCGCATCATAGGTAACTGTCTCGTCAACAGAATCGATAATTTCTAATCAAAATGCTCACTCTTTGCTTCAGTTAATCATTCTATTGCTAGGAAAATATTCATGCCGATCGTCTCTTTAAAAATCAGCATGATTTCGGCAGCAAAAATGCTGATTTTCATTTAGGTTATCGCGGCTATGGTTGTACAGATGACAGTCATGCATATGCATCGAAAAGTTTAGCTAGTGTTCTCTTTCTAACACTCAGCAATTGCATGTTTATGCCAGCTATCGTCTTGGCAGTTTACCGACGTTTGTACATCGAAGCGTTGGTCTATTTCTTCAATATGTTTTTCTCTACGGTAATATCAATTGGAAATGACGATGAATTTCCTTCGATAAATCCATTTATCTTCTGTAGTTTTATCATGCATGTGATCAAGATATTAATAAATAAATCGAATTCAATGTGATCTATTAAATATTCTCTATTACTCATATCTCTGTTTGTGCCTGTTTCTTGCGCCTTATATATTTTTCTTTCCAATAGAAGTTTTAAAAGAGAGTCGTTTTCTTTTAATTTTTTTATTAAAAAAAAAAAACTCTTCGTAGATCCTCTATTAAGGTCTACGAAGGGGTAAACGGAGGTCGGTGGGTCGAGGGCGTCCACCGACACTCACTCCTCGACGACCCCGCTCTTCGTCGCCACCACCACGACCACCACCACCACCACTACGACCACCACCACCACCCTCAATAGCGAGGGTCAGCCGACGTATGTCAGCTGACACTGATTTGATGTCAGCTGACATTGATTTGATGTCAGCTGACATCTGGTTCACCACACCACCCTCAATAGCGAGGGTCAGCCGACGTATGTCAGCCGACATTGATTTGATGTCAGCTGACATCTGGTTCACGGCATCGCCAAACCAGACGCGCCACTCCTCTGGAGGAGGTTGCTCAGGTGGACTAGCAACCTAGAAAAGATTGGAATAATTAAAAATTGAATAAAATAATGTAAAACATCTGTCGAGAAGGAACGCTGAATACCGTTAACGTCGTCAAATCGCTGTTTCTGCACATTTTTTTCTTCTTTCACGAATATTCGATTAGGGAAGAGACTGAACTCGACGGATGCAAAGACGTTTATACTCTCATGAACAAAGGAAGAGAAAGAGAGAGAGAGAGAGACTATACGAGTCGATGAAGCACATTCTGCATTTCTTCTATTTTCGACGAATAGTATACACGAAAGGTCAGGTATCGGTCACCTCATCGACAACAACGGCGCACTCACAGGAAGAGGTCCACGATGACCCGATACATGTCCTCCTCTTTCTAATATATTTGGTATTTACCGAACCTCCAGAGGCGTCGTTGGTGAAGTGACGGTCGGTGGCACATCCCTCCTGCAAAGCATTAAAAAATATTTGATTAAAAAAAAACAAAGTATTCATACCTTTTTCTTTGCCAAAGCATGACACTTTGGCATCCGCACTGGTACTGGTGGCGGTGCTGGGGAAGGAAGAGGATCCCAGGTCGATCATTCCGGCGACTGGATCCGTTGAAATCTGAGTCGGCTCCGGTATAGCTCCTCTCGATTCCGGCACAGTTTTCGCCGATTCCAGCAAGTTCCAGCAGATTCCTTGCCGCCGGAATTGCCCAGGAAATATCCGATCAGTTCCTGACCGTTTCCAGCTCGAAGTTTGCAGGAAACGGTCGGAAAACGAACCTAACCGGCCGGAACCGACCGTGCCATAATAACCTGGGATCGAATTCAATGTGATCTATTGAATATTCTCTATTATTCACATCTCTGTTTGCGCCTCTTTCTTGCGCCTTATATATTTTTCTTTTCAATAGAAGTTTTAAAAGAGAGTCGTTTTCTTTTAATTTTTTTTATTAAAAAAAAAACTCTTCGTAGATCCTCTACTAAGGTCTACGAAGGGGTAAACGGACGTCATTCAGTCGAGGGCGTCAACCAACACTCACTCGTCGACGACCCCGCTCTTCGTCGCCACCACGACCATCACCCTCAATAGCGAGGGTCAGACGACGTATGTCAGCTGACATTGATTTGATGGCAGTTGACATTGATTTGATATCAGCTGACATCTGGTTCACCACACCGCCGATCCAGACGCGCCACTCCTCTGGAGGAGGTTGCTCAGGTGGACTAGCAACCTAGAAAAGATTGGAATAATTAAAATTGAATAAAATAAGGCAAAACATCTGTCGGGAAGGAACGCTGAATACCGTTAACGTCGTCAAATCGCTGTTTCTGCACATTTTTTCTCTTGTTTCACAAATATTCGATTAGGGAAGAGACTGAACTCGACGGATGCAAAGACGTTTATACTCTCATGAACAAAGGAAGAGAAAGAGAGAGAGAGACTATACGAGTCGATGAAGCACATTCTGCATTTCTTCTATTTTCGACGAATAGTATACACGAAAGGTCAGGTATCGGTCATCTCATCGACAACAACGGCGCACTCACAAGAAGAGACCCACGATGACCCGAAACATGTTCTCCTCTTTTTAATATATACGGTACTTACCGAACCTCCAGAGGCGTCGTTGGTGAAGTGACGGTCGGTGGCACATCCTTCCTGCAAAGCATTAAAAAATATTTGATTAAAAAAAAAACAAAGTATTCATACCTTTTTCTTTGCCAAAGCATGACACTTTGGCATCCGCACTGGTACTGGTGGCGGTGCTGGGGAAGGAAGAGGATCCCAGATCGATCATTCCGGCACAGTTTTCGCCGGTTCCAGCAGGTGCCTGCAGGCTCCTTGCCGCCGGATTCCGGCGGCAAGAAAATGGTCGGAAAACGAACCTAACCGGCCGGAACCGACCGTGCCATAATAACCTGGGATATGGAGGGAGATTCGTCTCCTTCCACACGCTCGTAAACGTGTTTTTCTCGATTCATCTAAAACAAAAGTAGACCATCTAACTGAATACTCGCTGACTTTCACAGCAGATCGTTTTTTATTTCAAGTAAAGAAAGACAAGAAATCCACAAAATACGAAAAGAAAGACAAAAAATCGGTAAAGCTTACCTTAACATCATCCGATCAACAGAAAATTCGCATGATCAGTGTGCATTGATCAAATATCCACTCTAGACGATGTACAGGGAAAAGATTCATGAAATCAAAAACGAAAAACCGGTTAAGCTTACCGCAACAGCATCAGATTGAGAAAGAATTGCGTATGATCGGTGGGAATCGAGAATATACTCGTTTTAGACGATCTGGAAAGAAGAAATCCACGAAATTCTAAAAGAAAAACTGTTAAAGCTTACCTCATCCTTGTCCGATGGAGATTGAATGTCGTTGGACCGATCCGACTTGTATGGATATGGGGTGTGGACGATCTAACAAGAGGTATTCAACTCTAGCATGATGAAGAAAAAACAAAAAACGTTCCTAGTTCACGCGAACGTTTTTCGACGAAGCGAGAACAGCGTGCGATCCGTCGCACCCCTGGGGAACGAGGCTAATACCGATTTATACACAAGAAAAGAACGAAATGGAAAGTAGAAGAAGAACGAAATGGAAAGTAGAAGAAGAAAGAAACATTTCGCGTTTATCTCTATTTCGACCGATTAAGAGAGAACGCCGTCGAATGAGCTATACCAGTGAAGAACGGTACTATGGCTCCCTCTATATAAGAGAAGAAACGCGATTTCTTATTACTTCTGATCGAAGCAATTACTGCGTGATGCGGAGACCTTTTCTCTTCTATCTTGGGGCATTCAGTGGAAATGTATTCTAATGAACAAAAGGTTTTGAAGTGTATGTGATAACACCCAGAACGATCGTTCCTGGAAGCAGTATTCCGCTTATTTCCGGCGAAAACCCGCAGGATATTCATAGTTTCCGCGCTGGAAACCACGAGAAAGTACTCGGAATCCTACCGAAGGAACCGGTAACCGTATCCGACTAACGGTTATGGTGGGTTCTTGCTGGTTCCGGATAAAACCTTTTAAATCTGATGAAAGGATCCGATCGCCGGAATACTGCTTCCATGAAATCCGCGGAAGGTCCTGGAACTGGTCGGTTCCGGGCCGGATTGTTCGACCTGGGCAGCACTCCTTGCATCGTATGTCAAACAATGATTAATTACGAGAATTTGTTCATAGTTTATCGATGAATTTTACATTCATTAAGCTTAGTTCGATATCCGAGAAGGCTCAGGAAAGACTTTGCAACCAGAACGATCGATTGTTGTGTATTTATATTAAAAATATGTTCATAACTGAAAAACATCAACTAAAATTTTGGGTAAGAAGATTGATTTTATTGTTTACGTATAATCTGTTAAAATGCGTGATGTTTGCTGTTTTTCTTTTTTGTAACATATATATGTTTTGGATAAAACAGATAAAAAGCGGACGACATAGAGATTGATTGATGATAGTTTGGAAAAAAAAACTTTGTCTCGTTTGTCTTTGATATTCAAGAAAAAGATCTTAATTTCATACAAATGGGGATCCATTATGTGACGTGGTTTTGTTCGGCCGGTCTGATCATCATTCTTGATGGATGTTTCTGTTGCAGTCGTTATACACGTCTGAAGTTGGAATCATCTCGACGAACGAGCTTTACTTTAAATCGGTCATGGGCTTTCCCAGGTCGAAGAATCCGGCCCGGAACTGACTAGTTCCAGGACCTTCCGGGGATTTCATAGAAGCAGTATTCCGGCTACCGAATCCTTTCATCGCATTTAAAAGGTTTTATCGGGAACCAGCAAGAACCCGCCATAACCATTAGTCGGATACGGTTACCAGTTCCTTCAGTGGGATTCCGAGTATTTTCTCGTGGTTTCCAGCGCGGATACTATAAATATCCTGTGGGTTTTCACGGGAAATAAGCGGAATACTGCTTCCAGGAACGATCGTCCTGGGTTATTCATTAGCATAAATATTTCTCGCGCGCAAGTGAACGAAGAACAAAAGAAATCATTTGCACTCATCATTTTGTACGAATTTGTCGTCTGTACGGTGACTTTTAGTTCAGAGCACTCTACAATTGCAAAACATGCTTTTATTAAAATAAATTACTCACATGAACTGAACAGTGACGCCTAGAGTCAATCGTTATCACATATTGTCGTCAGAAAAACTCGTGTAAAAAACTGCACACTCAGTTTAGAAAAATGAAAATAAGCAGAAAGAAGAGATTGCATTGTGACATGAGGGAAATTGTTGATATTTCAATCCGCAAAATTCAACAGTTCATCATCTGCTGTTTGTTGTTGTTTATTACCTTCATTATTTTCGTTTTCATGAGTCTCGTCATCATTATCATCATCATCATTAATGTTAGTTGATTTGTTGAAGAACGGTAAGTTCAGATCGACTTCAATAGGAAATATATCTGCTTCTTTCATCACCGTATCACAATCTTGATGGTATTTTTCCAGAGCACTAATGAATCGATGTAATTGAAACACTATGTCTTGTACTAAAGATAAGAAAAATGAATAGTACAGCAAAGTTTATATATATATACTAACCATGTTTTTGATCGAGTAGTTCCATCTTGACAAGAACATCAGAACGCATTGCTGCAAAACGATCACGAGCCATTTGTCGACAACGAAGAATTAATCTAAACAAAGCAATCTATTTGTGAAACAACTTTATTATGATCTCTACCGATATTCATAATTTCCAGTTTCGACACGATACAGTGGCTCATCCAGCATTGCATAAGATTGTTCTTCATCGTCCATTTCTTTTACTTTCAAACAGTATGACTAGAACAATCAAGTTTTCATTATCGAAAATCTTTGTATCCCCTTACGAGGTATTCAAATTTAGCATCGGCGTATTTCTCGATTGTTAAACGAGTATCAGGAATAGCTTTTGTTAGATATGTGTTCAGATCATTGATCATCTGAAAAGATCATTCGAGAATATTTCTAAAATAAACATTTTCTATTGCTCAGTACCGGTTTGACAGTTGCAAGTAATGTCAATGCAAATCGATCGATTTGTCGATGAGCCTCGCCAAATGTTGTGAATGCTTCAGATGCTTTTGGTTGAGGTTCTCGCGCACCAATATTGGCAAATGCATCGCCAAACGCACGATGAATATGAGCTAGATCAAATATGCCTTTGAGTACAGCTCGTGTATGTCTAATAAGTCCACGGTACAAATCAGCTGTTCGATCGAGTTCAGACAGTTTCTTAATCAAACTATCTAGAAAATGCACATATTGAAATGATCAGACGAACGACGATTTGTCCTTTGTTTTCTACGAACCGTTTAATAAGATGGCACGACTAAGACCTAGGGCATCAGCTGTTGATGAACTCATGGTTTCAACCAGACGATGTTTGACCTTTTTTAACACTGAAAACAACTAATCAACACTTAATAATCGATATGAAAAGTGCGACAAACCGATATCCAATGTTTTCCCTTCTTTGGGTTTAGCATGTAACTTATTGTAATGAATTGTCACTTCCACCTGAAATATTCACGAAAGAGAAATAGTAACATCACACAAGAAACGAATTTGAACTATACTGGAGAAGCTTGAATCATTTTCGCAACTTCAACTTTTGTTCGTCCTTTCACAGATTTGCCATTGATAGAAACAATTTCATCTCCTGATGCTATGGATTTATCTATCGATGCAGGTGTGTTTTCAAATACTTGTACAATATACACGCACGGGCAGTATGGAAATCCTCCACCGATACTAATTCCGATCAGATTCTTATCATCTTTCTTCAACACGCACATCCCTGTTGTTAGCGTCATGCCTCTAGAACAAATAGTCATAGTTGAGACTATAAGATTCCTTCAAGAAAATCTGTTCAACTTACAGAGTATCTTGTTCAAAATAATCGTACTCCATTTCGTTTCAAAAGACGTACGCCTCGACTTCGAAAAACGATCGATATTATGTCGATAAGGATTGATTATTCATTGCTTATATGACTCTTGCTTTTGCTTGATTGATTGAAGGTGAAAAAATATATATATAACTTACATATTCGTGTATTGGGTTAAGATATTCTTGCAAGATGTCACTCGTGGACGTCGTACATATTCAACACTTATGTGCAAGTAAATAAGCACATGTATTTCATCTTATTACGAAATAGAAAACATTTTCTCTGGGTTAGACAAAACAAGTGAATAGAACTTGCTTCTATAACAAATGAAAAGCGATTATTTATACGAGACGTTAGGTACTATTTATCATTCAAAAACTATAGATCAACGTTATAGTTCAAGAAGAAAATATCAAAAACAAACATCACAAACACGTTTCCTTTTCAAGGCAATCACAAATACTAACAGTAGCCTGTCGTAGGTCACAGAAAGCATAAGAGAACATTGAGATAATCATCTATTGACAAGCACTCATATAGCTACGTTTTCGTGGTATGTGTTGAGAGCCTGATCTGGAATTTCGTCCATTGACAATAGATTCCTGTTCAGTGTACATCGGTACTTTTGGATTGACTAATGTGTTCAGAAGAATCATAAATGCACGTGCGGGTAGAATTCCTTTCACAAATGGAATCAGATAGTACAAACGTGGCACACACACAAATTTTCGATTGATCTAAATGAGAACAAAGCTTAGTAGAAACAAAGTCTAATGAATGAATCTCATACCAAAATAGCATGCATGATTTTCTTCGCTGCATAATCAAGTGTCAGAGGTGGAACAACTGGACTGAAGCAAGTTTTCGATAATTGAAATAGATGTGTAGTTAAATAATGTGAAACAGCTGCTGTTGTATAAATACCATCATAACCACCTAAGGTCAATTCATGGTCAACACTTTCCATGAGACCAACAAGACCCGATTTCGCCGTACATACAGCCGAAAAGTTGCCTAGACCAAATACAGCTGTTGCACCAAGCATGGTTACTATATGTCCATGATTACGTCGCATCATCGATGGAAGAATTTGACGAATCAACTGAAATCATCATAGAAACAGTAAAAATCGCCGATTGATTCTTTGTTAAACATACCCAGTATGATGCAAACAAATTTGCATTTAAACATCGTGCAAATTCATCTTCGGACATGTCCAAGATCGAGTTTGAAGTCAACACTGTCGCTAAAAAACGAATCTCATATGTCATTTCGAAGTCTTCAGTTAAATAACAAACCATTATTGACAAGCATCGTAATATTTCCAACTTCACTTTGAATTCTTTCAACTAATTGTCGAACTTCCGTTCGATTTCCAATATCACATGTATAAGAATAAACGCGTTGTTCAGTATTTAACTCTGATATCAGTTTCAGAGTCTCTGAATTACCAATTTCATCACTATCGCAAAGAACAACAATAGCGCCGCGTCGAGCAAATAGAACCGCTACTTGTTGACCTATACGAACACACGATTCGATGTCGAATTTCCATACAACAAAAATTTACCTAATCCTCGACCGGACCCAGTTATGAGAACGATTTCATTACGAATGTTTTTTTCTGTTGTTGAAAATATGTAATGATTAACAGCTTGGATGATAACATGCAAAATTTCGAGAAACGTCACTAGATAATACTTAAATAATTTTACGTATGGCCACATAAAATATCTACAAAAGAAAAAGAGAAGATCGTTATTTCCATGACGCAAAATCACGTGTTTACTAATAGAATTCATCATTCCATTGGCACAGTTAGGGCGATGACACATCGCTGATGTCTGGTCTTAGTTAAACCAGTTCTAACGCATCGAGTGTCTCTCGTGTACATCTAGGTCGAAATAGATAACCTTAAAGTAGATATTTTACAAAAGATTACGATTGGTGAGCACGATATCATCTTTCACGAATGATAATATCCTTCAGTAACGACGTCAGAATAATTATAGTCGAATCATAGCGACACTTTTTGAAAAACATTTTTTCCTCCAATCTTCATTGAAGCTGTTTATGATTTCATTCTTGATTTATGACTTCTTACAAAACGAACGATCGTACTTAATGAACTGTAGAATATATTCATTAATCTTCGAAAACATTACTGAACCCATCACACCAAAGTTTAACTTTCATGCGCATGCGAAACAAAAACTTTTTCATGTATTTGTTAATTATTATTTTTCTCAAGCAAATGATTCAGAATGAGTCATCATCAATTTGTTCTTTCTTGTTTGCCATTCATTCATCGCTGTGTTTTGTCTGCGGAGAGTTTATTTAAACTGAATGATTGGTGCAAGACAAACTCATACTTACTTTCCTCTGATTGTCTCAGTGATCAATGATACTGAGCATCCAGGACGAGGTATCGGCATTGCACTCCGCTGAAAACTAAATCCTGCTTTCATGCCTCATCGGTATGAAGAGAGAGGTAAATTTATTAACAGCGTCTCTGCGTTCGCGCTCAGACCGTTTCAATCCAAGACGAAAGACTTCACTCATGTGAACTATTTTTGTTATGAGTGATAAACAAACAAGACATAACAGCATTGATTTGTGATGAATAACATACACAAAAAAGACAAATCCGATTAGGTTAATAAACAAAGTTAAATATGCACGTCGGTTTGGAATATAACCGAAGGAAAAGTTCCTATCGATGAATGTACGCGATTGCTTTTGTCCGAAAAAGATTTAAAGAGAAGTTTTCAATAATTCATCGTATGATATGATTCCACCAAATGCTTTTAATGGCATTAAATATGTCCTCAATCAGGATATAAACCAAAATCTGGCGTTTTTTCATATATCAAGGTCAGTTATCGCCCGTACTAATCATCTTCAAAATCGCTTTTTCAATTGGTATTGTTTTAACGAAAGCATACAGGCCGAGGTCATTTCCGATTTCTACGCTTAACGTTAGTTCCTAGAACATTTCCTGTTTTCGAATCATGTTTTTCCTGCATGATTAGCTACGATCCAAGCTCAAACAAAATGTCAACATATTCTGCCAAGTTCCTCTAGTTCAACGTGCTTCGATCGATGCGTTCTTACTGGAAATCTCTCGAATATTCTCGTTTTCCCTAATGGGCTTTTTTAATCGCGAATAAAAAATGCTTATTTTTTCATTATAGTTCTTCTAATCAATAGAAAACCTCTATAATACCCCCTGTTCGATCGATTAGAAATCCACTGCAACGAACAAAGTGCTTCTAAACCTTGTTTTGGTCACATTTCATCTTTTCTCCAGATTTTATGATGGTGATCATGCTCTATAAATGTTTGAAATCATTTGTCACTAATATCCTACACAAATTTCATCTATTTATATCCTATTGAAATGCTAATGTATCGATTTTGAACAGACTGAGTATTCATATTGAAAAGATTAACTTCCGTTTCATCATTTCTGCTTAGAAGGTTTTTCAATAATGATTTTACGATTGATTATTTCTGATTTATGACTTTGTCAAATAGAAAAAGAATATAAGTAGGATTATTAACTAATAGGAGAAAAAGGTTTTCATTGTTCCTTCTTTTTTTTATATCTCCAACTCATAAATAAAGTTGTTTTTTGCTGAATAAAATCATGTAAATCAGTTCACGTTTCTGCTTCATTGTCGTATTGTTTCGTTCACTAGTTGCCGAGAAAGACGAGAAAAGTTTCGAGACGGATATGTTTTCGTAAAAGGCAACTATTGTTCCAATCTAAGTGACAAAAGCATAATAAGTAAGTGAATACCCCGAGGAATTGTTAATTGTATGATTTAAAAAAAAAACCTAGCGAACTGTTAAGTAACATATGACTTTTCTTTTGACAATCAAAGTTAGTTTTTCTAATGTAGGGAGAAACGTGAAAGGAATAATGAACATAATTCAATGATGGAATTGTTATTGTCTGTCGTTCTTTTTTTTTCCTCAGATCAGTTGGTTTTTATTAGTTTATTGTTAAAAAAAGAGCGTCAAGGACACTTCACTAAAGTATGTGGGATACACATTCAGTAGGTTCGAATCGGTCATATTTGATGAACTGATAGTCAACACGAGAGAATTTTCGTAGAAAAGCTTTTTTGACACTTCTTTGTTGAACTTCTTGACTTCGATTTGAAGATCAACAGGATGTGACAACTTTAGAATTTTATTTACTAATTCAATTTCCTCTATTCTATTTCAGTTAACGTGAGTTCTTCGACGTTAAATACTTTCCTGTCGGTAGAGTATAACTGGTACGTGAAGTTAAAAAAGAATATTTAATCAACAATCACAGAAAAGAAATCTCGAATTGAAAGAAACAGATTGCTCTCCTAATCGGATCGTTTTAGAAAACTTCTTCACAAAGAAAAAAAACATAGACACAAAAGACTCTTTTCTTCTTATGTGTCTCTTGTATTTCATTGATGCTCACACAATGAAAACCAATCACTCGATCAACCATCAGAGGTGTGTTGTTGAGAATAAGTCTGTCGAGTGAAATAAGACGCGAGTTGAATATTCTTCAAAATCGTGACTATCATTATAGCTAAGAGTTCTTTGATTATTTCCTCGACAAATATAGAAACAATCTACTCCAATTTCCTTTTTTGCTTCTTCGCTCGTTCCAGAAGAAATATCACGACGACTATGCAATCCTATGCGTAATCAAATCATTAACACTAAGAGTAAGTCTTGTTTCGAATTCAATTATGACTTGTCTAGCATTCAGAGTCATTCGTGATGTACATGCTCAATTCTCTTCGATTATATTTCTCTATTCTAAAGAACATCTTTCTACACTTGTTCCAATTAACTATGTCAATCGAATCTGGTCACTTTCATCAGGCAGTTTTCTCTTCTCACTGTTGATTCAGTGCAAGTATTGTTCGTTATTGAGCTAAATATAGCACAAAATCAATATTGCAGACACTTCCTTCTCGTCGTGTTCTAGTTTGTGTATTTGCGTAAAGAAAGTTCTCTATCGATTGTCTTCTTCCGTAAATGTTCCTTTACGAAGATTACTTGTGTTCTCACAAGCACTCGTTCGGCGCTTGATTACGGCAGAAACTTGATTTCCTTTTTCTTTGTTTCTCAATGTATACCGTGATAATCGCAATGTACTCGCGCTTTCTATGCACTTAATCGTATGGTGTCATAAACGTCAAATGATTTTTGGACTCGATCTATTGTGTCGTTGTCAAAAGGCACGATTATCAGAGCAAGAAAACAAGACGGAAGACAACAATATTTACCTTATCAATATCGCATTTTCTTTTCTTTTGATCGATGATGTTTTCCTACCATCTCGCGATGTTTTATCAGTCGGATTCAGATAATAAGATGTACGCACGCACACACTTCTTGTACAGATCAACATTTGCGATCAAGTATTTCAACTTTCTGATTAGAGCAGATCGACTGGCAGAGAATAATTTCGATTCGCTTTTGATATATTCATATACATATTCAATTTCTTTTCTATTCTAGTACTCTTGATTAACTTATTCTTAAAGATGCCAAACACAATCATGATTGATTGACTTATCAATGACACAACATCATATATACATATTTCATGATACGAAGAAATAAGATAAAAATCAGACATTGATATGGCATATCGTCTAGGAAATGTTAGTGTATATGGAGCAACTATAGAATATCTCAGTCTTATATTTAGCCTTCTCTTTGTCCTAGAAGTATCGATCATTGTAAATGAGTTACATATCTCATTTAGGGAAAATGACAAAACATGCAGATAACTGAATACTATGTGTATGTTAGTATATTATCACAAAGGTTAATCATTAACGAAGAACTTCTTTTTCATCCGCTTGCTTTTCTCAATCTAATTAAAAAGGCAAACAGTTCGCAAGATATCATCGTCGAGTTGTCGGAAGATTTTCCTTTGCTGTTCTTATAATTCAGTTTAGTTTATCCTCGATCTGTGTTACAACGAAACAATTCAAGTTAAGTGAGTAAGTTACATTGTCATTTTCAGCCGAACAGTGAAAGTTAGCGAGATTTACAAAACTTCATTGTTAAGTTTGTATGTTTAACTACTACATCAATCATTTTCCGAAAGCCAGTTTTGTCGTCCTATTTAAAATCGATCACTTTTTTTTCTTCGGAAATGTATGTGACATTTTATCGAATAACAATAATAACATCACTAGGAAAACAATTCTTTTCTTCTTTTTTGACTATTTATTTATTAACTTAGCATTAAAATAGATTGACAAATATTGTGCATATTTCTCCTAATCCAAATCTCGATAAAGTGTTCACCAGAGATCGAATGGAATCATGTGATTTCGTCATTAAAGGAACTGTAAAACGGCGAGTTTAATTGAAAGAGAAATAAATAACGCATTCTTGCTTCGATGCTCTTTGGAAGAAGAAATCTCCTAACAACAGCAAGTATTTTTATAATAAATGAATATTTTATCAAACATTAATATTTATGATAATCATCGAAGAGAAAAAACGAGCGAGAAATCTAAAGAAAACAAAATGTTGTCCTTTTTTTCGATGATTTAACATGTTGACCTGTGAACTGAGATATAATTTTCACGCGCTTGTGATCGATCGAAGATGACAGATTTAATTCGTTGCAGATGTGACCAGTTTTCTTCTTCGATCAGTGTCAGCTATATTTAGAGAAATCTTTTCTGAAAGGATAAATTGACGCTAATCGTGCGAACAGAAGAATGGTACAATTGATGATTATCGGTTATTTCGTTACTACGATTGCTGATGTTGTTAGCGATGTGTAAGAAATAGGAAAAAACGCATCGATGCGCAAGACTCGTGTGATTGGAGAAAAACGAGAAAAAGAGAATTAATCGGCACTATTTTTTACTCTTTTTCTCTTATACACACACATTCTCTCTCTNCGAACAGAAGAATGGTACAATTGATGATTATCGGTTATTTCGTTACTACGATTGCTGATGTTGTTAGCGATGTGTAAGAAATAGGAAAAAACGCATCGATGCGCAAGACTCGTGTGATTGGAGAAAAACGAGAAAAAGAGAATTAATCGGCACTATTTTTTACTCTTTTTCTCTTATACACACACATTCTCTCTCTCTCTTTTTCTGTTGTTCTATCCTCGCATCTGACCGTCCCCGTCTGTCTTCGTCGTATTTTTCTTCGAATTCAAAGAAAAAACATCTGATTACATTCGATTATGGAATGTTGATACTACCGATGTGCCACTCGTTGATAATATTTCACTGATACATAATTGCGTCTATTACCTAACGTTTACATAAAGTAAGTTAGAACGTTTTTCAAGATAAAATTAGGCAAGAGCAAGTCACGGAACACCTTTAAATTTTCTAAATATGCATTGACTGTTTTTTTTTGTTAATTAAAAGCGAAGGTATAACAGCAAAAAAAAACGTCGGTTTTCTCGCGGAGTCCAATATCGATGTGTCAATAGTCATGTACATATTTAGTCTCATTTGGTTATGTATATTAATGATACTGTGACTTTCCTTTTGATTGTGTATAATTCTTAATTGACTATTTTCGTTTGACATATGCACACAAGCATTTCTCGAGTAAGTCCAACGAGTTTTTGTTGTCTTTCAAGCAATTTAGATAGGCAAAAACGTTTCTTTTATTAGTTGATGTACTTAGCTTTAAAGTTTAATCATGGTGAGCACAAAGAACAACAGAACAGCCGATATTTGTCATGTCTATTTTTGGCTAGAGGCGAAGAAAGAAAAGGACAAATGTGTTCGAATAGAGATTGACGAATATTTACTTTGAAAACAAATTAATATTCATCAGGTATCGGAAGAGACGATTAGACGACGAATTTTCATTTGCGAACTACAACTACTGAACGTAAGGATGTCGTATTGTTTGTGTAATGACAATAAACATAGATGAATAGTTATGATTTCTATACTCCTCTTCATGTCATTTTCAATTCACTCCGGAAATTACAGTTATCTTTCTATCTATAAAATATATATGAAGTCTAATTGCTGGTGTGATCGGTTCTAATAAGAAAGAATTGAAGTTTGTCGAAGAAAATCATTTCAAACCTTTTTCGATTTGTTTTTAGACGAAAGAAAGACAAATCTTATTGACTAATTTGGAAGATTTGCTGATATTTGTTCTTCTGCTTCGTGTTGTCCTTTTCACATGATTATTTGTTGTCCCAGTGTTTGTATTAACATCAGTCGATTGTCCACATTCGCCTGCCTTCTAGTACTCATTTCAATTAGTCAATTCAAATTGGTGCTAGTTGTCGATGCCGCTCCTTCATACTCCACAATTACATTGAACTACACACGGATATCCGACGAGACAGATAATCAAACAACAACAAATAATTGTGTAGCTGAAATAATTGATGAAACATTATATTATTTTTCTGTAGGCTATCGAGCATTTGCTGGCGCACTCATTGTTCCAATAACAATTTGTGGTATATGTGGAAACACTCTTGTCATTTATGTTATTAAACATTATCATTCATTGCGTATCACAGGCAATGTTTTTCTTGCCTCGCTTGCAGTCGCTGATGTCGGTGTGAGTACCTTGGCAATGACATTTTATGGTCTACAATTATTGTATGGACGATGGTTATTTGGACCGGTGAGTAAAGTACTAATTCTTGATACAATATGCGCAGTTGCTTTTTCTCCGCTCTTGATTGCAAAAACAGATATTCGAAATTGTTGTCTTTCTTCGTTCTTTTTTCCCGTTGACGAAAATAAAGTGTACGAAAAAATGCATCAGGAGACGAAAAGAATCAACAAGCCATTTATTTTCAAATTCTATATGCAAATGAGAAATTTACTAAAACAAAAAGAAGAAGGTTGTAACTAAATCGAATATCTAGCCGCAACAATGGAAAGATTTTTCCTTGAAGGACGGAAGAAGATAGAGTACTATCCTGTTGTTTCTTTTTTACAATGAAATATGTAAAGATGAATAAAAGCTTTTTATCCTGCTGATATCAGCTGGAAATTTTTCATGAAACTAAGCTCTCTTTTAGTTTATGTGTCGCTTATGGTTCTCATGCGATGTTTTATTTTCAACTGCGTCGATTATACATTTAGCTTGTATATCTCTCGATCGTTATCTATCTATAGTACGTCCATTTGAATACGAACGTTCGTCATCTGAACGTCGTCGTTACATCATGATATTCTTCTGTTGGTTCGTGTCAGCCTTACTTTCGTTTATTCCGATATTTACTGGTATATATACAACAAAAGCACAACGAAATATTATCGATTGTTTAGAATATGTGCATGGCCGATGTATATTCAATGTTAATCAAGCATACGCGATCGTTTCATCGTCATTCTCGTTTTGGGTACCTGGTGCTATTATGATTATTATGTATGCGATGTTAATACGAATTGCTGATAAAAAGGAACGTGAAGCTTATCAAATCATGGGCGGCGTTGCACAACGTCGACGCACTTCGCAGCAAAATCACTATGCACATCGACGTTCAAGCGACAATCATCATGGGAATGAATCGACATCAACGAGTCAACAAGTGCAAGGCGAAAAACAAATCACTGCTGTTCCAACGAGTAATGGGCATTCGAAGAAGTTTCGTCGTCAACGAAAATTCGATAGTCTCGACAAAGAAATCAATCGGAAAGCATCAGGTGATCTATCCGGCAGTTTATTTGATTCACGTAATAGTCAAATGAAACATTTGAGACGTGAACGTCGAGCCGTTAAAACTCTAGGTTCCATCATGGTCGCGTTTATTATTTGTTGGCTTCCATTTTTCATTCGTTATACCGCATGCGAGCCCAATCGTTGTAATTGGAAAATTGCACCTCTTATTTCAGATATCGTGTTTTGGGTTGGTTATTTCAATTCAATGATTAATCCGTAAGTTTACTTAGAAACAGATCTTTCGTTTGAAAAAGAATTTTTTTGTTTCTTTGCAGATTTTTGTATGCTTTTCATAATCGAGACTTTCGAATTGCTTTTCAAAAGACGCTTAGTCGGTATTTCGGATGTTGTCATCCGCGTCGAGCAAGTATTGCTAGTTCGACGATCCTATCACCTCCAACACCCAGTGGTGATTCACAAAAAAGTTCGATCAACATCAATCGATTTAAAAACAGCCAAATTCTACGATCAATCGTCAGTATACATGATCGACCGACGACGCATTCGAATAATCTTAAGATCGGTGACTCATCTGTCGGAGTGTCCAACGGCAATCTAACAGTTCGAGATAATAGTCTCTCATCTAAACGTAATTCATGTCTTTAACAAAGAAGGAAAACATCAAACACGTCACTGAAAAATATCTTCTTGCATCTATTTTGTAGTTTTATGTGATGAGTGCTGTTACATATAAAACAAAAAGCGTTCTGTGATGATTTTCATCGTGTGTTTTCAGTTTTTCTCTCTTTGTCTCTTTCTCTTTGTATTCGAATCTGTCTTCAATTTCACGTTCGATTATCATTGTATAGATGGGTGTATCATATAAGATCAGCGTGGTTTCTGGTAAACCCGGTGAACGATAATCGAGCCGGTTTTTCTCTCGTTTTTTTTTAAACACATTGTTAAAGTAAACAAAGTCATGGAATGAATATAAGTGTAACAACACGACACAAGCCGCAAATTTTGTCAAAGCCATGCCTAGTTTGATCACAATGAAAAACTACGAAATGTTCGAAACAGAAACAGATTGGAGAACAGCGACCTCCTTCATAGATCTGAGAGAAGTTTATGAAAAACTATCTTTGGTGAAAGAGAACACCAATCAAAACCGAGTATTACCGACGACTTCGACTTCATTTGCTGTTCTTCGTTGAATCTCCTTACATAGCACACATTTTTCTTCTTTTCTTTTAGAATTTTTTTTCAAAAGAACAAACTCAATCATCAATTCAACTTTCTTTTCAGTTTCATTCGATCTCGAGAACACCAAAACCAACCGGAAGTCGAATCCTACGTGAAAACGTACGAAGATCTTTCGTACAAATCGCTTTCTTTTTCTATTTTTCAATTCTTTGTTTAGTTGTGGTGATAGATTATGACTACAACGAATCGTACGAGTGATAATTATCACTCTAATGGCTTGATATCCAGTAATTTTAAGCATCTTAATGATTGGGTTGCTTCGTTGCAAGTATGTATTTATCTCAGTAGAAATTTCAGTTCCTCCTCGTTTTGCTAATGATCTTTTAACATGTTTTAAGATCATTTGCTTTTGCTTGAGAAATAAGTGAAGTGCTAATGAGGCTAATATTTCGAAATTGCAAGAGGATTTGCTTTTTCTCGCTATTCCTGTAGTTGATGAATAGAATTGCGTGTTAATAAAGCAAAGAAGATGATGTGTGAGCTATAATCTTTGCTGATTTTCTGTTTCTGACAGCATTACCAAAGAAATACAGTGAGTAGCAACATGGTTTTCCATCTATCTCGCCTCACTTTTTTCTTCCGTATTAAATGTGCATCTTTGTATATTAATCAGGAAAGACGAGAGTTGATCTTTTTCTTCTCCTCATCTTCTAGCCAGAAACTTTCTCATACACCTGACAAGACACCTTCCCCTCTCTCATTTTTAATATCTGACAAAGACACACCACAGGTGATGTGCTGTGTATTTCCTACATATATTGTTGAAACATCCTTTTCACTTGTGCATGATCGCCCAATTACGTTTCCTAGTTTGACATGAACAATTCGAATTAATTATGAAAGAACTGGTCACAATCGTTATCGTTTCACTTGCTTGCATTCATTTATTAATTATTTCAAGACTGGCAATGTAGGAGATGTTCTATTGAATAGAGACAAAGAAAAAAGTGTTGGGCAAATTGTTGTGTTAAAAGAAGCGGAGAGAAGAAAAAAGAAAGACGACATCGTCTTTGCTTGTCAGTCAAAAGATTAAAACTTGAGCAAGATCGACGTGCCGAGCAAAACGACAAAGATTATGCTCGCGCGCGCACATACTGTTCCTGACAGGTGACGTTCACATCAAGAATAAAAGAAAGAAAGTCTGTTCGCACGACAAACTTTCACCTTCGTCTTCATCATCTTCCTCTCTTTTTTTCCTTTATCTCTTTCTCATCATTTGTATGTAGGATGTCTATATTTGAATAGAAAAAATGCATCGGAAGTCTAAAAAGATGAAAGAAAGAGAGAGAGAGAGAGGAAAAAAGAAGGGAAAAGTTGTGAAAAGCATTCTTCATCTCTCCTGTTTTTCTTCTTTTCTCTCTAGGATGGAAAACTACCGTCGAGCTTGAACTCTAATCCGAAGATCAATGCTGAAATTCATTTAGCCATTACGACTGAACCTTCGGAAGTATGTATCAATAAATAGATCTATATATATTATTTTATATGATTATTTGTCTCTAGTTTGCTTCGGCAATTTGCGATCATCTTTTTACATTCTATCATGATGTGCAACATCGACCATTCGTACTTCAATTCCTTCCGTCATTCATCATAGCCTATTATGATGTCCTTTATCCTCGTCACTCCGAGTCAGTTGATTCTACAACTAAGGTAAAACGAGATCGAGTGCTGTGTTACACGCTCATTATCAACGTTCGTTTTTTTAATAATTGGGTAGGATAGATACATCCTTTTTCATCAAGAGATATAAAAAAAGAACAGGAAGTCTTTTACACAAATTGAGAGCGAGAGAGAGAAAGAAAATAGATGGAGATAGAGAGAAGACAAATGAAGATTCAGAGCGTGTGCAAGTGCATGCCGCTAGTCTTCGGAGTCGACAGGGAAGATTTGAAAAGATAATTTTTTGGAAATTTTCTCATTAAAGAAAAAGCAAATCTGTGCCTGAAGCGCAGATCGTTGTTGAAACGTCCGATTTTGAAATCTAATTAAAATAAAGTTGCACTGTGAACTATTCAAAGTAAGACATGACATGAGAAAAGAAAACTGCTAATGAAGATGAGTAGAAAAATTCATCGTGCGATGATAATACGTTAAAAAGTTTTCTTTTTATTAAAAGAACAATGAGGTGAAAGCGGAAATGAAAGCGACGAGAAAGATAAAGAGTCAAATTTGAAACATGTCAAACAAAGCTAATTTCGCTTTTCATCCTCATCATGAACACACGTACAGATAGACTAAATTCATAATGCGCCTTTGTCTGAAGTCGACAGCAGCATCATCATCATCACTACCATTGTCGTTCTTCTTCTTTTGACAGCATCCTAGCGTGAATAATCAGAGTGCAATAGTAGAGATGAGCGGCTTTCTCTTCTTTCTTTCTCTCGTTTTTTTTTCTTTTACCGCTTGATTATCGTTATTAAAAAAAGAGAGCGTAAGTACGTCGCTTCATCATTCTTTTCTTCATCATTCGATGTGTCTTACGCTTTACTTGTAGGATGTTTGTTCAACAATTGATACTTTCCTTGTCAGTCTCTACAATCTTGTAAGTTTTCTCACACCCATATTTAGCTTTACTAATCAATGCATACCGACACAAACTTTGTCTAAACGGTAGTTCGCTATTGATAACAGTTGTCATATACTAATCTGTATCAGTAGCTCTACTACTGAATAGCCAATTGAAGTTACTAACGACGATTTCATCAAACTGTACTTGTCTAGAATCGATCTCATTTCTCTCTTCTATTCTGTAGACTGTGACAGATGATGGACATAATGAAGCGACTCATGAATTTCGTAAGTTGATATGTTCCGGATTCGTTTTTCGATATGACCATTGAGGTTTTCATAGGTATTCCGAATTTGACGGTTCCTTCGATTTACCATACACCAAATCCTGTAAGTCTTTCGGGTCCTTACCTACAAATCTGCTCATTTCTACATGTCAACTGTTAAATAATCAGATATTTTCTTTTCAGTAAAGCATAAAAAAGACAAATAACAACAGGATTTTGATGGAACTAATCACACCTTCACAAAAAACGAAAAAAAGAAAAGAAAAGAAAGAAAATTTTCTAAATTAAAAAGAAACACACAGTCATAACCATCCAAACTTTGTTAACGAAAACAAAAGAAAAATAACCACTGATATGATCTATTCTCGAAAGAAGCAAAAGAAACATTTCGAGTCTCTAATCTATAACCAACGATAAAATTGATTCCTATGACGCACACTTGAATTGTACTTATGTCCATCTAAACTAAAATAAAGTGTAAACTCAAATACAAAGCGGCATACGTCAAACATTGACCACAGGATTTCCACAAAGCCTCAAACATACTAAGAGAGAAAACCGCATGCTCATCTGAATGTCAATGAAATCATTATTTGAATAGATTTTGAGCCCAGTGTGCTGTTCATTCAATTGGAAAAAGAAAAGCACCATAATGAATTCGCGTTGAATATGTCACTGTTAAAACATAGTGAAAATTTTATTTTCTGTTTGATATAGGACCACTATGCTCCCACACCGTTGACACAAAATGCCATATCGAAACATGAAACTAAATGCGAAGTCATTCGGTTACAAGCGTTCACTCCGCTTGGTTCTGCTAATGGAACGACAAGGTATGTCGACTGGAGGGTAGAATGACATTTCTATGAAAAATTCCGCTTTTCAGCAGCTCAAAAATAATGACCAGTTATCAGGGGTTTGTTTTCGGAAGTATCGACGGAAGAGGAAACATAGCTTAGAATTTCGACACATGTTTGTTTTTTCGTAACTCGGGATATGGTTTAATGCATATTTTCCCATCTAGTTGCTGCATGGAAGGGAGTACACACTCAAGGAATCGGAATAATTTGTTTGTTTTTGTTGAATAACAGACTTGTTTCTAACAGATTTGTTTTCAATGATTGGAGAATAAAGTTTCTTTTTTTATTTTGTTTCAGAGAACAAATCCTCTGGTTTCTTCTGATTCAATATGGTATGAGTGTATCATCGATGGATAAATGTTCTCGAGATGCGTACATTCAAATGTCGAAAAAGTAAAGATACACTCTTAAATTTGATCGAAACGATCTTTGACTTGTGTTTGAATAGATTACTTGGTCAAGGTTTTTCATTCAATACACAAAGACCAGTGAAAAGTAAATCAGGTTTGCCAACTACTGGTCGTCGGATTCACTTATCAAGTCGAATCATGTCAGAGATGTTAGGAACATTGTTTTATTTGAAGTAAATTACAAATATCGCTCTATTTTAATATATCGGATTTCTCATTCAGATCTTTTTCATCGGATGATGAAGCAAATCGATGTATGCTGCTGTTAAAAGAACGGGCAGAATACGAAATGTATGCTGACGTGATTCTGGTAATAATTACTATAATTGAGATCTATATATAATTGAGCTTTTGTTACGTTAGATGACAGAATCAATGGGATATTTACATGAATTTGAAACGCAGCGACCTGAAAAACAGGACAAGATTGGCATTGAAATTGAATTACCACCGACAATCGACGTTGTTCGGCAGAAACGAACAGCGACAACAACACGTTCAATGAAAATCCGTCAACGTTCAAATAAACAAGATGATTCATCAGGTACATAGATGGAGCTTGGCTGTGTTCTCCTCGAACATTTATCAAATTTAGAGACTTGAAATCAAACTTCTTTACAAAGGAGAAAACACTAAATTTGCTTTGTTTTGCTTTTTATTATTTAGTTCTAACTGAAAATCACGTGGATGAAAACGTGAACGTCGTGCCTGCATCACCTCAGCAACGACGTGTATTGAATGTTGTTGATAACAACCTAACTAGAGATGAATATGAAAACACAAACAATAACAATAATAAAGATATTGAATCCCCACCTATAATTCATCAAGCCAGGTCAACTATTTCTTCCTCTATTGGCCCAGCAACTTCAACTCCATCTCCGTCGACAGCTCGTCATTACAAACCAGTTTCATTAACATCCACTCAAACCTATTTCAAAACAATTCAAGAACAACCTGGTTCATCACCAATTTTGCAAGTTCGCTCTGTGATACACAAAGATGATGAATATGAGAGGGAAGAAACTTTGGCGATTTTACCCCGACCACGAGTATCAAGTATAAAACAAAGTGAAAAGAAAGAAACAATCGCCACAGTTCGATTTTTGGGGAAAACTTCCGATGAAAACGGAACACATATCGAAGAAACATATCTGTGACATTCGAATTCTTTTCTGTGTTTGTTTTTATTTGTCTATAAACCTTTTGTGATCATTGCTTTAACCATGTGAAGAGTATACATACCAAATAAAGCCATAGTTCTGAATTTCTTGCAACTGTGTTTCACTCTTAGTAAAATAAATCAAGACTTTATCAACTAAAGTTTCTTTTTATAGATGATGTTGGCGAGATTTCTCATCAGACGAACTTATCGTTCCAATCCGAATACCATTCAATGGAATAAAACCATTCGAACTCATCAAATCAATGGAAATTATCAACAAGCTCTGAAGTTGTTTCAAATTGGTATTGAGAAAAACACATTCGAACCCAATTCTCTCACCTATTTCACAATGCTTGATATTTGCAAGGAGCTGAAATCTCTTCCAGTTGTTCGTACTATTCACAATTTAATCGACGCATCAAAAAATCGCGACCGAGAAGTGTTCTCCGATCCACGAATTCGATCGTCATTAATGGATGTTTATATTAAATGTCAAGACATCGATAGTGCCTATCGAGTATTTCAATCGATGTCTGAACGAAATGTGATTGATTGTTGTGGTTTAATGACTGGTTTGAATCAACAAGGCAAATATGAGAAAACATTGGAACTATCAAAACAAATTCCATCAGCGATGAAATACTCATCAGCACTTCTTTGTAGTCTGATCCTACAGGCATGTGGTGAATTAAAACGATATGACGAAGGATGTGAAATTCATCGAAATGGACAAAAATTTCTTCCTGAACATAAGATTTTCATGAATGAATTGATGAATTTCTATTTAAAACTTCATCGGGAAAAACAAGCATTGGATATTTTCGAAACCTATTCAACTCATCAAACAGTTATTGATTACAGTTTGTTAATGAAGTACTACAACCGTCACTATCAACCAGAGAAAACCATCGAGTTGTATTTTCGTTTGAAAAACAATACACAGATCCCAATGGATCATATTATTTATGTTCTTGTTTTGCAAGCCGTCGCAAATGGATGTTGTTTACAAACAAGTGAACAAATCTGTCAAGATGCGAAAAAGTTTGGAATCAATATGGATGTGGAAAATGCCTTGATCAACATGTACGGTAATTGATGAGATTATAGGACTCACAAAATCAAATGTTTCCCTCCACGAAGAGACATCATACTTAAGTAACTTTTTCTGTTTTATTTAGGAAAACTGGGCGATCTCGATCAAGCAGAGAAAGCGTTCCATTCAATGGCGAAGCACAACATTGTTTCATACAATATATTACTCAATCTTTATGGTCTTTACCATCAATCTGATAAAGCTTTGAAGATCTACCAACAAATGTGTCAGCAGGGCCATCGACCGGATGATAAAACATATGTTTTGCTACTTCATGGATTAGGCAAAACACCAAGTAAGATTAAAGATACAAAACGAATCTTTGCAAGTGTTGAAGAGAGTAAACGTGGACCAATGTTAACTTCGGCGATGATTGCCGCATTAATCCGAGCCGAATTATTCGATGAAGTGAATGATTTGTTAAAGATTACACCCAAAGAACATATTTTGTTCTATGCAATCAAAGCTAATCTCACCGACAAGTCTCACGATAAATTTACCTATCCAACAACTATAACCAATGAACAAGTAGCGTTATATGACTTGTTAATGAGTAATATCTATACGTATGCCGGTTTACACGATCGGTTAACAAAAGTCGATGAGATTTTGTATGAGAATTCGACATTGAAGGCAATGTTGTCTTATTCTTGGCTGGAAAACTCCAATGGACGAATCGAATATTTCAAAAGTGAAAATTCCGAATTGAAAAATTGTGAACATACAGAGAAACTCGCACTCACGAATGCATCGAATCAGAATTTATCATCGATTTTGATCGGAAAAAATCATCGCATGTGTAACGAATGCCATGAATATTTTAAAAAATTCTCGATTAAAAGAAAAGTTTCTGTACGTGATTCCACTCGTTTTCATCTATTTTCAAGTGGAGTTTGTTCTTGTGAAGCTTCTTCATCTTGATACGACTTGTCTTTCATTCATTTTTGTTCTAGATATATTCTATGAAGAATTATTAATTCGCACTCGTAATATGCATAGTGTCAATAAGAATGCCAATCAACCACGTAGTCCAACTGAAGCAACAGCTCAGGCTTTGCCAGCATACAAATGCGGCTGGCTTTATAAACGTGGTGAACACATCAAAACTTGGCGTCCGCGATATTTTGTTTTACTTCATGATGGTCTCTTATACGGTTATCGTAAGCCACCAACTGCGAATGATAATCAACAAGAAGAACCATTGAATAAATTCCAAGTGATCGATTGTACTGTCATTCGACAAGATAAAATCAAGCAGAATGCGTTTGTTATACACTTTAATCAAATGAAAATCGAGCGATTGTTCGCTGCTAGTACCCAACAGGATCGGTAGATAAACTCTATTGGAAATACTTTATCGATAAAAGATTTAATGTCATGTTTTAGCGAAGAATGGATTACCGCGATTGAGATCATCACTCGGCAAACAACGCCTCATTTGCAGCATCAGTTGCCGGTTATGAAAATGGCAGCTAATGATGATGCAATGAACACAGAAAGTGAATATCCAGCTATGAATGAGATCTTCACACGACGGCCGGTAAGAGATGCACGAAGTTTCAAAAGATGACTTCATTCGATTTCGAATAGCAAATCAATGATTTTGAATATTTGAAAATTCTTGGTCGAGGAACTTTTGGTAAAGTAGTTCTCTGTCGCGAACGAACTACGCAACGAATATTCGCCATGAAAATGCTTCGCAAAACTTTAGTTATAACTAACGTAAGTCAATAAAAGACATTTACTTGAATTCTCAATTCCTTTTTTTGCTCTGTACATAGAATGAAGTTGTACATACGATGGGTGAGAATAAAATTCTTCGCCACATTCGACATCCATTTATAACGGTACGATTTGTGAGTTGTTCTCATATTGTTAATCGAATTACATTTAGAATCTGATCTGTGCATTTACAACAAGCGATCGTCTTTGTCTTGTGATGGAATGTGTCAATGGCGGTGAACTCTTCTTTCACTTGAACCGTGAAAAACGTTTTTCAGAAGAATTAACGCGATTCTATATCTCAGAAATCTCCTGTGTTATTGGTTATTTACATTCCCGAAGAGTTATCTATCGCGACATAAAAGTAAGAGAAAATAAATTACTGGTGAATAGATTCCTTGAAATTTGTATTTGATTTCATTAGCTTGAAAATATTTTACTTGATCGCTTTGGGCACATCAAGCTGGTTGATTTTGGTTTATGTAAAATTGATGTGCCATTTGGACAAACGACTGCTACGTTCTGTGGTACACCGCAATATATTGCACCGGAGGTATGAGAGAGGACTTTGCCATAGAAAGACACTCGATTCAATTTGTTTAGATTCTTCGAATGACTTCGTATACGAATGCCATCGATTGGTGGGGTATAGGTGTTGTTATGTACGAATGTCTCGTCGGTCGTTTACCATTTGCGGATAGTAAAAGTCAAGATGGCCTTTTTCAGAAGATCCTTAATCATGAACCGATGTATCCGTCAAGTTTGTCACCGAATGCACTCGATTTGATTAAACGATTTCTCAAAAAAGAACCTACGGAACGGTAAGGAAAGATAAACACTTTCACGTAGAAATTTTTTAATTGACAAAATATCTTTAGAATTGGATCCGGTGTCGAAGATGTGCGTGAAGTAGAACGCCATCCATTTTTTGGAAATATTCCATTTCATCTGTACGAAGAGAAGAAGGTTTTGGAAAAGCATTCCCAGAATAATCTTGTTTACGATATCATTTGTATTTTATAGATCCCACCACCTTTTAAACCAGAACTTGATTCTGATACTGATACACGTTATTTTGACACCGAATTTACAAACGAACCTGTCTGTGTTACACCTCCGGGTAAGTAGAAAAGCGACACTGTACTATCATCATCGATAATATGTTCATTTCTCTCAGGAAGTACTGATTCGATCAATGCTCTTGGAATATCGGATGATGCATTTGAACGGTTTGTTACCGTTTCATTTTGATTACCGTCACAAATAATTTGATATATTTAGTTTCACTTATGTTGGACAAGATGGTCTAAGTCATATTGCTTCGCGCTCTGTGTTATCTATGGCGTCGTCGAATGCTGCTCGTTCTCAATCGAATATTTACCTGGATGATCCTGATTACTATCAAAGTCATCAAAATCTTCCCAGTTTACAAGCGTCGTATTCAGTTTCAACTATGAACATGCCATCGATGGGTGCTGAAGCATCCACAACTCTGAAGAGTGCTACAAGCATGCAACAAATGGCACATGCAGGTAATGATTCTACTACTCAACAAAAGATGCACATGGATCAAGATCAAAATCAACAACGATCAGTTACATCCATACCAGAAATTTATGAACAACAGTTAATGAACGAACGTTTAATGTGTATTCAACAAATGATGAGCAGTGGACAAAACTTTGCTTCGATGTTCAATGATGATCCATATTTTGCTCAGCAAATCATGGCGTATGTTGCAGCTGCACAACAACAACAACCAGAAGTTATCGAAATTATGGATGAGTGAAATGATGACGAGGTGTCAGATTCAATTTTGTACTTATATTCGATTCAAATGAAATGATTGCATGAGAATTCTCCTTTAAATGATATTGCGATGTCTTATTCTCTTTTGTTTGTTATTCAAATCAATTTTTCATGTCGTGTTGGTCTGTCGGTGAAACATATACATATATGAAAATCTTTTGTCTTCTGTAGTTAGCAATAAATTTTAATATCACCATCTTTTGCTGCTTGTCTAATAAAATCTTATCAATTATAAGAAAACAGACATTTTTTACTAAATTGATATCAGTGTTCAAGTTTTCAATTGAAGTTGAGCTACTGTTGAATAAGATAATCAAGCATGACTTCTCATAATTCTTTTATTCTATATGTCGAGTAATTAAAGAGGGTAGTGTACATAAGAGACAAAGTTCTCTCGATATAATTAGTTCTACTTGTGTCATAATGTAAAAAACTTGTCAGCACAGCTCCTTTGGAACTAAAATGTGGAACTCACATGCGTATGTTTCGAGAGCGAGAATGTGGATGATGATACAATGTTGACAAATCAAACTCATACTCATGTCTGTAATATGATTAGATGCTAAATATGACGAGATTTATCGTTAACACAAAGGGATGTATAGTCAAGCGCGCCTCTCACGAAGAAATAGTAGAATAAGGCTGCATCTGTAATAGTGCCAAAAGGTTTTTAATTAATTCTGATGCTTATTAAGGGGTAGACTATTCTCTCTCTTGATCGCAGATTATGAACGTAGCTGGTCTTGTAATGAAAGAAATGTTTCCAATGCTGTTCCATCCCATTTATCTCCATGGTAACATTATCTGTATTGATTTCATGAACGTCAAGGTGTACGAGAAGAAGCAGGTGTCACAGGAGGTATGGGCCTGTTGCTCGAGCGTCCTTACTCCTCATAAGGTCATTTACATTAATTTTCATGTGTTTATAATGCTCAGAAATGTGTCATATTGTTTTATATTTCATGTAGAACTCCTTTTGACGGTGTCTATATTTAATGGAAGTGCGAAGATGGGTTTGAAGAGGTAAGCGTGGCGCCAAGCGCGGGCTGCCGGGATTGTCCTTCCACTGAATCGTTAAAATTATTAGAAACTTGATCATTTTCTCACAAATATATATGACTTCAGGAAGCTGGCCTTCAGAAAGGCGCAAGGAGCCCAACAGTTCTTCGAAAAATATAGGTAAATTCCACAAAAAGGATATATTGTTGAAATAGGAAGATTATACATGTCACATTATTCCTCCTTTTCCTATTCACAAACTATCTGATATTTCTGTGTTAAACGCGTAGAATCGGTACGCAAAAGATGAACACAATAGAAATTCGTATGAACAGCAACCTTTTCTAACAGTAATATGATAGTAAATATCTATTAGTTAAGAAAACCATGAAATTTTACAGTAAAACGTCAGTACTTATCGAGAAAAACTATAGTTAGAAAAGATATCATACTGTCATTTTGTAGCTTAAAGGGTGACCTAAAGAATATGCGCAGTAATTTGGGAAAATCTAGCTGAAGTACGCAAAATTTTCTGACTGAAACGTCTCAAGCCGAAGTTCATGTCTTTTTATAAGTCACGTCGCTAGCGACCACTTCTCCCCCGCAGATTCTTCGGATAAGGTTTTTTAGTGTTGATTTTACTATGGTGTGTAGAGCAGGCTAGCGTGCATGACATGCATAAAAATCAGCTGTGGCTGAGCTTGTTATACAACGTTACATACGCAGAAAGTGTGCGGTGTCACGTCACTATTTAAATGATTTTGTCCATACATACTGATACACGTGACTAATGGTTAAGAAATCGTCGACACGAACGCGTATCACGAATGACTATGATGCCCATTATGCCCCTATATCGTTCCACCACAGCATTGTCGTCGTCACGTAGAAAACGACACAGTTTGTCAAAATTCCAGTAACTCGTATCCAACGTATGATGCACTATAGACAGAAGATGTTGAAGGCGCAACACTACTTAGTCCAAGAAATGCAAAACAAACATCAATTGAGGGTAAATAGCGAAATATGAGCAGTATTAACTCATTAGGTAATGATTCAAATGTACTTATGTGCATCGCTCACATTATTCAATCTGTTCATTTTCTTGAAATTTATATTGTTCGCCCTCTCGTATAGACAGACAGCCATTGTTCATATACACGGCTGATGAGACGATTCGACAACACTGTGTAACGGCATACGTCTTCAATTTAATCTTAAACGTCAAGAGATAGAACGAACATTTATGTATAAAGAACTATTTTACAAGTCAAAACTTTCAATAGATCTTCTCCACGCAGACGGTAAATACGGTATGATGCTATGATATTGATCAGGAGTAAGTTATCCAAAATGAATGATTTGATCTGAATCGTAAATATGAATCATATTCAATCTTTTGATTTGTTAGAATAGAAATATGTATGAACATTTTATTTCCAAAAAGATCACTTTCACTGGAGAAATACAATCGTTGCCTATGTTGTCAAAATTCCTACATTAAAATAAATAAATATAAGAACTACGAAGCTTCCAGTTGAACACTTTGATTGTTCGACGTATTAATACTCGTATCTACTTGAGAAATATTCCTTGCTAGATTTCGTCCGCTTATAGAAAACAATCGATTGATCACAGGTCCTTTCGGATTTCTGATTGAATTCAATGAATAATTTTCTTCCTCATCTTCATCATCGGATCTCGATAGATCAAATTCAGTCGTAGCATAAAACAGATTTTTCACACCATTTTGGTTCGGATTCGCATCCACTGGTTCCTGCTTCTTCATGCACTGAATACAACCCATGGCTATATCATCAACATGAAAACTCTTTCATCGAATATACCCTTAAAAGATAAGATGATAAAAGATGCGTCATCAACGAATGTTTCAATCGTCGAAAGCGTTACGACAAATCTCAAAAGCAGATTATTCACGTTCAAAGTTATCTTCTTCATCAACGAGACGAACGTCCATGAGCATAAATCTTGAGTAAGTGAAAGATGTTCAAGCTTTGCATACTTGACATGTGGTGTCCTCTAACGCATTAACGCGCATGACTAACAATGTCAGAATTAGGTTACTCAGTTCAAAGTTTTAATTAAGAATCAGCTTTTTTTTCTTTGTGAATGTTGTTGAATGTTCATTTCAAATCGAATACAAATCATTTGTCGCTCTTTGCATAACATTTTTTAAACCAATAATTGAACATCTTTTCAAGTTCTTTCTTCTCGAGTATTTTGTCTCGTCCTCTATCGTTTTTCTCATTCTCACAATCTGACTATTCATATTTCGTCAGCTACGCACTGGTTACACATTCTTCGAACTTTTTTTTGTAGATTAAACAATTTAATACATCTAGTCGTCCCCCGATCATGAACCATTATTCCGCTTTTCTTCGTCCATCTCATGGAAAATCAACGAATAATGAAAACGATGAAAATTCCTCGATCAAAAATCTCTTTCTGAAACATTTAACAAAGTCGCAACAAAATGCGTTAACGAATAATAGTGGTAAAGGTACCACGCGTGGTATTCTTAGTGATGTTGGCAACAGACAGGTGCCAAACAAGTCCACAGTGATCGAACAATGTGTTGAAACAAAAGCTATTCTAACTGTACCTGCACAAGCAGCAAGTTTACCGATAATTGTCAGTAAGATCGAAGAAATTACTTTGAATGATAAACAACAAAAAGCCGAACCTGTTGTTTATGAGCCATTCACAAAACTCGCGCAGGTTCCACCAGAATTTGATTGTGACACTGTCGATCAAGCGAATATCATCACCGCTTCGGAATATGTCGTAGACATTTGTCTATACTGGCGTGAACTAGAACAAAAAACACCTATTCGACAAAATTATTTACTGAATCGTGCTGAAGGTAGAGAGACAAAGACGTTCAATTGAGTTTTATGTCGAGTTGTTTAGGTACAGCATCACCTCAAAATCGAGCGGTGTTAATCGATTGGCTCTATCAAGTTCATGACCGTTTCAAATTACTCTCGGACACATTTCATATGACAATTCAACTCATTGATCGATATTTACAAATAATCGATGCATCCAAACATGAATTACAATTGATCGGATCGACTGGTACGAAAAGTCTCGCCGCCATCGATATTCTTCATTGTTCTGTTGCCTTTTAGCTTTGTTAATTGCATGCAAATACGAAGAAATGACTATTCCCGGTATGAATGATTTCGTCTATGTATCTGACAATGCTTACTCGAAAGAAGAGATGAAAGAAATGGAACGCCGTATTATTTCGACCTTATCGTATGATCTTGGCCGACCATTATCAATAAATTTTCTTCGCCGATATTCGAAAATCGTTCAGGCAACCGATATCGAACATACTCTCGGCAAATATCTCTTGGATTTAACATTCACCGATCATTCATTTTCACATCTATGCCCATCTTACATTTCCGCATGTGCATCCTTTCTCTCACGTTATTTATTTGCATACAAACGTTTAACATCCACAACATCGATCAATGCTCTTATCGAACTTCTTTGGCCAAGTCAATTCATGCAATATCACACGAATTACACATTCGATCAATTGCGTCCAGGTATTGAACAATTAGGTCAATTGTTAATTGCTCAAGAAACAACGAAATTACGAAGTGTACAAAAGAAATTCTCGCAAAGTAATCTCTTTTCAGTTGCTCAACATAGTTATTGCAAAGGTGCCTATGTTCAAACGGCACTAGCACGTCTCTCGAAATGATCATAAAACAATCGGCGTTTTTTTTTATTCGTTAGATAGCTTATGCGTATGAAAATATCTTTCTTTCTTTTTCCAAATGTCAGATGAATGAAACTTTTCAGATAAAAAAAAAACCATCGGTGAGGTTCTCTTCTGCAATCTATCAGATTCCTATGTTCGTTAGTCTGATCAGATCTATACGCGTTAGATAAATACTTTCTAAAACTTCTACTCTGTGAATATCAATGTTTGTTATCTTTTTTTTTAACTTAGAAAAATTAATCGTTGGAAATATGTGTGTGAACATTAGAGATGTGTATGTCAGATATATCAATAAATAAACTCAATGAAAATGACTTTTTCTTCGCTTGGATTCTCATTGAAAAGTTCTGCATTGAGGAATTCTCTTCTTTTCTTTTCATTGTAGATCATGGCAGGTACTACGGTTGACTTGAATTTCAACGATACGGAAGATGTGGATGAAACATTTGCTTCACATAAGAGCAATGATCCTGAAACAGAGCAATTTGATCAAACAATTGGTCTGATTGAAGATATGATCATGGATGATGAGTTTCGTTCGATCCAACAATCGTTTTTAGCTAAATACGCGCATGAATTCGATCCTGATCTAGATGAAAATAAGTTAATCTATACGGATATTCATAAGGAATACTTAACAATAGTCGAAGATTTTGTTCTGAATAAAATCAAACGTGCGCAACCGAATTTCAATTTAGACGTCTTCATGAAACAATTCGAATCTCGACAAGACGAGTTAGAAGGCGAAATCTTCGAGTTTCTTTTAACATTCACTGATTTCGTCGTTTTTAAAGAATGGATGCTCGATCATCGTCGTGCTGCGAATCTACCCTTATTAGACGTGAATTCTTGTTTACAATCGATCAGTTTACAAAGCGCACGCGGAACAAATCCAACGCCCTTACTCGACCAAGTTAAACTTGATGAGGATAATTCAACAACACCAGCTAAATCTCTCGATTTTGGTATTACGGGAATACAAATAAAAAAATCGCAAAATCCGAAAAAGAAATGAAATTTTTGTACACAATGCATTTGAAAATTCGTTCGCCGTCCGTGGACTTTGAACCCTTCTATTTTGGACATTTGTTTTTAGTTTCTCTCGCTTTCTGTTATCTCGAACATTTCAGTGAATGACTAATAAAACGTACGCGTACCTTCCAATTACACTTGAATGACTCCAATAAATATGTTTTCATATGCTTTTAGATCGAAATGGCTCGTGAAATTCGTTTTATAAATCGAACTCTGTCTGATGGGTTATTGCAAATCTTTCGTTCTAGTCCTTTTCTCGGAATACTTTCATTTCTAATCGTGATTATTATTTCATCTGTGATACCATTGTCGTTCCTTTGGTTAATACAATATTTTCTATTTGACTCAGCTTTTATTACAATTCAATCATCTTGTCTACGTAATTTATTGACCATTTGGTCCATAGCAGAAGTCGGATTTTTGATTTATCAGTGTTATTTGTACAGAAAGATTCAACATCCGACTCAACCGCCATCGATAACCTCAAGCGAACGTGATCAACTTGTTTCATATGCGCTTCGAAACATTAAGGATGTGTCTCGTACACTGAGTAAATGGTTTATGGATTGTCCGTTCGAAGACATTGATCGAGAAAGTATCGCTGGTTGGTTAGCATTTGCATTTTACTCGAAATATCTTAATGATTTAACTGAGAGTGAATATAATGAAATCGATTGTTTCATCGAAAAAGTTCAAGAGCAAACGCAAATGAAAGCAGCTACTGAAAAGTCATCGAGGAAAATCTTTTACATGAGACATATTCTCGATCCTGTTCGAGTTATTTTCCGTCCGTTGGCTTTCTACTTTGTCACTGATACGATAGTCAATGGAATCTTAGCAAAATGGAATTTATCTCTTCGAGGATACCGATTCGTTCAGGTAGGTCATTTACAATTTTGGACATTTTGTCAGGAAGGAAATGAGAATGAAGAACCTATTATATTCTTTCACGGAATTGGGGTGGGATTATTGACATATCAGCCGTTTATCTCTACTTTACATAAAAAATTTGCAAACAATCGCCGTATTATTCTCATTTCAATGCGATGTGTTTCAATGCGTTATCCATCGCTTCAAGACATTCCAAATATGTCCGAAACAAGCGAGTCAATCAAGCAGATCTTTGATCATTATCGAATAAAGAAGGCTGTTTTCATCGGTCATAGGTACGTCGTATAAGTTCTTTCAAAAAAGTATTTTCCTATCCTCTGTTTGTAGTTATGGCACCGCTTGTCTTTCATGGGTTGTTCAGAAATGTCCGGAATTGATTTCTCGTGTAATCTTTGTCGATCCGATTTGTTTCGCGCTGTTCGAACCATATGTCGTTTATAATTTTGTCTATCGCACACCTTACAAATTGGGGCATTTCTATTTGTACTACTTCGTTTGTCGCGAAATGGGTATTTCGTATGTTGTCAGTCGACATTTCTGGTGGACGCAAAATAATTTGTATGTCGAGCAGATCAAATCCTGTGCGAATGGAAAACTCCCCACATATGTTCTTTTATCCGAACGAGATTGCATTGTCAATTCGGATTTAGTTAGAGACTATTTGACTGATAATCAAATTGAATACTATTGGGCACCGAAACTCTCTCATGGTGATTTTATGCACGATAAAGCAAGTTGGAAGAAAATTTGTGAATGGATTTCATAGGTTTTTCAGTGTTCGTTTTGAATTTTCATAATAAATTTAACACTATTTTCACAACTCATATTGCAGGTGTTGAAATCTATTGAGAAGATATAGATTCGAATGTCTATGTCATCTCGGTAGATTACAGCGGATGTTTTCATTAACTCTCTTCTTCACGATCTCTTATATCGAATGTCGGACTTATTTTTGCATTCAATTCATTAGACTCTCTTCATCTTACTACAACTGCATTAAACTCATCAAATATTTAGTACTCAGATTTAGTTTCCTCTATCTTCACATCATTCTGGATTTAATATTAATGCATAGTTAAGTATAGCAACACACACTAAATGATTCATCGAGGAGAAGAAAAAACAACATCCCGTCAGTCAAGGAAAGATCTTCCCTTTTTTTTTGTTTTTGTTATGGTGATTGTATAAAGCAAAATCCGACTAATCTCTGTATATTTATTTTTACGTATAATATTCGTGCAAATATATAACATACAAAACAGAACTATGAATGGTCGAGAGAGCGAAAGAGAAGAACAGATGAGTAAGTAAAAAGCAATCACAGACAAAAGGCATCTCGTATGATAGAGTCATTAACACGCTGTCATCTCGCGTCAATAGTTACTTCATTTTTATCATCATGGTTAAATAAGCATCACTTTGAGATGATTGACAACGTCAGACGTCGAATGGAGATACACCAGTAGAGTATTCGTGTCCACCAACTACCGTCGCACCGCCGATCGTACTATCTCGTGAAACGTAAAGTGACGTGAAATTACAATGCCCATGCTTAGGATTATGACGGCGTGAAAGAATTGATGAAATATAAACAAGAATCCAAACTGTAATGATTAATGAGATTAATCCGATGTAAGGCCATAGAGCGAACGCAAGTGTAAACGAACTGGATGTATTGATTTCCAAGGATGATGTTTCATTCGAATTGATTATAAAAAAGTTCTAGATGAGTAAAAATATAGGCTAAATCGTAGAGGCAAAACTTGATTACTTACAACTGGTAAATAGATACGATTAGTATCTGTAGTTACAATAACAAAGGTCATTTCTTTTTCATCCATAATTCTGATAGTTATGTTGTATATGTCTCTCTATAAGGCATTCTTATACTTCTATTTTTCTTTTTCTTTTACAGTCGATTCAGTATCTATTTTCTATTTCTTCTCCTCGCATTTCGCTTCTTTTCTATTTGTGCTAATAATACGTTCAACAGATAAAGTAGATTTATATATAGAACAAGAATTCCTCTAGAATTGGATACAATGGTTCTTTCTATTATTGTAAAATTAGTTCATTTTAAAATGCAGAGCTATTAATGGATTTTCTATTTTTATTTCAATGAAGAATTGTATATGGTTACGAGCATCACATATAACAAAAGTTCATTAAGGAACATCGATATTGATTTTCTCTGGTTAATATGAATTGATTTTACTGTGAATCCAGTTGAGATATGTACTTGTACGTGTATAAACCCCCGGATAGTTGGAAAGAGCACAATCAGCTCCAAAACTAACAACACCAGATAGATACCATTGGCCATTAGTATTATACATCAAAGGACCGCCGCTATCACCTTGACAACTATCTTTTCCGCCAACATAAGGCATACTAGCACCAATTTGTCGCTGAACATTGAAATATGCCGGGTAAGCTGCTTTGGCTTGCGAATTTGTTACTTGAACAGTCACTTGTCGAAGAGCATTGGGTAAGGCACTACCTTTGTGTATTGAACCCCAGCCAGCGACTGTAACTGGCATTGATTCTTGAGGATCCGGTCCTGGCAAGCAAACCAAACTAACATAGGCATTCAATTGAACTGGTTGTGCTAAACGAAGAACAGCGATGTCGTGAGCTTGAGTAATCGAATTGTATTGTTCATGCATAAAAATACGTGTAACACCGATGTTCTGTGTACGACCGTTGTTCTTATTCGATCGTTCATGTAAACCGGCAATGATACGAAGTTGACTACTACTAGCTGATGTCAAACAGTGAGCAGCGGTGAGCACGTGACGGGTATCAATCAATGTTCCACCACAAAAGTGATCACGTACTTGTAATGAAACAATCCATGGCCATGAATGTGGTATTGCTTCCACTCCTCCAACAATACGTTGCGTAGCTGGAGTAATAGATTGACGACCGCAAGTGTTAGTTGTCGGTACCAATGGTGTTGTTGTCGGACGAGGAGTAGCTACTGTGGCGCTAGTTGATTGTCCGATACTTGTCTTCGAACAACAGAAACGTACCCTATAATCTGTACATACTTTCTGTTTGTATCCATCTACTTGTTGATTTAAACATAGAAATCCGTCTTTGAGAGTCAAACGAAACAAATCACCAGTTTGCACTGGAGATGCTCCTTTCACGGTTTGCGCCTAGAATCATTCTCATTCAACCTAATGACATCAGACAATTTCTTTCACTTACCTCAACAGCAATAGGTGCAGGACACATAAACAAAGGAAAATTTTGTTGCAAATGATTCGTTACTTCAAAATCACCTTGTGAACTACTTGGATCACTCGAATCGAACCAGGTTGTCCATTGATTATTTCCTGAACAAGTTGACTCAGTGAAACTTGACGGATCAAATAGACCTTGCGCAAATACGGCAATGTTGAACTGCAGTATCAGTAATATTATTCCGATAGTAAGCATTCTGATCAATATTAAAATAGGTGTCAAAGAAGTCAATTACTGACACTTCTCTTTTTTTTTCAAAAATAAGTAAAACCGAGTGGATATATGTAGTGACTGAAATTGGATCTGTGATCGAAGAAGAAATATTTATGTATTATTTAACTATCGAAAATATTATGAAAGTTGATCCAAGGTCGAACGATATATTTTAAAAGTACGTCCTTAGCATGAATAAAATATCTGATTATAAGACAATTAGATCTATTTTATACTTTTCGAAACACCGGATTAGTTTCGCGCGAATAATTTCCTTGTCACGATTGTTGAACATGGAGAAATTAGTTCAAATCTATTTTCAATAGTCAAATTTTCCACCGGTGTTCAACATTGACCGGATTCTACCTGATTTCTCCACAGAATCACATCTTCGTTCTCAATAATGAACTCTTAAACTAAGTTTGGTTAACAAAAGTGTACACAGAGTAAATGCAGATCCGGTGGCAATTACAGACTAATAGTCTGTCTGTGAAATGTATAGCTGTCATGGCCAAACGAGAAACGTGATCAATTTATCTTATACGTATATCCTGAATCAATTAAAACCCAAGCAGACGATCATCAGTAATTGACATTTTCATTCCAACTCATATAGATTTCACCTGAAAGATGTCCAAGTCTCTTTTTTTGTCCCTCGAAATCAATTTCTTCTATAATTATCCGCAATATAGACGACGGTTTATATCACAAATGACCTTTGGGAAACGAATCATTCCGATATCTTAATGAACAACCTATAACGTTATATCAAACACATTGCTCTCGCTTATGTGAAGAACTAAAGATAATTATTGTCGACGATGCAAATCAAGACGTTAATGAGAGACAAAAATGTTTGGCATGTCGATAATAAAAAAAGAATTTCAATTCCAGGTCGGAATCGCTTGGAAGATGAATTTCTCTTTACTTATCAATAGTGACATGTGGGATAATCTAAGTATTACAGAGAAAATCATGTCCAAATGTCGTCTATCAATGATTCTTTGTCTTTTTCTACCTCAAGGTCTTGCTATTGTTAACATAATTTTGTCTCTGGAAATCTTCATCATTATGAAAAAAAACCTAACTTGATCAAACAAGAGAGAAGACAAGAATCAAGCGAGATATCTATCGCAATCAGGATTTTCCTCGTCATATTATTATTAATAGCTATTCTCTTGTCGCATGAATATCCAGCTTGTCTCATACATATAAGTATTAGTCGAAGAGAAGAGAAGAGAAATCGACATATACAAAGGTGAACAAATCTCTATTCATTTCATTATTCATCTTGTTGTGATCTCATTCACATACACACAGTCGGTAAGTCATCTCTTGCGTGTTGATAGCTTTAAAGTTAATTATTGTGATTGAAAACGAATGTATGAAGCATGATTGAACAAGAAGATGAACATTTCGTCTTTGCGATTGGAAAAATAAAAGGGTGTGAAATTGCGCTTTCGTAAAGCTGAGAATGAACAAGTCAACAATCAAAATAGAAATGTGCGAAGCGATGAAAGACAATGAATTGAGTTGAGATGATATATAGATGAAATCAGATTAATATGTAAATGAGTATGTGAACTTTTGTCTAATGTTATTCTTTCCTTGGAACTGAAGTTTTCTTTTCTATGTCGTAATGATGAGTAAATCAGTCTTTTCTTCTTCTTTCTCGTTGTCTTGGACAAATCGAGTTGTTGTTTATTTTCATCTCGAGGCACGTTCGTTGCGATTTCATCTCTTGAAGGTAAGTATGTGATATCGACTCTAAACGATGTAGATATATCATTAAGCTGTTCTTCGTTATGATAGATGTGCATGTCAAAAAGAACAAACTTGAGTTGAGACAAAAAAAAAGGTGTTAACATTTTGTTGATTGTTCACGTATAACATTCGGAAAAGATGAAAAAAGGTGATAATCAAATAGAATTTCGACGTAATCTTTGTTTTCTGGTGACACATCGAAGTGAAACAAAAGAAAGAAATGACCGATCGATTCGATTAGTATGCAGTGTTAGCCTTGACTAAATATACAATTGTTTTGTTATATCTCTACCGCCCATATTCAGTTGACGATCGGCATCTGTCTTTATATGATCGATGTACATCAGATTAGAACGAACAGCTCGTTCATATCATATCATATCATATCTTTTGGATTTCTTTGTAGAATAAATGATGAAGAGAATTCTTCTATTGTACGCTTTGTTTTACTCATGTCAACTGATCGATGGCAAGATTAAACATAATCTTTGGTGGTAAGTTGGATACTTGAATGAACATAGTGGAAAACAAATGAATTTTGTTTTAGGAATATTGGTCTTGAAGGGCACAATGAGAATCTTTTATCGACTTATTCGTTTTTGAATTCGGCAAATCGATATGAAATCAATGAAGATTCATCACAATACTGTCAATCAACATTGAGAAGTTTAACAACTGGACAAAAACAAATTTGTTTGCTGCATGCTGACCATATGCCGATTGTTATTCAAGGTACATTTTTTCTCACCCAAAAAATTCAGTCCTTGATGATTTCATTAACATAGGTGCGAGTAAAAGTATTGAAGAATGTCAACATCAATTTCAAGATCGCCATTGGAATTGTTCAACAACACGGGACGGATCTGTATTCGGACCAGTTGCTGATCATGGTAAACCAGCAAACGTTACCGGAAAAAGTTTTTTTCTTCTATAACTGATCTTTGTAGCAAACCGAGAAACCGCGTTGACCCATGCAATGTTTTCAGCTGGAATTACATATGCGGTCAGTCGAGCATGTAAACAAGGCTTTCTGAAATCTTGTTCGTGCAGTCGAACGGCTCGACCAAAGAACTTACCACGGGAATGGTCATGGGGAGGGTTTGTCGTTCGAAAGTAGTTCTTCGTTGACACTTTTTAATATTTGGAATAGATGTGGGGATAATATTGATTATGGATATCGATTTAGTCGAGATTTTGTTGATACACCAGAAAAAGAAATCGATTCTGGTGTTTCGTACAATCCATTTATGAATGTGAATCAAACAAGTTATGGAGGAAGACGACAGAAACTAGTACGACGTGGACGAATACGACGACAAATGAATATACATAACAATGAAGTCGGACGACGAGTATGACCTTGAAGAAAATAACCTTTTTTTTTATGAAATGTCTTTAACTTAGGCCGTTTATCGACTAACAAAAGTTGTATGCAAATGTCATGGTGTGAGTGGCTCCTGTAGGTAAGGGATAGTTCGGCCTTTGCAGGCGAAAAGGAAATGATAACTTGTTCACTCTCATAGTCTTCGAACATGTTACCAGCAATTGCCAACGTTTCGTGAAGTAGCTGCGTACTTAAAAGAAAAATATGATAGCGCTGTGGAAGTTCGTTATCAGCGACGTTTAGGAGAACTACGTTCACGTGATCGACGATTCGTTGGACCAACAAAAGACGATTTAATCTACTTTGAAGAATCGAATTTCTGTGAATATAATCCTCGAATCGGCTCATTGGGTACAAAAGATCGTCCGTGTAATCGAACGAGTCAAGGACCTGACGGTTGTGCGACGATGTGCTGTGGACGAGGTTATAATACAATCCGAAAATATGTTCAAGAAACGTGCAATTGTAAATTTGTTTGGTGTTGCTCTGTACATTGCGAAACATGTCATAAACTTATGGAAATTCATGTGTGCAAATAGATTATTTGGCAGATGTTTTAGTTATAAGTGTGACTTTGTTTTCTGTCCGTTTGTTATTATGATTATTTTAATATCTGAACTTTTTCGAACTAATTCATGTATGATTATTCATTGGTAAACATTATTCTTCACTTTTTGATAATAAAATTACCTTTGTCGTACCGTTTGGTTTCTTCTTCTGTCAGAGTTTCTACTCATTTCGACATTTTGATCCATGGGGACATCTCGTAACGGTAATATAAACTATTCAGACTCGAAAGTATCTTTCCTTTACTGATATCTGTCAACTCCCTGCGGAGTCGTAAACTTTCTCATGGCAAAAAGCATCTCACCGGATTGTATTTATTCTTTCTTCGTCATTCAACGAGAAAATAATCTCTTGTACATTCCATGAACATCATGCCAATGGATAAACGAGCGACTGTTAGAAGCGATGTCGGTCGCGGATGTTTGTGATATAAACCATCGATATCTATGACGAGCAGTGCCAGTTTGGAATAAGAAAAACAGAGAACAACTTTCGGGTGTGTGATGGTAATCATCATTGCATACCGACACTTATATGCTTCATTACCAACGTTATCAATGACTCGAATGGAATAATATATGAAGCTGTCTTTCTGTTCTATTAACACTCTAGTCAATTAATATCGTTGATTGCACGGTTATCATGTAGTCTGTATCAATTATCAACACGAGAAACCGTTCGATTAATTAACGCGAATTAGATATAAGAAAACAGTTCGTGTAACGTGCGCATAAATTCCTATTGATATCGATCGAGGGAACATATCTAATTATGTTTCATGTAAATATAAACATCATAACATACGTTTTACTTTCTATATAAATCTTAACTGAAACTATGGTCTAATGTTTATATCGACAATAATGTTTCGAACAGATGAGAATGATCAACGAGTATGTGTAACATCAAACATCCATCTATGTTAGACTATTATGTTTGATTTGAGCCAAAATTGGCGAAGAAACTTTCGGTGAGACAATTTTCCGATTAACTAATTTTCTAAGTGAATAACTTGTTATTATCTCTGACAAACAACATTTTGACTAATTCTTTTGTCATAAATGTCATGTGAAAAGACTTTTCACAGCAGGCGGACAATATAATAATTTTAAATTCTAGCAACAAGATTATCAAGAAGAAGAGTATTTTCATTAGTAATAGGTTAACTGAGTACGAACATATCTCACGATACTCTTGAGAAGAAGCGTAACCGTTGGAAGGAAAATACTTGTACTCTTAAAACAACTGTTATATGACATGACTGATTAGCAACTGTGTACAAATAACTAATCTGGCTTGATTCAATTAGATGTAGACGGTTGGAAAATACATTACGAACAAATCATTTGATAGAAACCTATAAAAAAACCAAAGCGGTTATCCTATAAATAAACTCTGACTTCATTCGCGTACATTTTTGGACAAGAGACATTGAATGTTGTGCAGACTGGTTCTCTCTGCCGATCCGTTGTTTTGTTTATTTATAAAGAAGATAAATTAGGTTAAGATTTGCCTATGCTTTAGATTTATTTCTCATTTCAAGGCTAGATAGATTGATGATTTGTATGAAAGGAGAAAATAAGCCATATCAATAATAGATATTCCTTTCTCAATCGAACTAAACAAACTGGTAATATTGCATTTACATGCATCTAATAATGGATCATTGGAAACAGACAGATATGTAATCATTCTCTTCTGTTCGCATCTTTGCTTATACTAGATCAATGTACAATGTATACACACACGAAGTAAGAACAACATTAGAGATGAGAGACACCCGTAGAATTCTTCCGCTACATGTCATATGCACTTCCATAAATATCTGTCAGTGAATCTTTTCTTTCTTCGTGCCTCTTGCTTAGCTCAATATCTTAATGGCACGTACACGTAGTTTGGAAGTTATTACTACCAGTGGTCGTTGTCGGAATGAATGAAGAGAAAGAGAGAGAGGGAGAGAGAGAGAGGGAGGAGGCGGGGGAGAAAGAAAGCAGAAGTGAATATCATAGTTCGTCCGAGAACATTTGCCAATTTTGGAGATGTCTTCGTTTGGATTCGACCAACCATTTGTAGAATTTAGCTATAATCTGCTATCCAAAGAGAGGGAGAAGAGAAAAGGGGAATAGGGGAGAAGAAATCAGATCTATTTCTTGTCGACACTCTTTTTTTCCTTAGACGACAAAAAGAAAAACAGAGAGTATATATAACCAGTTGTTATTCAATCAGACAGTTGTTTAACACAAAACACGATTAGACGAGCGCATCTCACTCATTATCAGGTAGAGATAAACACCACTGAGAATTTGTTTATTGAAGTAACTCTTGATTTTAGATTTCATTGTGTTGAATTGATTCATCATGTCGATCGAAGGGTAATGAACTGAACGAAACCGCGATGTTGATGCATAAAAAGTCTGTTATTTTCAGTGTTATTTATGATCCTAATGATCCGGAATTGAAAGAGTCAATGAAATATTTGGCTCTTCCAACGGAAGAACGTATTAAACTTCAAGCTCAACCTTTTGATGGTAAAAAGCAATGTTGGATTCCTGATGCAAAGGAATCATTCGTTGCTGCTGAAATTACCGCTACAAAAGGTGACGAAGTAACGGCTAAAACTGATAAAGGAGAGGTTTGTAAAATCAAAGGGAAGCTTGGAAGAGTCATTCTGAAAACGAATATTTCAGACCGTCACATTGAAAAAAGACGATGTTCAGCAAATGAATCCACCGAAATTCACTTGCTGTGACGATATGGCTAATTTGACATATTTGAACGACGCTTCCGTCTTGCATAACTTACGTGATCGTTATCAACGTTGGCTTATCTACGTAAAGATCCCATTTTCTATCTCTTTCTCAAATTCTCGCTTCGAATCTTTAGACTTATTCAGGTTTATTCTGTGTCGCCATCAATCCGTACAAGCGATTACCGATTTATACAATGAAAGTGGTTCTGATGTATCGTGGAAAGAAGCGTACAGAAGTGCCACCGCATTTATATGCAATTTCTGACAATGCATATTCGAATATGCTTCGCGGTAAGAAATGAATCGATTGATTTTTAATCTAAACATGATTTTTTTGTTCCGAGAATGTTCATCATTATACACTCTCATGTAAATACACATCTAATCATAGAACCATATGAAACAACAGAAAATTTATTGACATTTTCTTTGATTACGACGTCGTATCGATCTATCTCTTGACGAGTTCGTTTACACAGAATGTGTAGGAAGTAGTAACAGCAGAGTTATCCACTATCAATTAATAATAACGTCAAAAAAAGCGAGAAGAGCGAACATGAGAAAACGACATTCCTCAAATGATCAAACACGCAACTGTTTCTTTCACTTGTATTAGAAGAGAAGTAATCAGAAATGCTCAGACGTTATCTGTTGTTTGCAAAAGAAGACAAACTAATTATCTCAAAGATCAAGATTGTTGATGAAATATCGAAGCAAACGATTTGATTGATTATGTAATTAAAATCGAACTAATTTTATTTCCATTTGCTGTTTAGAACGAGAAAATCAATCGATGTTGATCACAGGAGAGTCAGGTGCTGGAAAAACGGAAAACACCAAGAAAGTCATTCAATATTTCGCTTTGGTTGCCGCTGCCGGGGCAAAGAAAGAGGAGGGCAAGGTAATGTATTGAGATCATCTCTTCATTCGCTGCATTTCTTCATTTCCCATCAAACAATATAATTTCTCTTTCAAGAAAACTATGACCCTTGAAGATCAAATTGTTTCGGCTAGTAAGTGCGAGTTTATTTCCCTCGATGGAATAATCTATTCATCAAAGAATACATACAAATGATGTATTTCTACCAATAATAGATCCCGTACTCGAGGCCTATGGTAATGCAAAGACTACGAGAAACAATAATTCTTCTCGATTCGTAAGTTGCGATTCATGAGAGAATCGCAGCACGATGTAGAAACCCTGATTTGATCGACATACATACACCTTCTCCATTCCACTGATTTTCTCCCTTTTAAGCACATTTACACCTCACCGAAATGCATGCGAACCTTGTTGTTTCCTCCTAATAGAAAACCATGACTCTTGAAGACCAAATTGTTCAATCCAACCCTGTACTCGAGGCGTTTGGCAATGCTAAAACGTCTCGAAATAATAATTCTTCTCGATTCGTAAGTTATAAAAATCGAGAATTATTCGCATGTTTGCCTGTGACTAATGCATGTATGAGTTTGTTTGAGAAAAAAGAAACAAACATTTTGTCTGGTATTTGTCCGATTTCCTAGGGTAAATTTATTCGTATTCACTTTGGCAGTTCAGGAAAGATCGCTGGCGCTGATATTGAAGTTTATTTACTCGAAAAAGCTCGTGTTATCTTTCAGGTAAGATCGAAGATTTTCTTAAAGATTAAATTAACTCGATATTCCTTCTTCTTTCAGCAACCGGGTATGGAATTTCATTTCTCATTTGAATTCTAATCAAGACCTTCAACTTTTAGCTGAACGTAACTATCACATTTTCTACCAGTTGTGTTCCAATGCTTTTCCTGAGTATCACAGTAAGATTTTGATAGACACTCATCGCAGAAGAAAATTCATCTGTTTAATTCTTCTCTTCAGAGGAATGTCTTATCGAGGGTAATCCAGGCAAATATCATTATGTATCACAAGGCATGCTCACAATTGATAATGTTGATGATGCTGAGGAAATGAGAATCACGGATGAAGCATTCGATGTTCTCGGTTTTACGAAGGTTTGTCTGGAATAATCCGATTGAAAATTTACATGATTTTTTTTAATCATAGGACGAAAAATTGAATATGTACAAAGGTACAGCAGCTATAATGCACTTTGGTAACTCTCAATGGAAACAGCGACCGCGAGAAGAACAAGCTGAGGCTGAAGGCACAGAAGAATGTGAAAAAGTCGCACATCTTCTTGGAATTGAAGCAGCAGAACTTATCAAAGGTCTACTTAAACCACGTATCAAAGTAAAGTGTCACTTCGGTCACTGATGATTTTTCTGAAAACATGCTCGATTTCGATTTAGGTTGGCAATGAATATGTCAACAAAGGTCAAAATAAAGATCAAGTTCTTAATTCAATTGGTGCACTCTCCAAATCTGTATGTCACAAAATTCATCCGTGATTTGTATATTGCGTGTTCGTTGTAGATCTACTCACGTATGTTCAATTGGTTAGTCGAGCGAGTTAACGTCACGCTCGATGTGAAAGCTAAACGACAATATTTTATTGGTGTACTTGATATTGCTGGTTTCGAAATTTTCGAAGTAAGGTTTGATATCGTTGAATTTCGTCTCGAGATGTTCTCTTTTAGTACAATGGTTTCGAACAATTATGTATTAATTATACCAATGAACGTCTTCAACAGTTCTTCAATCATCATATGTTCGTCTTGGAACAAGAAGAATACAAGAAAGAAGGAATTCAATGGGAATTTATTGATTTCGGTATGGATTTACAAGCGTGTATTGATCTTATTGAAAAAGTAGGACATCGCCTTTGGAAGTTTTCATTTGATTCAAGAGAGACTTTTAGCCGATGGGTATTCTGTCCATTCTTGAGGAAGAATGTATCGTACCCAAAGCAACAGATAAGACATTTGTTGAAAAACTTTATAATAATCATTTGGGTAAACATCCACAATTCGGTAAACCCAAACCATCGAAAGGCAAAGCTGAAGCACACTTTGAAATCCATCATTATGCTGGTTCAGTGCCATACACCGCCACAGGCTGGCTTGAAAAGAACAAGGATCCTATCAACACAACGGTGTATGTTACGGAAAACCGAGCGGAACGCACTAATTATTGCTTTCTCGATTTCTTTTCAGTGCTGGTCTCTTCGCCAAGTCGAAGAATGCTATGTTAAGTCATCTTTATGCCGATGTCGCTGAGGAAGAAGGCGGTGGTAGCAAAGCCGGAGTGAAGAAGAAGGGTGGCAGTATGCAAACCATCTCAGCTACACATCGAGTAAGCTCAGCCGAGGTTCTGTTTCGTGAATAATCGATTGGAATTTAAGGAACAATTGAACAAATTGATGACGAACTTGAAACAAACGCATCCTCATTTTGTTCGCTGTATTATTCCAAATGAAGTGAAAACTGGAGGCATTCTCGACTCACACTTGGTTCTCCATCAGCTTCATTGTAACGGTGTTCTCGAAGGCATCCGTATCTGTCGCAAAGGCTTTCCTAATCGTATGATCTACTCGGAATTCAAACAACGCTATTCCATTTTGGCACCCAATGCTATTCCAAAAGGTTTTGTTGACGCGAAAAAAGCAACGGAAAACATTCTCAAAGATGTCCAACTATCCGATGAATTGTACCGATTGGGAACAACGAAAGTGTTCTTCAAAGCAGGTGTCTTAGGTCAACTTGAAGATATGCGTGACCAAGCTCTATCGAAAATCATCGCCACTTTACAAGCGCAAGTTCGCGGTTATATCATGAAGAAAGAATATAAGAAGATGTTAGAAAAGCGCTTAGCTTTATCAATTTTACAACGAAATTGTCGTAAATATTTGTCGTTGCGCAATTGGCCATGGTGGAAATTGTACACGAAAGTCAAACCCTTGTTATCTGTTGCACGACAAGAAGAAGAAATGAAGAAACTTGAAGATGAATACAAAGCATTGAAGGAAGCTTTTGAAAAAGAAGAAAAACTACGAAAAGATACCGAAGAAAACAACGCGAAATTAATCAAAGGTTGACAAATGAATATCATATTCCATCGAAACTCTACTTGTATTTTTCTTTGTAGAAAAGAATGACATGTATTTGCAATTGGAAGCTGAACGTGCGAATACTTCTGGCGCTGAAGAACGTCTGACCCGACTGATCACCCAAAAAGCCGATCTCGAACAACAAATCAAAGATATGGAAGAACGTATCAGCGAAGAAGAAGACGCAACAGCCGAATCCAATGCCAAGCGAAAGAAACTTGAGCATGATATCGATGGTTTGAAGAAAGACATCGATGACATGCGATTAAGCTTACAAAAGGCAGAGAATGAATCGAAAACGCGAGATAATCAAATTCATACATTACAAGATGAGATGGCTCGTCAAGATGAAACAATCGCTAAGATCACGCGTGAACGTAAACGTCTCGAAGAACAAAATACGAAAACGACGGAACAGTTGCAAGCGGAAGAAGATAAAGTGAATCATTTGACTAAATTAAAGACGAAACTCGAGCAAACTTTGGATGAACTAGAAGACAGTTTAGAACGTGAGAAGAGAAGCCGAGTTGATTTGGACAAATCGAAGCGAAAGTTGGAAACCGACGTGAAATCTCTACAAGCAAGTTTGGAAGAGGTCGAACGGGCAAAACGAGAATTAGAAGAAACAGTTAAACGTAAAGATCAAGAAATTCAACAAATGGGCGGACGACTCGAGGATGAACAAGGACAAGCGACAAGTCTCGGCAAGAAAATCAAAGAAATGCAAGCACGTATTGAAGAGTTGGAAGAAGAGCTGGAAAATGAACGGCAATCACGATCGAAGAGCGAAAAGCAGCGTGCGGACTTGGCGCGTGAAATCGATGAGATGAACGATCGATTAGAAGAAGCTGGTGGTGCAACGTCGACACAAGTCGAAATGAACAAGAAACGTGAAGGTGAATTGGCCAAACTTCGACGAGATTTAGAAGAAGCCAATCTTCAACATGAGGCCACTGCTGCCCAATTACGGAAGAAACATCAAGATGCTGTCAGTGAAATGGGGGAACAAATCGATCAGTTGCAGAAACTGAAAAACAAATTGGAAAAAGAAAAACAAAGTGTCAAATCGGAGTTGGATGATTTACGTTCACAAGTTGAACATTTTCAAAAGGGTAAAACAACGGCAGAGAAACTCTCCAAACAACTCGAACAACAATTGAATGATATTCAAATCAAACTTGAAGATAGTCATAAACAAATCAATGATTTCAATGTCCAGAAATCGAAATTAGTCAATGAAAACTCTGATTTACTCAAAACTGTCGAAGAATTTGAACATCAAGTTAGTCTCTTACAGAAATCCAAAGTCGTCTTACAACAACAAGCTGACGAAGCCAAACGTGCTTTAGAGGACGAAACACGTGGCAAAGGTTCAGTTCGTATGTATCAAAATGATCCATTGACAAAAGACTAAACGAAACATTTACATTTTAGATTCACAAATTCGTAATTTAACAGCTGATCTCGAGCAAACACGCGAACAACTTGAAGAAGAACAAGAAGGCAAAGCTGAATTTCAAAGACAAGTTGCAAAACTTCAAGCTGAAGTTCATCAATGGAGATCACGTTATGAGTCAGAAGGTACGTGAAATCAGCTGGCTGCGATGGCATTCAAAGCTTGTTGTCTTGTTGTAGGTTTGGCTCGAAGTGAAGAACTTGAAGAAGCTAAACGAAAATTAGCTGCAAAATTGACCGAAGCGGAAGAACAAGTCGAAGCTGCATTGAGCAAATGTAATGCTTTAGAAAAAGTTAAAGCTCGCCTACAAGGTGAAGTCGAAGACCTTATGGTTGATGTTGAACGCGCCAATGCCAGTAAGTTCACTCCGATTTGATTTTTTCTTCAAAAACATTCGATATTTCTAGATGCTTCGGCTATGGACAAGAAGCAAAAACAATTCGACAAATTAATTAATGAATGGAAACAGAAATGTGAGGACATTACGATCGAACTCGAAGCATCGCAAAAAGAAGCGCGACTTTATTCAACTGAGCTTTTTAAATTGAAGACTCAATATGAAGAATCGCACGAGCAAATCGAAGCACTTCGCAAAGAGAATCGAAACTTAGCTGATGAAATCAAAGTAAAACATTCCACATGAATTGTTTAAGATCAAGACTTGGTTTGTTTCAGGATCTTATGGATCAATTAGGCGAAGGCGGAAAGAACGTTCACGAATTAGACAAAGCTCGTAAACGTGCTGAATTAGAAAAGGAAGAACTTCAGTCTGCACTGGAAGAAGCAGAATCCGCACTTGAACAAGAAGAAGCGAAAGTTCTTCGTGCACAAATGGAATTGAGTACAGTTCGTCAAGAAATCGATCGACGTATTCACGAAAAAGAAGAAGAATTCGAAAATACCCGTCGTAATCATGCGCGCGCACTAGAATCGATGCAAGCAAGTCTAGAAGCGGAAACACGATCGAAAGGAGAAGCCTTGAAACAAGTAACATCTGCTTCCGAAACTGAGTTCGATAAGAATTTTCGTTTTGTTTCAGAAAAAGAAACTCGAATCGGATATCAACGAATTAGAAATCGCTCTGGATCATTCGAATCGCAATAATTCGGATTTACAAAAGGCATTGAAACGACTTCAACAAACTGTCGCGGAATTCTCAACACAGATTGAAGAAGAACAACGGCAACGTGATGAAGCCCGAGAAGCTGCTATGGCTGCTGAACGTCGCGCTAACCTCATCATCGGTGAAGTTGAGGAATTACGTACTGCTTTGGAACAAGCTGAACGCGCTCGTAAAGCAGCCGAAAATGAATTAAATGAAGCAGCTGATCGTATCAGTGAACTAAGCACACAAAATGCCAATATCTCATCACAACGACGACAACTTGAATCAACTGTCGCTGCTATGCAAGCCGATTTGGATGAAGCAGTTGCAGAGCTTAAAAATAGTGAAGAACGCTCGAAAAAAGCGGGTTAGTTTCGTTTTCCTCTTTGATCCATTTCATTGAAAGTCTTTTTGTTTAGCTGCGGACGCTGCCCGTTTGGCTGAAGAATTACGCCAAGAACAAGAACACGCATTACAAGTTGAACGTCTTCGTAAAGGATTTGAACAACAAATCAAAGATCTTCAAATACGTCTCGAGGAAGCTGAAGGCAGCTCACTCAAAGGCGGAAAACGTGTTATCGCTAAACTTGAACAACGTGTAAGAAGAATGGAGTTTGTCAGAAAATAATTCTTCACTTTTGAATATTTAGATTCATGAACTGGAGAGTGAGGTTGAATTAGAACAACATCGTCATCAAGAAACATTGAAAGAGTTACGTAAGAACGATCGCCGCTTGAAAGAGCTCATCTTTCAAACCGAAGATGATCGTAAGAATCATCTTCGATTGCAAGATCTCTCCGAAAAACTACAAACCAAGATCAAAGTCTACAAACGACAAGTCGAAGAAGCCGGTGCGTTCGAAATCTTCTTTCCTTTCGATGAAACTCCATTTTTCTTTAGAGGAAATCGCTGCACTCAATTTGGCGAAATATCGTAAAGTTCAAGGTGAACTCGGTATGAAATTCCTATAAATCATTTTGTCAGAATGTCACTTTTGTTTTTGTAGAAGAATCAGCTGAACGTGCTGATCTTGCAGAGAATCAACTAGGCAAATTACGTGCTAAGAACCGTTCGACTGTTAGTGCTAGTCGAACTTCGCCAGGTGTAAGTTGATTCAGAATGAAATACTTGGTCAAAATTCGTCTTTTTCGTTTAGCGTGACATTCGTGAATCGACGATGATTCGAGCAACATCAATGATTCGTTCAAGTTCAGTTCGTCCTCGTTAGAACGGCGGACGCTTTGTGTGCATGGGCTTCTTGATTGCTAACAATTTCTCATCTATTCTTTATTTTAATTCATAATTATGATGTAGATTGTCGAGACCTTGTTTTTTGTGTTTATGCGAGACATGAAAGCAGAAAAATAAAAAATTCTTTACAATAAAGCTCTGTCGAAGCTACATTTCAAGAGGAATGAGATTTTGTTCACGTAATGAGTCTTTATTTTTCAGAAGAATATCATCGATCTGTTTATCCATCATTACTTTTTGTGCATTCAATCGGGCGAGGATGTTATCGAAATTAATATCGATTAAATTTTCGAACGAGGTTTCCAAATTCGATACTTTCGTCTCTAATTTTCGTATTTCTTGATCTTTCTCTCGAACCATTCGATCGTACTCGATCTTTTGCTTTGAAACTTCTTGATCAGTCTGAGCCAATCGACCTTTAACCATCGCTAATTCGTTTTCGTACTGGTCAATCTTGAAGTGCAAATCCAATTGCATTGTTTTATATTGTTTTGTCAATTCCGACGAAATTTCTTTCATATCGCTCTGTACGGTTTCATATTTCGTTTCTGCAACTTGCATTTTTTCACGATATTCAGCAGCGGTCGCCTCAGATCGACGTGATAATTCGCGGCGATACGCCATTTGATCTTTCAACGCGTCAACTTCATGTTGACTTTGCTTAAACTTCACTTCCATTTCACTATCATCGTCACCTTTCTTCTTTTTACCTTTGCCTTTCTTTTTCGGAGGCATATCAAGTTTTATCTAAAAAGACAAGAAGATTGATTTTATGTCGGGCTTTTGTATTTGACAGAAGAATGATTAACAAGAAAGAGTAGTGTCCTTTTTGTTCTATGAATATCGATCCTCTTGATCATGTGCGCGAGATGAGGTTTCTGCAACGACTTTGCGAAGGAAATCGCCGAATTTTTGTTTGATTGTTTCGAGCTCATCCGTCGTACCGTTGAATGTCACACGAGGAATGTCGGAAAACAGTGTTGCTATAAAGAAGAAAATCCGTGCTGAATGTAAGAGGAGCAATTGATACGTACAGAGCTTTGCTTCGTGAGCACGTCGACCTCCGCCTTCTTCGTCGTCTTTTCTCTTCGAAGCGACAAGTAGACAACATTTCTCTGTCAAATTCGGCTTTTCTACAAAGTTATTGTACCAAAGATTGAGTTCCTCAGCATGTTTCTTGTCTTCAGGGTTGTACACAAAGATTGTTCCATTCAATTTATAGCTCATAGCTGCCCACGTATGTTCAAACCTAGACGAGAGTGTTATTCAGTTTCACATACATATTCAATTACTTCGAATCGCCACTGCAGTCAAAGATTTGTACATTGTGTGTTTGAGATTTACTTCGCGTGGATGACGGTAATTCATATTCGATGATTCTTCAACAAAGTTTCTTTTTTACTTTACAAGGAGAAGAAGATTTTGTAAACATACCGAACAGGTACCGTTGGAATGTAACTATCGGTGACAGTTTCACGTGTTTCAGTCGCCAAGTTGATGAACGCACTTTTACCACACTATGCAAGAAAAACAGATTGAAATAAGGATTTGCGTAGACATATCGAATAATTACACCGAGTGGACCAACAACAGCGATTTTTATTGCAGGAGCTGGCATGTTGCAAGTAAGTTGATATGTAGACTAAGTTTCCTATTGTAGGCATAGCTCGTTCGCCTGCGTACTTGGTTGCCATGGAAAATATACAACAAAATCGAAAATCTCAATAGATATTAATTAATTTTTTGCCAAAAGAACACTTGTCGATCGATAAATTTTAGTCATAAAGAAGAATTTGATTAGGATAGGTGTCGCCACTTTTCGCGATTTTATAAAAATCTCACAACAATCGACTGTATCGCAAGTGCATTTCCATTTCAATTATCTATGAGAGTTCAGTCTGCACTGCTTTCTTAATATTATTTTTATATACGATTTGTGGAATATTTGTAAATAAATTTCTTTTTCTCTCCTTGTCTTATATCAGTATCACACAATCTAATGGCACTTGTCACTCGACCATATTACGACAATCGTGCCTAAAAATACTTTCGAATCTTCACGGAAATGATCCTTTTTAGTATCCGCACGCTAGCATCTGTATATTTTATTGTTTGTTCAAAGGAAAGTATTTGAATTTGAGAAGATCTTCCTAATTTGATTTTTATTTACAACAAAGGAAAACAAGAATTACATTTCGCCACATTGAGAAATAATGACCGGAATTTTGGGCTTGTTATTTAATGCCACCGGTACATTTTCGATCTTTCTAACAACAAGCATACCTTCGATAACGCGACCTAAATATCAAAGATTCAATAGATAAGCATCGCTACTTGTCAATTACTTACCGAAAACGACGTGTTTTCCATCAAGAAAGTCACAATTGGCGCAAGTAATAAAAAATTGACAACCATTCGTATCTCTTCCACTATTCGCCTACAAAGCAATTTCGTAAATTTCGATTGACAATGATCTTTACCATTTCTTACCATACTCAACAAACCCGCTTGATTGTGTTTACAAGTAAAATTTTCGTCGGCGAATTTTCCTCCATAAATACTCATTAGACCAGTTCCATCTCCCTATAAAAATCCCAGTTAAAACCCCGTTATACCATTAAAAACTCACATTAATGATATCACCGCCTTGTATCATGAAATCTTTGATCACGCGATGAAATGGTGCATTCTTATATCCGCATGGTACTCCATCTCGTTTATATTCACCAGTGCAAAATTGTCGAAAGTTTTCGACCGTTTTCGGCGCGATATGTGCATAGAGTTCGATTAAAATTCTTCCTATTTCAGTATTTCCGACGCTAATGTCAAAAAATACCACCGGATTGTCCGCGTGTAACAATCGCTCAGCCCAGGACATGATTTAATAATGTTTCTCTAGAACAAAAAGAAGAGAGTAGACATTGTATATTCATCATTTCAACATTTTTTACGTTAAACGAAGAGAAAAGAAAACAATTTGATTATATGACATATTTTTTTTGATTTCCGTATTTTGATTTCAGTCAACAACAATAATAAAAACTTGTTTTTCAACGTACAATTTCATTGTCAACTTGTTGAAGAAACAAGAACAAAAAAGCTGAATGCAACCGTTTATTTTTTTGGGTCATTTTCAAGTTTGCAAGTAATTATGGCTTCTTCGCCAAGTGCTTGAAGCACGGTGACTTTCACTCCATCACCATTCTCGAATTTGGTTCGAATTTCTTGACCTAAATCACCTTCGGGTAATTTAATGTCGCTACGAGTGTCGGAACTGTCATCCATAAGCGAAACGTAACCGTCATTATCGATATCGATGACCTAAAAGCAAATTTCAAGTATTGATTCAAAGAAATCAGCTTCTTTTACTGAATATTCAACGCGTTTAACATTCGGTACGTCCATATTATGGGTTGATGGACAGATATCTTCATATCTTTTGCCTGTAAAAATATCAATACCAATAAGATGAACCTGAAGCATTCTGATATGAAAACGATTAACGAAGATCTTTGTTTCATACTTTAGCATGTCCATGTTTGCCTGTTTTTGATGTTGACATTTCCATAATTTTACACGGACGACTTTTTAACATGACGTAGCCATTTTTACGTAAAGCTGAGCACTGCTGTGGATAACTAAATCGAAGATTTTCCATTGATAATGAATTATTCGAATGATAAAAACGAAGAACAAACACCTACGTGGACGACGCTCCAGCATCACCGGTTTGAAAATCATCATCACCATGATCATCCATAGCGTTAGCAGCGTTCTCAGCCATGTCGATATTTATCCGATAAAAATATACTAAAATTCTGAAATAGTTTTGAAAATTATACTCAAATATGATTATGAAATTAATTCAACGTTTTACAGATGATGGTGCAAGGTATTCCTCATATACTTCAGCCATTAGAATGGCGAGCATGTATACCTTATTTCTATTGTTCGAAAAGTCGCCTGTCATGCAATGCCTCCATGGTCTTAATTTCCCATAATTCATCGAGATTTCAACGAAAAATTTATTTGAAAAACTACATTTTCCTCTTTTCATCTACCTAATCAAATATACACACATGTCGCCGAGACAAAGCGACATCTATCGACACAGAGTAATTTTCCTCCTATTTCTACTATTCCAGTGCATGGCAAGTACCGGAAGAAATAGTTCTAGGTAAAGAAACGAAATTTCTACCCTATATATTATCCTATTAGAAAAGAAAAACAAAAAAAAACATTGACTAAAGAGTATAGAGCACATCTTGTATATTTTCCAAAACTGAAACGATGAGGAAGAATCATTGTGGAGATGATAATAATCGACACTAGAAAAACGACAGATAAAAGTTCGGAAAAAAATGAATCAACGCCGAAAAAAGATGATTTACCAGTTTATGCATCACATCATCACTCTCATTGACAGGTTTCTGACAAAGCAAACATATCTAGAAGAGAAAATAATGGTCTGATAGAAACCTATTATCATCCGGATGAATGATGATGATACTTTTGATGTAACAATCGTTATCGGTGTTGAAGAAACCAATCGATCCATTCGGTCGGCGATACTATCGATCATTGATGATGAGACACTCTTTGAACAATCTTCTCTTGAAATATCATGTAGAGTTACAAGATAATCATATAATTCATCGAACAGATAGTTTGTTGATCTTAATTGACAACGGAGATCATTTTCACTGGTAATTATCGATAAATATTGAAAATTTTCATGTAATTTATTCATTAGTCGTATCTAGAAATATATGCTCTAGTCAGCAAATTTTCCCCAATTTTTACTTGGGAAGATGTTTACATACAATATGTAAAGTATATGCATGAAATAATTTATGTTGAGCATTGTGATCAGATGTTTGGGTGGATCGATTGATCTGCTCAATTGATTGATTGTATTGTGTCGAAACATGATTAACAGAAACTGTTCTAAAGAAGAGAAATGGAGAAATATTGGCTGGGAAGAGAAGGAATCGCTATACTTCGATGCTTTTTTGATTGCATCGATTGATTGGAGACTTTGCTCGATTAAATTATCAAAAATTAGTTGATATGATGAGTTGGTTTCTTTCGGTATCGAGACGATTTGATTATTAGAAGAAAATTCATTTGCAAAAGGATTTAATTCATATATGGGTTTCGTTTTTTGTTCAATAAAACTCATAAAGTCATTTCGTCCAAACGAGAGAAGCGGCCGCGGGAGTTCTCGCAAGTTTACATTCGGCTTATTGGCAATCGGAGGTGCCATCAACGGTCTCGGTGGTGGTGGTGGCGGTGGCGCAGGTAACAAACCGTTCGGGTTCGGACAAAATGTTGGGTAATAAGGATTGTAACTGAATGGGTAATTCGGATGCATATTTGGTCCGAACGCTGGTTGATTTCCGTAAGAGAAAGGCACGGGCATCATACTGAACAGAATGATTATAGTTGAATTAGCCTCTTAGCTGTTGTCGAGTTAAATTGAACAGACTAATGAGAATATCTCGTATCTCGAGTAGGTGTCGTACTAATCTGATTTGTAGAACGAAAAGAAAATGAATGGCGCAAGGCTTATTTCTCTAAACGAACGATCAATGTTCTTTTCTGTATTTATATTTATTTTATTATTTTCAAGTACGAATCTTTTTCTCATCTCAATTCAAAATAAACATATCTTTATCGAATGTGGCCGTTCAGTCATCATCCAAAATCATTATTGGTTTTTGTCAGAGCTCTTAAAATTGCTGAAAACATTCAACCGAAATCGTCTCCAATCCATTCCCTATGACCATCTCAATTTAATCTTCAATCAAATATTCATTCACTGTCAACCGGCATATCAATTCTACCAAGCCAAGACAAAAGTGTCCACTCTCGATCAAGTCTACGGCTGGCTAAAAACGCAAATCGATCATTGACTTTTGTATAGACTGTTGAGTGTGTATTTTAAATAAGTAAGTATATAATAAGAGGAAAAAAAGAAGAAAGAGCGAACCAAAAAAAAACATCAAGTACATTGTGTTGGTCTTCATTCTGCGAAACACACACACACAAACAGTTCAAGCAGTAAGAAGAAAAAAAAAGAAACTTAGCAGCAGAGCATAGAGCAGTGAGACGAGAATAAGAAAAAAACATAATAATACACGCGCTGATTAAAACGACTAGAACAACTGCGTTCGCTCTGAGAAGACACACACAACAGCAGAGAAGAAGTAGGACGAGGAGACTGGTGTGAGAACTATGTTCACACGATTCCGGNGAAACACACACACACAAACAGTTCAAGCAGTAAGAAGAAAAAAAAAGAAACTTAGCAGCAGAGCATAGAGCAGTGAGACGAGAATAAGAAAAAAACATAATAATACACGCGCTGATTAAAACGACTAGAACAACTGCGTTCGCTCTGAGAAGACACACACAACAGCAGAGAAGAAGTAGGACGAGGAGACTGGTGTGAGAACTATGTTCACACGATTCCGGTCCATAACGATACGATAATTAGAAAGAAATACACATACACATGCACACATATGTAACCGTTCATGATGGTAAAAGAAGATCAGAGGGGGTGACAAGCAAAAAAAAGCAGCTTACAAAAAGAACGAGAGAGAGAGACGAAGACTGCAGGCATGAATAAAATCCGTATCAAACTTATGTATGTATGTGTGCATGTGTGACAGACGTTGGTTCATCACTGTAAAGAAAAGAACAACAACAGGAGTACAACAAAGACAAGAACAAAGAGAAAAAAGGACAACAAGCAAAATTGGCAATACCAAACGTACAAAAAAATATGTCCACCAGCCTAGAGATTTAGAGAGAGAGAAAGAGAGAGAGAGAAAGAGAAGAAAGAAAGAGAAAGAGATAAAGAAAGAAAAAAAGTTGTTGTTTTGCTTGGGGGAGCAAAGGTGAGAAGGCTGGCACTTGTTATTGTTGTCGTCGATGTAGCAAAGCAGATCTTTTATATTCGAAAGTTTATAGAGATTGACGATTAATTCCAGATCCTCAAGAAACTATCCCATGAACCCGTCGCTACAGCCATACCATCTTCGGTTACACCAAGACAACTGACACGATTATCGTGACCAGCCAAAACACCTATAATTACGAAACGGATTTACACAGGAAAAAGAAGCCAAACAAAAGAATACATACCGGCACGTTCTAGGCGAAGTGTATCCCAAACATTACAATTGAAATCATCATAGCCAGCCAATAGAAGACGGCCCGATTTTGAGAAGGCAACCGACGTAATACCACATATGATATTGTCATGTGAATACATGCCTACTTCTTGATCAGCACGAATATCAAATAGACGGCACGTAGCATCGTCAGATCCAGTAGCGAATGCTGATCCATTTGGAAAAAACTACAGACATGAAAAGACGGTATAAGTCACCAGCGAAATCTGATGAATCATTAGTTAACTTACGGTCACAGCATTGATATCCGACTCATGGCCGGGAAATGTTTGTTTACACATGCCCTCTCGGATATCCCAAAGCTATTTAAAGAAGTGATAAAAATAGATTTCAATTGAATGCTCTTGTTCAGCTTACTTTAGCCGAAGCATCGCAAGCACCCGAAACAAAGGTTTTCATATCGGGTGATAATGAAAGAGACATTACATCGCCTGTATGTCCTTGAAAGCTGGTCGTTTGTTGTCCAGTTTCAATGTCCCACAAAGCACTAGAGAGAGTGAAATTTGTGAATCGCATCTCGATATCAAATCAACTCACCATGTCATATCTCCAGAACTTGTCACGATTTGAGAATCATCGAGGAAACGACAGCATGATAAGTATCCCGTATGACCGGGTAATTCTCGACTAACACGTACATTGCCTTCACGTGTTTTCAATGAATAAATTGAACAGATATTGTCAAGACCACC